AAGTATAAGACCTCTGCAAATACCAAATGGAGCCTCTGTTTCTTATCACCAATATCTGATTAAAGATCAATTTACCTCCTTTTAAATAATCCTTTGGTCGGTTCCAAGAGAATCTAAGAGAGGGGTTAATCTTTTCTTTTAATATAAAAAGAGGTTTGAGAATTAGTTGTCTATATACCATACAATCGAATGTGTGTTTATTGGACATACCACATTTATGAGTTATACACACACTCTCAAAGTATTTATTTAGTAATTTTTAGTTGTTCTACATTATTTGTCTTTTTTCCTTGTTAGGTAGACAAAAATGTCCATTATACCCCTCATCACTCAAATACTCACTACTCCACTTTTTATATATGTTTAAGATGGGGTTAAATATGCTCTTAATTCCTGTAGAATAGGGGAGTTCTATTTTTGGTCTCTATAAAATATTTTTTTGTTGAAGTCATCCATACAAAAGGGTTTCATTTTAAAAATAGTCCTTAATTATAATTAACACTTCTAATTATAAGAGATATCACATTTATTTCATACTCAACATCTTAATCTTGAAAATTCTAATTACATCCGATATTATTTCCATGTCTTGAATTGTGTACTTATTTATATTACATCTCCAATTTTAAAATTTATTAGGAATATAATATAATATAAATTTGGGAGTTGGAGATATAATTTGATAAAGAATACAATTTAGGACATGATAATTGTGTCTAAAGTAATTAGAAATGTAACACTAAGCTGTTGTGTACAAAATAAATGTGATATGTCAATTAATTAAAATCTTAATTATGTATAAGGACCTTTCACAAAATAAAAAAATTTCTAAGGATGACTTAAACAAATTTTTTTTACATGGACCCAAAACAAAACTCGCATATTTTACAGGAACTAAAATCATATTTAACCCATTTAGGATTTTTTTCCTTTGCTTGACCTTATTGGTTATGATCTCAGTTTTAAAGTTTTGGTATGACTTGATGTAATTGGATCTAATCTGGTCTTATTTGTTCTGTAGTTTTACTTAGATTTGATCTGATTTGGATGGATGTTACATAATCTGGTTATGTTTAAAGTTAAAAGAATAATAGAAATTTTATTATATATTTAACATTCCGATTATCAAAGTAGATAATAAGTTTTGACCATTAATAAAATAAAAAAATGAAACTAGTATTTCTTCGTCCTAAAATTAACTTCTCATTCGAATTTTTACGGTCTCCAATGTAATACTTTGACCATTAATATATTTGTTCTTATATAAATATATATTATAAAAATAATATATTTCAAAACTATGTCTCGAAATGAATATATTGATAAGAAATTTCTATGAAAAATCAATGGACTTTTTCTGTAATATGCAGTCAAATTTTAAAAAATTATTTGATTACAAAAGTTAAACTAAGAAGTTAACTCTAGGACGGAGGAAATAGTACAACTCAGTGAACGTACTAAAATAAGAGTTTCATGTTTTTATTCAAAAAATAAGAGTTATAATATCAATAATGTCAATATATAACACCAAAAGATACCGTGAAATATCAATATACAATGTCACATTGTCACAATAAAAAGTTTTATTTTTAGAATAAAAATATGTCAATCTTATTTTGGAAACAAGGGTTATGTTCATCATTTCTATTTTGAGTGATTTTTTAAATTTATGCTCTCTTTGTCCATTTTTTTATCTTTCAATTAACTTTGACTTTTCACGCAAATTATGAAAAAGTAAACAGAAAAGAGACTATCCATACTTGTTCTCCGGCAATTGAAAAAAGTAAAATAAAGTGTAGGAAATGATAGTAATTAATATACTTCAAAGGTGACTAGGTGAGGGTACTAATGACTTTTAAGCAATTTCCAAAAAAAAAAAAAAGAAACATGAAGAAAATTTGTGAACAAAAAATTAAAGTGAGAAAAAAATTTATGGATAAAGGGAGAATTAGATATTAGTACAAAAATAGTATAATTATATTTATTTTCTAAAATATTTTTGACATATTATTTTATCTAATTTATGTTGGTCTTGAATCCCATACTCCGTATCCGTTTTGATGTGCCAAATAAGTCTTCCAAAGATACTAACATTATTTGCAAGAAGAACCAAATGTCCAACCTCTCCTAACTTGATTAGCATCACCGAGAAGTACTCGAAATGTAAGGGTTTTGATATTTATAATGATTTCAATATGCCTTGCACTTAAAATACTTTTTCTAAACATTTCCAAATGAATCTTAGTTGGGGTTATTTTGAGAAAAAAAATCAAAAATCAAGTTTTGGAAAATGAAAAAGGACCTCACGATACCCCTGTATCGTTGCCACTGTATCTAGGTACCGCCGGTATCATTGGACCGATAGGGAGTCCCGTTTTGAGCTAGGTTCTGCTAGAGAAGTTTTGACTTCTGACGGTACCCCTGGCTGGGGCATACCGTGGCCACAATACCATGGTACTGTACGGTACCCCCTACCGTGAAGGGTACCGTGACCGTTGGCAGATCCTATAGCTGATTTTCAATTCAAATTTAGTTTACCCCAAATCACTCCCTAGTGGTCCTAAACGTACCCTACTTGATTTTAACCTTTCCAAATCTTATATAAACCCTCTCTAAGTCTCATTTTTCATACAACAATATCCCATAACATCCTAAAGCCTTCTTATAATATTTTTGAGTGTTCTTAAGCTTTGTCCTTCATTTTTATCACTCTTTTGAGTTTGAGCTTTTATTATTTTTATACACTCTCACACAGGAGCATTTTTGATTCATTATTTTATATCTAGCCCATAGGCTATTGTTGTTGATTTATTATTTTGTTGTTCTCCTATCCAACTTAAATTATTTATTCTTGATAGAGAAGCAACTTCATATAATTCTTATTTTGTAAAAGGTGTGAATAGCCTTTAAATCCTCATTGTGTTAAAAGGTTGAAGATAGTCTTAAAATCTTCTTTGTAAAACAGTCGAGATAACCGTTGTAAAATCTCGTTACTTATTGGCAAGAGTTGTTTGCAAAATCTCGTTTGAATCTTCTTAGTGAAGTCAAACAAGTTAGTGGAGATTAAATCATTGAAGAGGAATCTCGAGGTACTGGAGTAGGGAGTTTCCGAATCAGTAACTTTCGTTTAAATTTTTTACTTTGCGAAAATATTTTAAACACCCTAATTCACCTCCTCTTAGGGTGAAACCGAATATCAATTTATGTACCATATAATTTTTGTTTAATTATAGATAAAAAATACAATTGGATTGACTTTAAAAATTAAAACGGCACAAATTTGACCTAATATATAATCCTCCCTTTATTATACCGAGTAGGAAATACAGATACTAGATCGGAATATTGGATAGGACCATGCTACACTTACACCAAAAAATATATCCCATTTGTACACCACAGGTTTGCACAAACATTTCGATGGTTTACACCAACACAAGTGTTGGTGCGTTAATAACAATTCACACGGACACAAATGTTGGTGCGTTTAACAAAAATTAGTTTTACACCAACACTGCGGGGTACAAATTGGGGTACAAACTTTGGGGTACACATAGCATAATCCTATTGGATAATATATGACCTGATCCAGTCTTCCAGATTATCTAGCCGGATCCGTGCAGGTCTAGCCCTAGTTTTCTGAGTTGTTGATTCCTTTCGTTGTTTGGCTTCTAAGACTCCCTTTTAGATTCTCCTTGGAGCTTTTTTCCAATAAATTTGCGATCATAGTTTTCTCGAACCCTAATTCTTCCCTTTCTTTTTTCTTCCTCCTCCGGATCCGTAATTTAGCCTGTGTTTTACCCATATTTCCCTGGTTTACTGCTCAATCTACGCACGTGTGCATGAAAAGTCTCAAATCTACAATTCTGTTCGGTGTTCGTTGAATCGTTTGAGGAGAGGAGATGGAGAAAATTGCGACTCGAAGTAGTGGAATTTCAATTTATCAAAAAATCAGCTTCTTCGGGCTTGAAATCCGATTCAGAAGGATGATCGATTCGTATTGCGTCGCCTGTGAAGCGTTTTCCGAGCACCTCCTTCTTTGATCGCTGGTTTTCTTTTGCAGCTCGTTGCTCTTAAATAAGAGAATTGATTTTTGTTGCGAAGATGGATGAGTTTGTGTTTCCTTCCTTGGGAAAAGGAAAGTTTGAAGCTTCTGATTCTGACGTGGCGGAAGTATCCCCTAACAAGCGATACCTCCGGGTACTTTCTCTATGCCCATTCCTTTTTGCCCAACCAAACTGATTTGTCTTTTTCTCTTATTATTTCAAATCTTTCTTTCATGCAATACTAGTATGCTTGTTACATGCTGCTAAAAGAAACCGTACTTGTTACACAGTAATGTCATTGTATTTGCGTGTCTGTGAGAAGCCGGGGCAAGTTTGGGGGCCTATTCGGGGTGCCCCTAGCTTAATTCATTATTACTCTATACATTATACATGTCAAATTGCTTTATGGACACTATCATCATCACACTTTTTAACATATTCAAAAAATTGTTTTATTCTACAATGTTGATTGTGAGAGGGCACACAATCGCACCCAACAGAAGGGGGGGTATATAAGGCACAACCCAACAACTATTACAAGAAGTTAGACTTGAAGCTTTGTGACCCAACCCAACAACTATTAATTTCTCTCTTGCATCACTTTCAACCATGCAAGTTCACTTTTCTTAATCTTTGTGTCAAGTCAAAGGTGGAACCTTTTTATGGGACGGCGGGTGTAATTTCTTTATATAATAAATGTAAATATGTCACCAAAGGTAACCATATTTTTGATAGATGACCTCTTAATATTCTTTGTGGCAGAGTGAACACTCGACAACATCTTTTTTAGTCAAATTGGGCCATAACCCATATTTCCACTTAGGATCGCTGGAGTTGGCTTTTCCTTTGGGATCCTTAGATGGATCATAGCTCTCTGCTCTCATTGATATTGTTGTCTCCCATTTGTTCTTAAATAAACAAAAAATATGATGGATACTCCATTAATAGTTTAATATATTGTACCGTATAAAATAATGGTAAAAATTTGATTTTTAATAACAGTTCCAGAAAAAAGTCAGATTTGAAATACTGAAAAAATAAAAAACAATCACTGGAATGAAGGCGGATAAGAGAGTCATGACAGACCAAGGAAACAATGCAATCAGTGTAGGCGACACGAAGTTTAGATGCGGATGGCAGAAGTTTATAGCGAATGGGATGGGGTTTTTTTAAGATTTAAATGTTAGGTCGGGTCAGCACTGGCTGGGTTACAACTAATTTTTGTTTTGGTTGACATGATATTATCAGCCGCAAGCATTACCAAAGTTGTCTGTCAAAAAACGATGGGATGAGTAGTCTTTGACTAATCGTTGACTTTTCGACAACTTGATAACAATGAGAGGAAGTGAGTGTAGGAAATATGGATTGAGGGAAACTATGAGAAAGAGTAGAGATAGTGTTCCAAAACTTAAATTGACCCTCTTTTGTTACTACTCCCTCCGTCCCAAAAAAGGCTGGTTTTGGTTTACGATGCTTGACCAAAGTTATTTTTAATTTAGTATATTTGAAAGCCAATGTAAAATTTAAAAATAAAAATTTATATTTAAAAAATACATAAAAACTTATACAAGGCAAGTGTTGACTTGACAATTTTATCAAATGATCAACGAAAAATGCGTAAAGGAAAAGATATAGTCTGACCTTGGAATATTTTAGGGACTGAGGGAGTAATTTAGGTCAAGCAATCATGAGTCGACCCACTTTCTTTCTCAATTTCCCTTTTTTACTGCATATTTACAATCAATTTGTATGAGATAAATTTTTTGATGGAACTAAGTCATTTGAAAATTGAAATAGTAAAATTAGTAGTAATAATAATACTCCCTTAGTGCTCTTTAATTTTAATCTTTCCATTTGCTTTTTACATGGAGTTTAAGGTGAAATTGTGTGGTTGAAATTTTTATGGAGGGGAGAGAACTGATGTGAACCATGCAATTCTTTTTTTAAATAAAATGAAAGATTAATTAGGAACATCCACAAAAAGAAAGTGAGAAGATTTAAAAGGGACATATGGAGTAATTCCATTGAGTTTTATATTTGTTCATATTATTCAAATTTTTTCATCACCTAAATTTTTCTCTTAATAATTCATCACTAGTTGCGTGTATAAAAATATCTAATGAGAAGAAAATAATTTGTTTTTAATGACTAGGTGAGTACTATATTCATAATAATAAAGTTCACCCATTATCAAACCAGACCTGATCACTAGTCAAGTGAAAACAGATGAAGAGGAGAGGTCCTTATGTGCTCAGCAGTAAACAAACTAACAAATTTAAAATTATTGATGACCATTGCATCAAATCCATCAATAATTCACAAGTGTCAGAATACAAGATAATGGCTTTTGCAGCAATACTCTTGTTTTTCACATTGTTATGATGATAGATAGTCTTAGCCCTATGGATATGGTGATTGCACTTTGAGATTTTAGTTTTGACATTTTTAGAGTTTGTACATGCCTTTGTTGTATGTTAACTGTATAAACTTATTCTGTGAACTTTGTTATTGGCTTTCTCCCAGTATAATGAAATCCTGGGCAGTGGAGCATCTAAGACTGTGTATGTTTCCTACTCTATCTTTTTAATAGCTTTGATAATAGTTTTTATTTTACTTATGTTTTTCTTTCAAAGGAACACCATTTTAATTTAAAAATGTCCATTTCTATAATATGTTGAATAAGCAGCTATAAGGGGTTTGATGAAACTGATGGAATTGAGGTGGCATGGAACCAAGTTCACTTAGACGATGCATTACAATCTCCAGAGAATTTGGAAAGATTGTACACCGAGATTCACTTGTTGAGGTCCTTGAAGCATGAGAACATCATAAAGTTGCATTGTTTCTGGGTCGATAATGAGAAGAAAACAATTAACATGATCACTGAGTTATTCTGCTCTGGAAGCATGAGACAGTGAGTTTTGTCAAACTTTGTCCCTTATTTTTTCCTTATATGTCTTGTTCCATCTAAATTAATAATTTACTCTATTTTGATGTTCTTTTTACTTAGATATCGGAAGAAACATAAAGTTGTTGATATTAAGGCCATTAAGAAATGGGCTAGGCAGATTCTACAAGGTTTACATTATCTTCACAGTCAGAATCCACCTGTTATTCATAGAGATGTGAAGTGTGATAATATCTTTATAAATGGGAATAGCGGTGAAGTAAAAATAGGAGATTTTGGATTGGCTACAATGATGATGCAGCCTACTGCCAGAAGTGTTGTTGGTAATTGCCTTATTTCTCTGAGAGATTCTGCTGGTATACTTTATGAGCTGTTTATAACTATCCATCCTTTCAGCCTTGAATGTATTTTTCGGCCACACAGGTACTGCTGAATTTATGGCACCTGAGCTCTACGACGAAGAGTATGATAACCTTGCTGACATTTACTCTTTTGGCATGTGCTTATTGGAGCTCATAACATGTGAATGCCCATACAGTGAATGTATAAATCAGGCACAGATCTTTAAAAAAGTTACCTCGGTAAGATTCACTACATACTCATAATATATGTGTGGATAGAAAGATAGACACACGCACACGCGCACACACACACACGTTATGTATATTTTGCATCATAATAATTCAAATATTATCTGGTACCAGGGTAAAAAGCCAGCTGCTTTGGATAAAGTTAAAGATCTCGAAGTGAAGCAATTTATAGAAAAATGCTTGGTCCCGGCATCCCAGCGAGCAAGTGCATCAGAACTTTTGAAAGACTCATTCCTGTCGCCTCACAGTTCAACAGAACTCTGTTATGATCCTTTGCTGAGTCCAACTTCCATGTCAAAATCCACAAGCTTGTCAAGTTCTGAATCTCTCTCAATGGACATTGATCCTTCTTCTAGAATGCTTGGGAGTGTTGCTTGTGCTGAAAGCAAGAGTGGGGTACTCCAAACTTTTGAGTTTCTGAGCTGCAATGAGAAGAACGAATTTAAGTTAGAAGGGGAGAAGTGTAACGAAAAATCAATTTCGTTACACTTGCATATTGCTGGCTTTGGTGGTATGGCATTATTTGTCCAATCTTTACAAGCTTTCTTGGGATAACTCATATGTGCTTAAAATAGAAGTCCTTTCTCAATTTAAGTGATTTAAGTACTTTTTTGAATTTTATTTCCAGCCTGCTGCTCTACTAATGCATAAAAGGGCTTTTTCACTGTTAAAAGTAGTTTTACAATTTTTTTTGCCAAATGCTTCTTTCTAAAGTAAAAAGTATGTGACTTATTTCCTGAAAGCAAGTTACCCGGACGGCAGACACTCTTTATATCTGAAGGCGAATTATATACTCCCTCCTCCCCATTTGGAAATTCCAAGTGTCATTGGCACGGAGATTAATAAACTGGAAGTGTGTTGTTGATGTTTCCATATAAGAAAAAAGTACCACAAATGCATTTTCTTTGAATAAAAGTGATAAATATTCTGGGACGGGCGAAAAAAGAGAAGGAAAAAGCCAGTGGCACGAAGGAAGTATCTTAATATCATTAACCCTTCTATTTTTTGACAGGTAACGTGAGAAAAATTGATTTCCCGTTCTACCCAGAATGTGACACTGGCCTCTCAATTGCTGGCGAGATGGTTGAACAACTGGAGTTATCAAACGAAGATGTGGCGGTAATAGCTGACCGGATCGATACTTTGGTATTAAAACTCATACCAAACTGGAAGCCATCATGCACAATTTTGGGTGCTGCCAACATCTCACATGACGCCTCTACTGGGTTTCAGAAGAACAATGATTCTGTTCTTGAAAACACTCTTGAGAACAAATCAAAAGACCAGATCGTCCTTCGGAATAACAATGTCGAGGAGGAATTGGTCCAAGCATCCTTGAAACTTGATGAGCCTGAGAAGTCGTTTGGATCTGTTGATGAAGGGTGTTCAATGGTATCCTTTGCCAGTTCGATGAATGCCAAATCGGGCAGTATTAGTTCAGGCATTTCTTGCCTCTCTGTAGCAGAGAAGGGACATAACGAAGATGCATTGAAGCGAGAAATAGACGCTTTTGATATGAGGCAGCATCTGCAGCATTGCCGCGAATTGGTGAGGATGAGGGAGTCAACTGGGAATTGTAGGAGGAAATGGCTAACAAAGAGGAAGATATGTAGGGGGAAATGGATAACAAAAAGGAAGATTGATGCCTTTTGATTGTTCATACTCAAACAAATGTGATTTTTTTTTCTTCTTCTTCTTGTGATATTATTTTTTTATTCCCATCCCGGAAAGGTTTTTCTCCCTTTCCACAGAAAATCACTTGGTTTTTCAATGTTAAGAGTTAACCTTTATATACTAGTACTAGTTTGCCAATTGCCATTAGAGCAGAGTACTGGGTTGGTCCACATTTAATTTTATTGTTCATTAGTCTAGTTAGTTAATTCATGTATAATATGCATGTATGTATTAAACATTTGTTCTTAATACCCATTCAAATTCAGTTTCGCAACTTCTGCTACAATCTAATTGTCCTAGTATGGCGTACATGCTAAAGAGTCATAATTAGTGGGTTTTAAACATCATCATTTGTGATTATTTCACATATATTTTTATCCATAAACTTTAGTGGGTTTTAAACATCATCATTTGTGGGTTTTCACATATATTTTAAGTAGAAGAAAACATTGACTATATACTTGGACCAATGATGAGAACTTGGATCTCCAGCATCTCACGGCAATCTCAATGTAATTAGGAAAGAGTTCATAATTAGGAAATAAGCCTAGTAATGAGTTTTTCCATCCTAACATTCTCTCAATTATGTAAATCATGTGACACTATCATATTTGATGAAATTATTCTAACCAAGAGTTGAGTACAATGCAAAACACATACTGTTATTGATATCATTAGTTATCCTTAATTGTTTGAAATTTTGTATCATTGTAACTCTTTATAGAGGGCTCAATTTTCTCTTCACATACAAAAATTACACCCTACAAATCTACAATTCTTCTTAAGAATTGTGGATGAGGTTGAAAAGTGACTATAACTAGGATCTTCCCAGTATGGGTAGCATTTCATCCAATATGTAATAAGTTGTACATGATTGATTCAAATAATAATGCAAATACGAATTATTCATGCTATTTTTTACACTTAAAGAGAGAACGAGTCTTCAAAAGACCTAAACCGTTCAACAGAAATGAAAAAAACTCTGCATGTTAAAACACGCAAACACCAAGAAAATATAAAGTTCAAAGACAGTGAAAAACACATGATGCATATCGGTTCGGTCAATCTCTATGCCTACATCTAGTCTCAAAATAATGGTACTCGATATTCCCACTACCTAACCTCTATTCTTAATGGTAATAGAGTCATATAGAATTCTTACCACTCGAAACTTGCATACAGAAATGTCTTATCTTCCACCAAAGGCAATGCCTCAAAAATTACTTCATACTTAAATAATACTCTAAGTAGAGGAATATTGCTTCTTCAATAATAACAAGAGACTAAGCTTACCTTCATTTCTTTTACAATAAAAAATTAAGAGTTTAGAGATATAATGTCTACAAAAGTAAATTACCGAGATACAATGAGGCTTATAGAATATGGCAATGAGGATATGGATCAATTAGAATCTATTTGCTCGGTATATGAAGAATATTGCGAAGAATTAGGAATGATAATGAGTCAGGTTTGGTTTGGATTAGTATATCTAAATTCGACTTGACTTAGTTTGAGTTTGTTAGAATAGTTTCCAACACTAGGGTATAATGTGCCACAGGAGAAATCCATACTGCACAAAGGAATGACAACTACAATGTAAGGATATGCGCATACCCTAGCTTTATAGAGTTATAGTGCATTCAACACACATAAGCGTCCATGATATTAAAGTGAAACTTGTCTCACATAGCCCCCGCCACGAGATAACTAATGCACACATTGCCAACAATCTCTCTCAACAATTGCTCCCTCTAGAAATATAATTGAACTTGTGACCTTGACTCTAATATTTCTTGTAGGATCTTAGGCGCTACCAACTCTCCTGAAATCAGTGTTAGCAAATGCGCATACTTTAGCCTTATAGTGCATTGACACACATACAAGTGCTCACGACATTCGAGTGTGACTTGGCTCATATAACCTCCGCCACAAGACAACTGATATGCACACATGACCAACATTATGGCTTCTATAAGCTTTGGGCATATCCTAGTTTTTATTTCTAACTCTATTGGAAAGGGGTGGAGGATTAACCACCCTTGGGATGAAAAGGGAAGGATGAAATTAAACATGGCCAAGAACGCCATGATCGTGCCAAAGCTTTACAGTGCTTGAGCGTTCGTTGGGTCTACAACAAACTAAGACATTGTTGCAGCAGCTTTCACAATTGATATCTCGTCCCAATCACACCACTATAATCTCTAAAATTTTAGTGCTTGTATCATTGTTGTGTGGGTCTAAACATACTTAATCTCGCTTTTGGTGATGCAGAACAGCTGATGGGTCCCAACTCTAATAAATTCATCCATTCCTTTGTTGGTTAAGCCCAGTTCAACCTTACATGGTGATACATTCCATGATCGATCAAAACTAATTCTATTTGAGTTCATAATCAAGGTTCTCTAAATTTTTAGGATGTATGACCAATCACAGAATTTAATCATGTGCGGTTAGGATCTATATCTAAGAATGTGGTTCCAGGATGTGAACAATGTCCACGCAAACCTCCCTAACCCCCCATAAACTCTCATTTCATTCAAGTGCATCTCCAAGTTAGATATCATTAAACCTAGTCAATTAGTTTATTGCTTATTTTTTTGTTATTTTCTCAAATCTAAAAAGACTAAAAATTTAAAAATAAAATATAAATAATGAACATATCTAGAACAGGAAGTCGGACCACAACAGTATAGAGATCTTGTCACTAGTCACTAGGGGCTAGGGCTTTTCATTAAGACCAGAATGAACCGGACTGGATCAAAGACCGAATTAAAACAAAATACTTTGGACCAAACTGGTCTTGTTCGATTGGACTGTATAAAAGATACTTTGTCATTATTTTAACCTATTACATAACTTTTAGGCCTTTAATTCGTACCGTGCAAATAGGAAAAAATAAGATAAAATGGATAAACTAAAAATGGATGCATATGGACTACTTCTATGTACTCCGTATAATCATAAAACTACTTTGAAATATTGAGTAACTTAGAAGAATTATTTAATAAAAAAACTTATTAATGTCTAGTAAGAAGAATAATGTCCAAGTGATGCTGGATATTTAGTTGAATAATGACTAATAGATAATGATCAATGGTCCTACATTTAGAAATAAAAACATATGGTCCTAAGAAAGTCATTATATTTTAGTCCCAGTTTATATCAAAATTTTCAATTAGGACCTAACAGCCCTACCAGTACCATAAGTTACGATCTTCCATTAATGCCATCCTTCTGCATCATCAGTTGTTGTTAAGCAGTGCACAATACTCGCAAAAATGGATGCGCAATCCGACGGCCTCAACGACGAGACGGCGGCGGCGAAGGAGTTGCGGCAACAGCTAGAGTCCCGTGCGGCGTCCGTACACAACGCTCAGCTGGACCTTATCGCCTCTCTGCAGAACCTTGTCCCTAATATTGTCTCCTCCATTGATCTCTCCCTCAAGGCAATCTCTTGCTTCAGCGGCCGACCTTTCGTTCCCCTTCCCGATACTCTCTCCTCTAACCCTAACCCTAATGTCCGTTGTCCCAAATTGCTCCCCTCCGATCCCAAATTCACTCATGCTAACACTAGCAACGCACTGGGAAAGCGTTCTCCGGCGGCTTCGAGATTGGAGGATGAGAAAATGGTCATTGATGAGAGCGGGGGTCCGTTGTCTGTGGTAAGGGCTATAGTCGCTGTATGTTTGCTGGAGAGAGTTCCATTTGCGCCGATTGATTCGTCTACTGTGATAAGGAAGCTGGAGAATGATCAGTCCATAACTGCTGCTGAGAGGGCAGCTCTCAGGGAGCTTGGAGGGGAGTCTGGAGGCATACTAGCTGTGGAGATGGCATTGAAGTCGATGGCAGAAGACAATTGCGGGGTTGAGATGGAGGAATTCGTGGTAAGTGGAAAATCTAGAGTAATGGTGATGAATATAGATAGGACCCGTCTATTGAAAGAATTGCCTGAGAGCAAGCAGTTATATCAGCAGACTGAGGGATCAGTTGAGGAAAGTCGGAAGCCTGAATTGTTAAAAGCAGTCAGTGATGCTAATAATGCAGGAGTTTTTGGGGTGGGTAGGCCTGAAATGTGGATGGGAGGGCAGATGGAACACCAACCTCCCCACATGCCCGGATTGCCTCCTATGTTTCCAGGGAATATGGGTCTGAGAGGTGGTCCAAGAGGAATGGTTGGGATTATGGGTGGAATGCCAAGGGGGGTTGGTGTGCTGCCTCCATTGCCAAGGCCCCCGATTGGACCAAATGGGCAATTTAGTGGGGCAAATCTGAAGCCTAGGACTGAAGAAGATGATATGAAAGATCTTGAGGCTTTGCTGAATAAGAAGAGTTTTATGGAAATGCAAAAATCAAAAACTGGAGAGGAGCTATTGGACCTTATTCACAGACCTACAGCCAAGGAGACTGCTGTTGCTGCAAAGGTATTGAATGAAGCCTAGTAAAGTTCATGTATCATGAAATGTTGTGTTCTTATCAGAAGCACCACATTAGTTAAATAATCATCGTGTACATGATTTAACAAGTGCAATTAATTGACAGAAATTAATCACATCATGGGCTATGAAGCCTCTACAATCAAATGATTTCCCATTAATTTAGCCTTGTAGCTTGCAATTTATGCTACTATTGGGGGGCTAAGTACCTAAAATATATGTATTTTTAAACCAGAGTGACCTTCCATTGTATCATACTGATGGGTTGTAATACCATTCGTTGTCTTTCTCTACAGTTCAAAAGCAAAGGCGGTTCCCAAGTAAAGGAATACTGTTCTGCATTGACAAAAGAAGATTGTCGACGTCAATCTGGTTCTTTTATTGCTTGTGTGAAGGTCAGAGTCAGATTCAAGCCTTACAAACTTCACCTCTAAACTGTGACCTAAGAGTAAATTTGATCCTATTTCAGGAGAATATAATCTGAAGCAATTGAAGACCATTTCAGGAATATATATTGTCCAAAAGATGTACAGATTTCAACTGATATATTGAATTGACTTTGACACTTTGCTACATGTTAGGTTCATTTCCGGCGCATTATTGCTGCACATACCGATGTTAATTTGGGTGATTGCTCTTTTCTTGACACTTGTCGTCACATGAAGGTATATTCATTTTTAGTTTATGACATGGTAAATTGTGTTCATTTTTTTTGAAGTTCTATTGCTGATTTTTAATACTGAACTTGCTATGTTTGTTTTTATTTATCATTTCATTGACAGACTTGCAAGTATGTTCATTATGAACTTGACTCAACACCAGATTTGTCACATCATATGATGGGAACAGGTGCCATACCTCCACCACCCAAACCTTTGCAGCAGCGTGCTCACTATTGCTCAGAAGTGGAGCTTGGTGAGCCACAATGGATAAACTGTGACATTCGCTCGTTCAGAATGGATATTTTAGGACAGTTTGGAATAATCATGGCAGATCCACCCTGGGATATTCACATGGAATTGCCTTATGGAACAATGGCTGACGATGAAATGCGCACTCTAAATGTCCCTGCACTTCAGACTGATGGTTTAATATTCCTTTGGGTAACTGGAAGAGCTATGGAACTCGGACGTGAATGGTATACATTGAAGTTTAGATTCTGAATATAAATCTTTGCTATTACATGTCTCAAAGAGATTACTATTGTTTTAAAAGAGTAGTGGATTAGTGGCTACAGCTAAACATCATATGACGTACTCCTTGCAGTTTAGAACTTTGGGGTTATAAACGTGTTGAGGAGATTATTTGGGTAAAGACCAATCAACTTCAGCGAATTATCCGAACCGGTAGAACGGGTCATTGGCTTAACCACAGTAAAGAGCATTGCCTGGTCGGCATTAAGGGCAATCCAGAGGTCAACAGGAATATTGACACTGATGTCATTGTTGCTGAGGTGCGGGAAACGAGTCGCAAGCCAGATGAGGTAATGTGTCAATAATCTTTGGTTTTACGGGTTAAGGCACACTATTAAGCATTCATAGTTCTGGGTTTGGATCCTTGTCTATTCATTTGGTTGTACTCCCAATTAAGTTCATAGTGGAGTATTTCTGTTAGGTATTGTTGTTGAATTAGAAGTGGCCAGACACAATGCTTTATTTTATTTTCATTCTTATATTATTTGCTTCTTTTCTCAAAGATGTATGCCATGCTGGAAAGGATAAGTCCAAGGACAAGAAAGCTGGAGTTGTTTGCACGAATGCATAATGTTCATGCTGGGTATTCTCTCATCTTTAGAACCTTTCTTTCTAGTGGCCATAGCTTTGACAACAAAATTCATATTGCACATTTGACTATTATTTTGAGTTTTCTTCTTCATTTTAGTTCTATATTTTAGTTTTCTTTTTTCGATATGGCTTTTATCTTTATGCTCTTACATAGGAACAAACATACAGTGCTACTCATTATTCTTCCAAGTGTTAGGATGCGTTCCATTCAACTTATTTTTTTAGCTTATTACTTATTCTTTTTCAAATCAGACAAGATCAAATAAGAAACAACTTTAAATATAACTACAATCAGATCAAACCAAACCAGATTTTCAAAAAATCAGATCAGACCAGGGGAACAAAACGCAACCTTAACAATCTAATCATTGAGTTTTGCCTTGGATTGTCATGTGCTATGGTGTGTTACTGGACTAAGTCTTTTCTTGTGTTTCCAATCAGATGGATGTCACTTGGAAACCAATTGCAAGGGGTGCGGTTAGTTGACGAAGGGCTTAGGGCACGGTTCAAGGCCGCTTACCCAGATGTGGAGGTACAGCCTCAATCGCCTCCCAGACCAGCTGCTGCCATGGAAGTGGACCCCAGCAGCTCTGCCCAGGTGAGGAATACAGAATCTGCATAATCTCAACTACACAAAGGTAACCAGTGAATCCGTGATGTGCTATTATTAGGGAGTTTTATAGATGACTGACTATTTAGAACCTTTTGTTGCGTTTATGTGCTGTGTGTTTACAATCTGTTCCTCTCAAATACTACATGAGATTGAACAAAGTTCCATCCTTTTGTATGCTGTCAAAATGTATAAGTTTCTGAAATGATGTTTCATAATTTTCATTAGCTTTTTACTGAGTACTCGGTATTAATAATTCTGCAACTGTTTGATTTTGTCAAATTTTAATTTTTAAAATTTTCTCACTTAAAGAGTTAAAGTACAAAACGAAAGTTAGTTATTGGTCATTTGTAGGCCTCCCAATGGGTCGGGTATAGACCCAAACCGTATAGTACCCATAATTTTTTAGTGGGTTTAGGAATATTAAGAATACCGTTTACCTCTCAAATACTCGTATAATACCCATAATTTTTTAGCGGGTTTGTTGCGTAAAACATGCCTCTGTCAAATAGACATTAGTAACTTAACAGCAATCCAAAACTTGCAAATTTTAGTAAAATTAGAATTGTTATGCATTACAGTAAAATATGAGATTATTTTGAAAGAATGTGTAAAGTTAAAATTATTATGCCTAATTTTGTAAAGCAAAAGATGAAATTTGTACTTTGTTTTGTCAAATCGTTATATACTCCGTACATGATAAATCGAGATATAATTTGAGACTAGAAATCGTAATGTGGAATCTCTTTCAATGACATTACGACAAATGGAACTTTTCCGAGGTCACGCTAATTTTTGTTAATATATCTATTTTCATTGATTACTAAAATAAATAATTTTTTGTTTGTTGAACTTCTTTATTTAGCTTTCAAATATATACACTTTTTTATTCTTATACTAATTTTTTAATAAAAGAATTTTTTTAAAAACAAAATTGTTATACCAAAAAATTACCGTACTTCGTAAATCTCTTGATGAATCACACATTCATGATTCATCCATGCAAGGAAAATAAATAAGCTCATGTTTAGACCTCATTTTGTACTTCCAAATTAATGTCACACTAGTAATGCGTATAAAAGTGGGGTAAAAATATACTCCCTCCGTCCTATAATGATCTTCCCGGTTCATTTTACGAAGTTTGACCGACTTTATTTTCAAATCAATTTATTTGATTGTAGGTGTAAAATTAAAAAATAAAATTTATATATTTAAAAACTACATCAAAAGTTCTATAAAACAAGTGGTGACAAGACTATATTATTTTATCATTTACCTAATGAAAATAGGTAAAGAAAGTAATTAAGGCTTAACCGTGTAAAGAACATTACAGGACGGAGAGAATAGTATTTTTCCAATGAATATGTTGGGATAATACTCATAGTACTCATAATACCCCTTTCAAAAAGTTATGAACACAATTGCAATCAACTTTTATTTCAATATCCACACCCACAGATGCAAACCACAAAGTTTTATTGTCAGAAATGGATATGGATGATCCATTTCTGAACTCACTCTCACTCACTCCCTCCAGTACTTGTCATCCCCATTTTCAATCTCTTCTTCCTCATCCTCACCCTCTTCCGCCATTAAACTCTTCTTGAATTTCTTCACATCTTCAACCGCCGCCGTCCTGAACAACCCAACGTCCACAGTCCCAGACACCATCCGGTACCCTCTCTGCTTCATATTCTCCGGCTTATCATGCGCCATTGCAAACCCTGCCAGGTAGGCCCCATTCCCTTCGCCGGGATTGGTCAACAGCACCGCCTTCTCCGCCGTCCTCAAGACCTCCCTCACCTTCTTGTGGCCCGGATCCGCCAGGTACCCCAGGCTAGCGCTCAGATCTAACGGCCCCATCTGGATGCAGTCCACGCCCTCCACGGCGGCGATCTCCGCTACTTTCCCCACCGCGCTTTCGCACTCCACCTGGCACATTATCAGCAGCTCCTCCTCGTAATTGCTCAGGTACGATTCGTCGATTCCGTACCGGGAAGCCCTAACCACCGTGTGCGCCGACCCGCGGATTCCCTTGGGAGGAAATCGGCAGTAAGATACGGCCTTCCGTGCCGATTCGGAGCTGTCGATCATCGGGAACATGATCCCCTGCGGCCCGAGATCGAGGGCCTTTTTAGCCCAGACGTCGGAGGACTCCGGGATGCGGAGGATGGCCGGAGTACGAGCGGCGGCGAGGGCGCGAAGGCAAGGGAGGGCGTCAGATATCCCGCCGTGGCCGTGCTCCATGTCGACGACGGCGAAGTCGTAGCCGGCGAGGCCGGAAATCTCGGCGAGCGTGGGGGAGAAGCTGAGGAGGAAAATCCCGTAGAGCGTCTCGCCATTCCGGAGCCGGGATTTCAGGGTTTGCGGGGCAAGGGATTCTCTTTCTCCGGCTGCAGGCGACCGACACAGAGAAAAGCGTCTGTGGTTGGGATTTAGGGTTGGAAGAGATAAGGTTTTGGGCGGTGAATGAGTGAATGGCAGCAGAGATAAAGATTTGTTGGAGATGGAAGAAGTAAATGAGGAGCTTTTGACAGCACAAAGAGAAGAGGGAATGGTGCTAAAACAAGAAAGAGTAGCCATACCTTCTTCAACACATTTGCATAATTTGAGGATGGATATATATACTACTCCCTACATCCCAAATTATTTGCCACATTTGCTTTTTCAACAGTCGCGGGAACTTTTGTTTATTTCTACGTTTTCATTAGTTATTTGATAAAATAAAATATTCTTGACACCTCTTATTTCGAAGAACTTTTCATGTAGTTTTTTGATATGTTATTTTTATTTTTTATTTCTTTACCAATATGTAAATAAAATGAATTGAAAAAACTTGATATTTTGTCTCGGTAATAGAAATGTGACAAATAATTTGGGACGGAGGGAGTAATATACATCCTCCCTTTCTATGTGCATTTGTACATCATGTATGGATAAGCTTTGAATGTCAAATTTTGTCAATGACTAAAGCTGGCAAATTGGTGGGTCCATTTGGGTTTGGATTCGGATTCGAGTTCGGATTCAAATTCGAATATTTCATGTTCTATAGTGTCTAAGTTTTGGTCAATCCAACAAATATAAACTTTATTTTTAGAATTTTAAATCTATATTAGTACTTGTATTAAAAAATATGGAGTAATAAAATATTACTCAAGAATAAAATATATTCACTACAATGTCTAAACATTTTTCTTGTTTTGACTCTTTTTGATCAAATTGTGACATTCCTTGATCATAAATTGTGATAAAAGTATATTGAATTATAATATAAATTCAATATAATTGGGTTCATCTAAGGATATAGTTTTGCTATATCAAATTTTTACATTTATTTATTTCGATTATGTTTAATTTATGGTCAAAGAATATCAATGTTTGACTAAAAATGTCAAAATAGAAAAAAAAAAATTAAGATCAAAAAGATTATTTATTTTTGAATTTTAAATAATTTTTAGATGCACAACAAAATTAGCGGATGGAGTTAACTTATGTAGAATAGTAAAGCTAAATCATTACACTAATTACCAAAATAAAGAGTATAGCACAAATAATGACGGAAAGAATGGTTTTGGAAGTAGACCTGGCAATCGGGTCAATCGGTTCGGTTCCGGTTCGGGTCTTTTCGGTTCGGGTCTCTTTCGAATATATGTTATAATTGGTTCGGGTCGGTTCGGTTCGGGTCAGTTCGGTTCCGAGTTTATTTCGGTTTGATTGGTTTTCGGTTTTGGTTCGGTTTCGGTTCGGGTTTGTATCGGTTCGGGTTTATATCGGTTCGGGTTTATATCGGTTCGGGTTATATCGATTCAGGTTTGTATCAATTCGGGTTGTATTGATTTGGGTTTATATAGATTTGAGTTTATATCGATTTAAATTTATATTAGTTCAAGTATAATGAAACACATGCATACTAATAAATGAATAAATCACATAATAAATTTAGTTAATTTAGTTAACTATAATTTTTATATACTTTCTATAAAAATACAAAAGTATTTTAACTTAAGTTATAAACTGCAAAGTAAAAGATTTGTACATGAAAGTAGTTACATGGTTTGCACCCATAATTTAAATATGTTTTTTTAGAAACACATCAACATATGTAAAAATATATAGGTAATTCAGTTTCTCCAAATTCATTTGATAAATGAAATATTAATGAGTTTGATCAATTTCGGGTCTAATCGGGTTCGGGTCTAATCGGTTCCGGGTTTAACCGGATTTGGGTTTAACCGGGTTCGGGTTTAATCGGTTCAGGTTTAATCTGTTCGGGTTTAATCGGATTCGGGTCTGAACCGGGTCTGAATACATTCGGTTCGGGTTTGGTTCGGTTCGGATCATTTCGGGTGTTCGGTTCTATTTCGGTTCTTCAGTTTTCAGGTCAAATCGAGTTCGGTTCCGAGTTATTCAGTTCGGGTTATCGGGTCCGGGTCAGTTTTGCCAGGTCTAGTTGGAAGCACACATAGCCTAATTGTTATAAATATATCTGAGAGTAGTATCAATATCAACTACTCTCAACATGTAGTAACACTTACTATAAAGATTAACAAATACAACAAAAATGTTATTGATATCATTCCAATCATCCACTATAGCTTTTAAGCCGTCAACATTGCAATCTTTGCTCACTCTACCCTTTATATTAATACCAAATCTTGTTTTCGACGCCACTGAACGACTAGCGGGATCTGCCTTATAGACCTTCTGCTCCTTTACGATTTATGCTTGATATCATTCCAATCATCCACTATAGCTTTTAAGCCGTCAACATTGCAATCTTTGCTCACTCTACCCTTCTAATCCTTGGAGAAACTGCCAGATCCTGAAATGCAAGGGTAGGCAAGCACACTAGATTTATTTGAACTTGTCAATATTAGGTTATACTCTAAGACTCCATTTCTGGTCTTGTGAGTAGGGACGTAAATGAATCGAATATTTTTTGTTCGATTCGTGATTCGTATTCGTTTAAGATGATTCGTATTCGATTTTTTCAAATCCGAATACGAATACGAATCCGAATAAATATTCGAATCCTTAAGGAATACGAATATGAATCAAGGATATTCGATTCGTGAGTTTGACAAATATATTCGGAATATAAATCTAATTATACATACATAAATACATACATACATACATACATACATACATACATACATACATACATACATACATACATACTTACTTACTTACATACATACATACATACATACATACATACATACATACATACATACATACATACATACATACATATATATATATATATATCAAATGGTTATAAAATATTTTAAAATCTAAATGAACTCAATAATTTTAAACGAACCGAATAAATTTAAACGAATCAAATATTTAAACGAACCAAATATGTTTAATATATTAAACGAACCGAATACGAATCTTAAAAAATATTCGAACCGAATTCGAATTCGAATTGGAATACCACTCCATCTTAACGAATATGAATATTTTTCATGAATATTCAATTCGATTCAGTTTGTTTACAACCCTACTTGTGAGTATCATCCGGAGCAAAAAGTAATTTTTTTTTAATTCAACTATTGAATTTTGCCTCTCTCTACTACCCGCCACACATTACTTCTTGATCAAAGTTCTTCCTTGACCACTCTTGATCAAAATTTATAAATTATGCCCAAAATAAAATATTGACTTATAATACACAAAGTATAAATTTAATATCATAAGATTTATTTTATAATATCAAATTTTTGTATGTACGAGTAATATTTGTGTATAAATCCAGATACTAATGATTTGTATTGAATACTGTGAAAAATCAAATGAAAACTGTTGCCGATGGTACCAATACTCGTCATGCTACGTAGTAAACATAGGTTACACAAAAAAACATAAAGTTTATTAACAAAATTACATTTCAATGTTGCATTCATGGATCATTAATATATATAACATATATATCTATGGAGGATCTAAAGGGATACAAAAGGGGATATAAATTAGATTTCCCCCACAATTACAAAAAAAAAAAAAAAACCCATTTATATATATAAAGATATAATGATACCAAGCATGGATGGATCATCTGCACAAAGAAGCTTGTTTCCTCTTCTTGCACTGGGAAATAAATGAATGAATTTGTGTGTGTATAGGCAAGCAGCATGGGTTCCACTTATTTGTCAGTCTGAAAGAGGAGGAGGGCTGTGACCTTTGAAGAATCAAACATTATATCAGCCTGCCGGCAACATGCTTTGGTACTCTCCCTCCCTCCCTCCGTCCTGTAAGTTCCCCCCCCACCCACCACATCACACACAATAAGATTGTGAAAAAAAGAAAAAGAAAGACAGAGAGTCAATGAAACTGTAACAGATGTAGAGGCAATTTAAACTCCAAACCTGAATATACATCATAGTTTTACATGCATGATGAGAATGGATCATAGGGGGGGCGTCAAGAATCCACTTCTCTTCTGCCTCTGCCCTCTCTTCGTCTTGACATGTCGTTTAACCGTTGTTGCAACTGGTCGCACTAGAAGTATTAGTATCATATACTTTTATTGCATGCAAGACGTTAAAGCACTAAATTTATTGAGATTTATGTGTGGTTCTTTACTAAAAGATCACATCTCCTTGTTGGACTTGTCAACTTTTGTATGGTTGTTTTACTTTTTAACCAGGTCAAATCATTTTTTAGAATTTAAGGTTTACGATGGGTAGTCTACAGCTTTATATGCGGTATGTATGTGTGTGTGTGTGTGTGTATCCATATGCGGATAGCAGGTTTACCAGCAGCCGCAAACGGAGTAGTTAACCAATAGGCAGCCTGTTTAAACCAATTGTTTTCTATTTAAAGGGTATTGACCTATTATATTATTAGGTTGAATCACACATAAGCAAACTGTCGAAAGTAATCACCTGCAAGTACTTTAACTTTTCGGCAGTTAATTCATCAGTCAAGTTAACCATCCTGCAGAGAGATATAGAGAGAAAGGGAGAGAAAGAGGTGGGTTCCTTGAGCTATAGTATGTAATATATGAGAAAGATATGAAATAAATTCAATATTTATAAACAAACCTCGTTTGGAGCTCAGAAATTTTAACTAGAAGCAAGCGTTCCCGCTCAGAAGCAGCTGTTTCAACCTGTGGTAATGGTATTGTATCCAAAACATTAAAAAGGCAATGTGTACTTAAATTGATGACAATGTGTTTTACTCCCTCCCTCCCTCTCTAAATAAACTTCATTTTGCACAGGATCTTTCTTTACATAATTTAAAATCATTTGCTTCAACAAAATAGTCATGTCTTTTATAGAACTTTTCATGTAGTTTTTAGATATATAGATTTTATATTTTAATTTTACATCAATTAATCAATATTTAAATAAATTGAATTGAAAATAAAATTATTTAAACATTGTAAACCAAATCAGAAAGTCTATTTACGAATAAAGGGTTATTTAAAAAAATTAAGAAATGGTTGAATAAAACCAATCTTGATAAGGTAACAGGAGAGTAAGACTACATGAAATTATGCTTTTTATGTACTACATAAACAAAAACTTGAATATATGTTTCATATGGTTGTGTTTTAGAAATATAGAAGTATTTAAATATACTCTCTACATCCGCAAAACAAGTTGTCATTTCGGTTTACGATGATTGACCCGAATTATTTTTAAATTTATTTTATTTGGAAATTGGTGTAGAACTAAAAAAATATAATTTACATATATTTAAAACTACAAAAGCTCTACAAAAAAAGAGGTGACATGATTATATTATTGTATCAAATGATCAATGAATGTAAGGGAAGAAGATATAGTTTGACTTTGTGTATAGTATATGAGAACTTGTTTTGAGGGGCCGAGGGAGTAATATGCTAGTATTAGACGTATTATGGTTGCACGTTCTTATTTGTTTTTAGTATTCCATTCTTATTAGGTTTAGACATATCATATCTCTATCTAAGCATTGCACTAGCTTAGTCTTTAGAAGTTATAAGGTTTGAGTTTTATATCAATTAAAATAAGTATGTCAATGTTAAGTTAAGTTCAAGTGAAGTTAAGTTCAACGTCAAGTTTTAACTTTAATTTTTTTATCAAGTTTCAGCATATGATCTCTCCAGCTTGAGGCGAAGTGTTAAAAATATAAAAGTTGTCTAAATGAGGAAACCCAAGTCCTAGAAGTATTTGGTTGCCTATTCACATTAGATTTAGCCATTCGGATTTCCAGCAAATATTGTATTTAAGTCTATATTTTTCTCTGAAAGTAGTATCATTACTTTACAAAATTTAGATGATCCAAAGCTCGAAACAGGAAAGAGAAGGATTTCTCCTCTAAAAAATAATGCCTTTTTGTGGCATTTTACCCAGAGACAAGAAGAAGGCAAGCCATGTGTATGCCATAGTAATTGAAATGATGTGAGAATATCCTAAGGGAAAAAAAATTGCTTGGTAAAAGCCAAACATGAACTCACAGTATCGTTATTCTCTGAAGTGCGTTGTTGTGGATGCATTTTCCCGTTTTGAGATGCTGAGAAAGGATGAGAATAAACTAAGTAAAACAAACCCAATTTTACATGCATGATTATGTACACACTACCACTTTGATCCTTCACTTACCTTCGCCTGCGGATAATTGCATACTATTCAACAAACTCATAATCATGTCCTGTAAATGCAACAAGGTATAAGCATCATGCTTGAAAAACTTAAGGATTCAAAAACAGAATAATAGGAAATGATGAGCTTTGTAGAAAAAGATTTAAATTAATGTTAAACCTAAATAAGCATACATTACCTGTTGAATTGAAGTTTGTTGAAAAAGATTTTGAAGGTGGGGCATAAGAATTGATGCAGGTACATTACCATGAATACTTTCCTTTGGCGACTGATTGGATGTCTAGAAAAGAAAAACAATAAATTGTTAGCTATGCTTTCCCCATCCAACAATTGAAGGCTTTTTCATTTGTCAAAGAATGTGTCTTTGTAGCTTGTATCCTTTTGGCCACAAGGGGGTAAATGAGTGATGCACCAAAAGAAGAGAACAATAAAAATTAGACAAACCATTTGTTTATTCTCAGGAACCCATTCTCCAATGCTTGCAGCCTTCCTCAGCGGAGATGTCTGGTAATCACATATTTTTTAGATCAAACGCAGCTTACAGATCAATAAATATCTCACTATGAATAAAACAAATCATTCACCAACTTACTTGAGAATACCGCCGAGGAACTGAGCATAAAGGGATATCCTAACATTTATATTTATGTCAGTAAACAAAGAATTTATCAATTATAAGTAATACATGTTTTCAGAATACTCTGTGTGGGCATACCTTAACAAGATCCAGATTTTCTGATGTCACAGAAAACCGCCCTTTTATTTGCACCAAGTTGGCTTTTGACTTGTCATCCAATGTGTCTCTGAATCCTAAAGCAAAGCCCCATTTTATTTAGAGTTCCCATAAACATGTAGTCTGTTGAATAAATATAAATGCACCAAACACACAAAAGAACTTACCACTAGATGGTTTAATAGGAGCTGACAAACTATTAGCTGAAGCACGGTTTGGCAACATTAAAGGACCACTAAAACTAGGTGCTTTTCGCACTTGAGGAACTCTCTCCACAGGTTGGTTTTCAATCTCAGTCCTGGAAGAGAGTCAAGTTAAAAACGGAAAATAAGAAGCAGTATTTGCAATTAATAGTACTAAAACATAGTGTTTTCCCCTGAATAGTAATTAATATTTAATAATCCGCAAATAAAATTTATTTATTTATTTAATTGTTAAAAAGATACTTCCATCTTCTCGGATGGAGCCAAATATTCACATATATTTGGTTTTGGACTAAGATGGAATAAAGCAAAATGGTTCTTAAACTAGTTGTGCTTCTTTTGATAATGGAGTAACAGTTAGTCAATGCAACGTTCAACGCTGATCATGGGTCATCTGGAAACAGCCGCTCTATGTTTTAACATAGGGGTCAGGCTGCCTACATCCGACCCCCCCCCCTACCCTGCAATGGGCAGGAAGGAGCCTTTAAGGCACTGGGGTAATGTTGTTGTTGTAATTAATTGTTAAAGAATAATGTTCTTTTACCATATTGCCCTTATAAGTTAATCATAATACTCCGTATATTCCAAAGGTGGCTAAATCTACTCCTCTTTTTGCTAAATCCACACCATTTATGACAATGTCCAATTTTATCATTAGCTAGTCCAAATGTTACTTTTCCTTGTTTTTACACTTTAAGGATATATTTGTCTATTTGTGACAAAAGGTGTGGATTGAGCAAAAGATCGAAGAGTCATCCTTGTGCTGCCAACCATGACTTTTGCCACATCACATAGGCTGGAAGTGTTGAAGGACATGGGAGCATGGAGGATGTTGTCAATAATTTGCGTGAACAAGCTCTGACAAGTACTTCAACCCTACAGCGGCAACGGGAAACTATCTAAGAACCACAAGGATGCACGAAAAGCCTCCTATGGCCGAATAAATGATGATAAAGAAGGTTTGAACCAAGTGGGGCTGGAATAGGGGAGATTGGGTATGGCGGTGTGGCCGTTTAATGGGGAGGGCGGTGTAGCAGTGATGGGAAGAGGGACTTGGCAGCAGCTTCAATTCCTCTCTTTCTTTCTTTGTTTTTTTTTTTTGCATTTTCCTTCATTCTGGTGCCACCGCAAGGACATTGAATGTCGTTGAGATCTTTTTCATCACAGGCAGAAGGATATTGAACACCGTGAACAATGGAATCACAAAGACATTGAAATCATGATAGATATTGAGGGAACGAGGTGCAACGGGCGGCTGGAAGCGGCCACATGGTGAATAAAGTTGAATTAGGGTTAGAATAAATCTAAGGATAATTTGGTACATCTATGTTAATTATAATTAATTGATTATATATTCTTGTTAGGGAAACTAGAACATATGGTACTATATGAGAAAAGTACTAGTAATGTTTTAGTACCATTTAGTAATTTTCTCACATAAGAAATATATACTCATGTCCCTAATTAATGCCTCACTTTGACCGGGCATGAGAATTAAGAAAATAGAAATTGTAATTGGCATTTATTTAAAGTAGAGAAATAATATGAACCACATATTGCTTTCTTTGAAATAAACTGATGAGAAATACATTAGGGGTGGATGAAAAAGGTAAGTGTAACCATAATTTTAGGTACAAAGGGAGGAAGACATAACAGGGAGTTCATGGAAAAACACACCACTGATCTAGAACTACTTTTTATGTTCAAACACACTGCAAATTCCAATTAGTTTGAATGTAATGAAGGCAAAGAAGAAACCTTTCTATGTTACGAGCCCTTTCTGGCGTAGAATGACTTAACACAGTGCCTGGAGTGAGAGGTCCACTCTGACTTTGGCGAGGCTTTCCTGTTTGAGTTCTAGTCTTGGTCTGTACAACCTCCTTGTCTGAAGTAAGTGGTGGAAGATTTGTTTTAGATCCATTCTTTCTAAGTTCAGTTTTCCTTTGGTCGGATTCCAGTAAATCGCTGTCAAGATCTTTTTCCTTCTTGCTCTGGCACTCAGCTGCAAGCACCTCACCAACACTTGTTTGTGCACTAAACACATGAAGTTCATGGCACAAAAAATCATTTAAATGCTCACGTTGTGATTTAGTTATCAGTATTAAACTAACTGTCCATGGGTACACTATGAGAGTCAAGATACAACTGTACAGTGTAAGCCAGTCTTCAACAGTCAAGACGATGTTAAGTTCTGGAACTAATTCAAAAGATATCTAATTCTTGCATAAAAAGAAACACAAAACTTCTACCTGGAAACAGCATTTCCATTGGGACTCGACCCTCCTAAATTTCGTCCAGAAATAGATACAACCTGCCAGTATAAGCAAATTAAGGCTATGATGTTAACTGATAAATAAATGCTCAGAGATAAGGAGGCTTAGCCAGAGTCATTAAACCAAACTATAAATGAAAGTACATAATAAGTATCACCAAGTTTTAGAGGAAAATTACAAACCTCGCTACTTAAGCAAGGCTTCATATTTTCATCATCTTCCTTCATATCTTGGTCATCTTCATCTGGCACCTGTCATAATGCAATAGATGCTATAGACTTTCTTTGAAGAACACACCACCTCTAAGGTGCAGCATTGTATCAGTTTGACATATAAAATTCCAGACATACCAGTGATGCCTGAAATTTCAAATCTTCAAGATCAAAGTTCCATGCACTAACACCTCGCTGGTATTCACTCTGGGTAAAAATAATTAAATGAAACAAAATTAGAAAAAATGTAGAAAAAGAAAAACAAGCATCAAGTTTATCCCCAAAAAAGAAATCAACCCTTGTAATGTTCTAAGATAGGTTACACATGTCATTATAGATCACTCATCGAAATAGGGTAAAAAACTTCTTCAACATTATATCTCTTTAGGAACAAAAGAAAGCATCTAAGCGTTCTCTATCTACAAAGAAAAATACAATAAAAGCACTGTCGTCGTAAATCAGACAAAATGAAGATGTGCCATTATCATTTACCAGTTCATCCATTTAACCCATAGACATTAGACATTAAAGAATTGTCTTGGTGATAAGAGTGATTGCCCTAACCTGTGATATTGCTTCTTGTTCTGCTGAAGGCATCTTCTTTAAAGCAAGTTGAGCAGCATCTCTAAGCTGCAATATACCCCCAGAGGAAAAATGAAAAAAAAAACCCACAACAACAACACTATGAAACTAGAAAATACCACCATGATCGAATACCTGGAGATCTTTTACACGATTCCAAAGTAGAGGCAAGTCAGTAAATAGTTTCTTTACAGACAGCTCCGGAGGCTTGGCATGCTTGAAAAAGGAATGTCTTAACAGCTTGTCTGCAGTAGGCCTTTTAGATTGGTCTTTCACCAAGCACATTGCAACCAGTTCTTTGAATGCCTAATTAGAAAAATAAAAGATGACTACTTTATTATAATTTTCTCTGGTCGGTAAACTCTTATTAATTTCTCCAGAGACTTCTTAGAATAATACTCCCTCCGTCCCAAAATACATTTTCCACTTTTGTTTTTGGGTCATCCAAGAACATAACTAATTTCTTCTAAGGAAAGCATTGAATGGTTCATATGTTTTATCTCCTTGGCATAAATCTCAGCCACAGAATTTCACTTATTCTTAAACTCCATGAAAAAGTAAACGGGAAGTGTGATTGGGGAGAGCGGAGTACAATTTTGCATACTCTGTACTATTTATCTAACTTACACAAATAATAATATGACTTTAATCATGCACTCATACCAAATTAACATACCACTTAGTATTTGAGAGTTGAAGGCATGCATATATCCACAACACCATTTGAAAATTTAAACATATGCTTGTGTGGATCATATTGCGAATTCCTCAAAAGTAACAGCATTACCTTAGAGAATCTTTTATCACGGTCATAATCAAGACCAGGAGGTGCGTTTTGTATAGTCATAAGAAGAACCTACAGCAAGTGAAGGGAAAAAGCTTGATAGTCAATGCATACTAAAGCACATGCAGCATTGGTAATTGTATTTTTCCTAGATCTTAGCAAGTAATACAAACCTTCATTGGAGGATATTTCGAAAATGGTGCGTGACCATGAGCCAACTCCAGTGCAGTTATTCCAAATGACCAAATGTCTGCCCTAATGGAGGAAGAAAACAAAAAATATGCATCCGTGACAACAAATTTGTTTCCTTTTCTTAACGATGCATCAAACACACTAGAGATAGCTGACATAAAGTATGTCAAGTGAATATAATAGGACTAGTGAAACAGGTTTGTTGAGGTTGGGAAGTGAAGGCCGGGGGCTTATATACATCAAAAGAAACAATTAGGTGGATTTGAATGATGAAAACACCTTACTTGAAATCATATCCAGTTCCAGGCTGCAAAACTTCTGGTGCCATCCTTTGAGCAGAAATAAGTTGTAATACATGTTGACAAAAAGTTAAATAGTAAAACATATTCACTGAAGGGAAATAGAGAAGCTGCTGAACTTAAATACTCACCAGCATGGAGTTCCGACAAATGTATTCCTCGATCTCCGTCTCTCGCCCATGTCAAACATGCATGCTGAAACACCAAAGTCTGCAAGCTTTACTTCCCCATTAGTGTCTAACAGTATATTTCCCGCCTGCAATAACATGTTTTAGATAAGAATCTTTTAGATTGTTGGTTTAGAGATTTGGTAAGATCACACACAAAAAATTCTAGAAAATGGAAAGGACTGCAAAACTGAACTGACCTTAACATCACGATGAATGTGGCCATGCCGATGGAGGTATTCCAAAGCCTTGAGTGTTTCTTTAAGTATAGAACTAATTGCGGACTCTTCAAATCCTTCTGGGTACGCTGTCTTCATGAGGTGCAGACAAGAACCCTCGGCCATAAAGGGCATGACCACCCAAAGGTAGCTATCAACAACAAAAGAGCAAAATGCTCTAATAACATTTGGGTGATTTATTAAACTCATTGTTTGGGCTTCTCTGCGTATGTCATCCTGTAGAAAATAAAACTCTTCTAAAACATCTCTATTGTATTACTTCATTTAATCAAAATACTAAGGGTCTGTTCGGATAATAGTGTAATAACACGACTGTGTAATTACTATGGTAGTAATTCCATGCCAATGTAATTACACAGATTTGTAATTATGTGGACTGTTCTGTAGTCACAGTGTAATGACTAAGTAATTACTTTAAATGTGATTGATTACAGAAGAGTGTAATTGATTCATGTAAATTAAAAGGCGTGAAAGTGGTGTAATTACACCGATTCCGACCTCCAGCTCAGAATTGGAAAATGTAATTGCGACCCTCCAATTAAACACTACATTTGTAAATACACAACTAATGAAACAGAAAAAGAGTAATTATACGCAATTACACGAAATCCTAATAACACGCATGTTATCCATACAAGCTCTAAGTCTTTAGGATGAGAGTCAGCTATTATCAAATCCAATCAAATTATCTCTGGAAATCTTAACTCCATCTATCACTACTTCCAGTGCATAATTTTGATCTTTAGATAATTATTGAGAACGAGTAGAGCCTTCTCATCAATACCAATTCTTTCAATCATAACTCATAAAAATTGATTTTTTCCCTGAGACATATTGAGCGTCTTACAGAATGCTGAAGAAGATTGATGAATTATCCTTTCATGTTATAAGTTATAACTAGAAATGATATATTTTGTGATCATTCTATCCCAAGTGTTTAAAATGCAGTCTGCAGAAAGTTTTCAGGTTCAAACACTAGTCAGAAGATTACAGTAGCATACACGGATTGACAGCATTTAATTTCCCAATTCTAAACCCAAGAATCATGACCAGCACACCAGAGCCTTGCATAGGAGCTAAACTACAAACAGCAAAACCAGTATAATCCTAACTTTGTTGGGGTCTGGCAGTTGAAACTTGCCACAGTAAAAAACAGAGGTTGTTTCTGCTAGACCCTTGGACCTTGGTGCATCGATGCCCAAAATTTCATGGAAAGTAAGAAGCAAGGAATGCGTTATGTGTCATTTTGATTTAGTCCATTATATACCCAAAGCTAAAACATTATTTAAAAAAATGACTCTTTTAGCTCCATCAGATAGTAACAATTCAAAACATCATCATTGCTAACATAAATGCAATCTCTAGACATAAAGATTCCATTTTTCTTTGCACCAAAACAGCGAAATTAAGCTAGCATGACAAAACCATTTTGTCAAATGTTTGGGTAGTAAAGATAACTGGGCTAGTTACCAATAGACACCCCTCAGACCAAATGAAGAAAACCCTTAAGTAAACAACTGGAAGACTAAAATAAGTTTTTAGCTTGCTTCATATGCTGTCTTAATCAAACTAGTAACTGAACCATCATCTTCCGCTCAACTCTCATACCCTAGGTCCTTTCCCTCAACTTTACCATATTGAATTGCAGAGAAACATTTCAGTTGCAAAGCCCATAACTTCAATGTGTACAGAAAATTAAAACAAGCTCAACTTTCCCAGCAAATCAAGATAAGATTTTGGGAGCAAATCCCCCAAACTCGGATTCTTACAAGGCATTATCTTAGCTGAAAGTTAACTGAAAGCAAAGTACTAGCTGCGGGAAGGCGAGGGGACAAACCAGATTGCTGTTACAGCGATCGAGATCCAAACACTTGACGGCCACAACATCATTGAGAGGGAGATAGATCGCTCTGTAGACAGTAGCGCTGGCGCCATAACCAACCTCTTCAAGAAGCTTATAGTCATCGGGATTTGCCGAGTAGTTCTTCTGAGGACTGATCATGGTCCGCCTCCTTCCCGTCCTCCTCCTCCGCCGCCGCCGGTGGAAAACGGATGAAACCGCCGATAAAAAAAACCCACCTGAAAAACTTTCAGCAGAAATGTCGGAGCAATTCGCGGATACAGATTTAGATAGAGAGGCGTCTTAGACGGATATATGGACCGGAAGAAGAAGAAGAAGAAAAGCTAAGCTGCTGTATTACAAAGCTCCAAATAATTAGCGGATATAATTAAGATTTTTTTTTTGGGGGGGTTCATTATTTGAGATTTTCTAAATTACAGGCGATATTTTCTCATACGGGGGAGCGATTTTTACTGACAGTGTTTTTTATCGAGCGGTTGACTGCCATGGACAGACAACAGGGGAGCGCCATCAGGTGGGCGCTAGTGTGAATCCAGGTTACGGATCCGTAGACATCTTATCTCCCCCCAGTAAATTCTATAATTGGTCCTCTTTATAACAGGGAGGTTTCCCTATTTAGTCCTCTATTATCAAATATTACGCCAGTAGTCCTTCTTTTATGAGTACTTTTCCACAAATAGTCCTTTTTTGATCTTCTATCATGTTGGTGTTAATTTGAGGGCTAAAAGTGTAATTTCACAATGATAATATATCTTTTTTGTCATACACATTTCCAAAGGCTGTTCCGTTTGCGTCATTTGTGAATTACAGTCGCTTTTTACGACAACTATAGTCTACAAATGTTATCTTTCGTCAGAATCCTAGCCCACAATCATAGTCATTATCTTTGTGTTATCCACTTAACCAATATCAGAACACGTCACTAGACATGATGTTGACGTCAAATTATATTTTTAGTCTTTAAATTAACACCAACACGGCAAAAGATCAAAAAAAGGACCATTTGTGGAAAGGTACCCTTAAAAAAAGATTACGGGGGTAATATTTGATAATAGAGGACTAAATATGGAAACCCCTTTGTTATAAAGGACCAATTATGAAATTTACTCATCTCCAAAAATTCACAATCAATACTTCCAGATTTGATCAATTATACTCTCTCCTTTTGAAAATAAAGTTCATGATTAGTTTAGGATGATTGATTAAAGATATTTTAAATCAGTATAATTAAAAATTTGTATAAAATTAAAAAATAAAATTTATTCGTATATATTAAGAGGTGTGTTAAAAATTCTACAAAACAAGTGGTGACAATATTATATTACGGAGTATTTTATTAAATAAATTGATGAAAATGTATTAAAAAAAAGAGTTCGTTTGACATGTGAATAGTAACTAAGAATCTTTTTTTAGATAGGAGTACTTCGTATAGTTTATTTTGAAGTTTTCTTTTGCATGTTAACACTCCAAAAAATCATTTGATTTAAAATTGTTACTTCAGTCCGGCTAAGCCAACTTTGGACATAATTACGTGAAATTATTATGTCAGGCTATTCTTTACGAAATACGAAGTGGGGTGATGTGGATGCTGCAGTAGAAGTAGGTTGGATAGGATTCCGAACGAAGTTATACGGGAATGAATAGGAGTGACACATGTAGAGGATAAACTACAAGAACCTAGGTTGATGTAATTTGGGCAACTGAAGCGGTGAAGCATTGAGGTCATGGTCTCAAGATGTTAGAGGCTTACAATAGTGGGCGGGATGGGAAAGGATCACAGAGCAGATCTAGGAATAATAATCACAAAGAAGTGATTAGATAAGACTCAAATTTTCTATTCCTTAACATAGATATAACTTTCGATATCTAGAAATCTAAGTTTGTGGAGGTTGGATAGTCAATTGGATCTTAGGTAATCTTTTTGCTCTTTTGTGTGCTTTCTTTTTCTGGGCTTGATGTTTTTTGTCTCTTTGTGTTTGTCGTCTCTTACTTTGCTTTTTTGTTTGTTGTGTCCATTCTTTGTGTACTTTCTATGTAGCTCGAGCTGAAAGCTCCTTGGAAGCATGCTTTCTACTTTTGAGCAAGGGTTGAGTCTCTGTACGCGCGCACTTCCTACCCAAACCTTTCTTTCATCGCATTACTGGATTATTGTTAGTGTTGTTGTAAGTGTATAATTTACCAACTTATGAAATTTGGAACGATTTTTTCTTTTTGTATTTTAGAATTTAAATCTCAACTTATTTCCTACTTTTATGTTTTTTATTTTTAGTTTCCAATCCTATCACTTATTAAATACTCCATCAGTCCCAAAACAAATTATCTTGTATGGTTTTCCATTAATTTTTGTTTACTTTTGGATTTTCATTAATTATTTAATAAAATAAAATATTTTTGTCGCTTCTGATTTTAAAAATTTTCTATGCAATTTTTGAATATGTAAGTTATAAACTTATTTCTATACCAATTTCTAAATAAAACAAATTTAAAGCACAAAATTTTATATGTACTTCCAAGAGTGTATTTAATTATATATAATAAATATGAAGTACTCCCTTCGCCCCCCAACAAAAATTCTACATTTTCTATTTTTTTTTCTTCAAAAAAAGGGCTCAATTTCCACTTATGAAAAAAATTACAAAAAGAGTACATTCTCAAAATGATTCTTTCTAATAAGTATTTTCTCAAATCAGTCATCAATAATTTTTAATTATCTTCGTAGTAATTTATATGGAGTACGGAGTATTTAAAATTTACTCCTAAATAGTCCTTTGAAGAAAATGTAACTTAAATATCGATTAAGTAGAACGTATTTTGGTATTTATCATTTTCTAAACTTAGACTAAGTTCTCAAAATAATCATTTCAAATGAAGTATTTTTCCAAAATGATCTTTTCTAATTAAGGTGTATTTGATTCAAATTTTAAAATATTTTGGTAGATTTTTAATAATTCATTGATTATGTGTAACCAATGATACATTAAATTGTATAGAAATGACCACTTTCAAAATATATTTTAACTTTAGATAAAGAAAATACCAAAATATCCTCCAGTTAATAACCATTTAAGTGACATTTGTACGAAGGACTACTTGTGAACAGATCTCAATTATAAGGTAAGGTAATTAGAATTTATTGAAAATTAATTTGAAAAAACACTCCATTAGAAAAGACTATTTTAGAAATTTACTCTTACAAATATGCTTGAATAACTAGTATGGAAAAAAACGAAACCACGAGTCCTGCACGGTTCATGACAAGTAGGGACGGGTCCAAGATTTCATTTTTTATAACTGGGTGGGTTGAGTCGGTTCATTTATTTAAATGGGCGGTAGTGATTCTGAAATTAAGATTTTTATAGGACCTAGACACAGCTGTTAATTTGTATACTTTAACATTTTAATTATTAAGTACTACCTCCGTCTCTGAGTATTTGTCCAATTTCGACTTTTTTCGATAAACTATTTTCAACCTTTGACCCATAATTAAATAAAATATATATTGTATATTAATTAGATAAAATAATATTTTGAAAGTATTTGATATAATAAATCTAATAAAACTATTTTTGTATCAATATCTAATATCATTTTTTTAGTTTGAGGTCAAAATTTACTAATTTTGACCAAAAAAGGTCAAAAATGTACAAATACTCTGAGACGGAGGGAGCGTAGATTACATGTAAATACAATATCAGTATATCTGGAGCATAAATTATACTCCAGCTAGTAACATATAGTAGTCATATTCTTACACATAAACTCAATAAGTTGTACCATTTTATTTTTATCTGTCGGCCAGTAACGCATAAACGCTATGCATCAATTATACTTCATTCGTCCCTAAAAACATTTCATATTTCGATTTTGAGGAGAGTAAATGACAATAATTGATAAAATTGAGTAGGGGTTTGTAAATATCAGAATAGGTTTGGGATATGTTAGGCTAAAATTTAAAAAAACAAGGACATTTAGGTTTAAGAATTTTTTTTAAAGAATAAGTGAAAAATGAAAATTTTTTAAGAACGCAGTGAGTATTACATGACACATTAATACATTAATACAAAAATAAGCTTGTATTTAGAAAAATACATGCATTTGGTTGGTCAATGCTGCATCATCATCATCATCATCAAACGTTGCTGCATCATCATCATAAGTGGGTTTTATATATAGAATTATAAGCTTGGTTATTAGGAAGACCGATTATGCTTTTGCCTTTTATTCTCCCAACAGATAGTTTTTGAATCATTTACAGAGTATAATTTGTATGCTTCCAAATTGAATTTCAATCATGTATACTCTAATTGAACATGACCCAGAGAGTTGACTCATTTCAAACAAGCCAAGTTAGAACCAATTACAATTAAGATTTATCGAGGACCCATCCCGTTTGTAGAAAAAATTTGGCCTGAATCAACTCATGCCCACCTCTAAAAATAACACCGCGATCGACATCACGAATAAAATTGTATGTAAATGTATGCACACGCAACGATAATCGTCTGTGAATTGTGTATTCACATGTGATTATTGCCTTTGTGTATAAATTCACAAACAATTATCATCCGTTATGTCAACTACGATATCATCCATGGAGTTATTTTAATACTACTTTTGAATTGTTTGGTAATGTTTTTGTAATAACGAGATTACTCAAATTACAAAAACGTTTGAAACCCACCAAGTTTGACACCAAGTGTTTTACAAACAATGATTGTTTGTGCGTAACAAACAATTACTGAACATATCCGAAACACTTGGGGTCAAACTCATAAGGTCAAATCTAGTTTCTAGTGTGACTCTTTAAATCAAGTAGTCCATTGTTGATTGAATCAACAACCCATACTTGTAAATCTAGTAAGCTTAGTTGTGTGCTACGGCGATGTCATAAATGTGTCATCGCCATTTTCGCGGGAAAGTGGTCGTCGCCATGATCGTCCACATTTGCCCTGAAAACTATCGCAACCGAAATCGCAATTTGGGATGCTAGGGGGCTCAAAACTACAACTAAGCCTAAAGTTACATGAAAAACGAGTAACACGGAGTTCATGATTTCATGCAGCGTTGAGATATGCCCCAAAAGTCAAAGAACTCTACAAATCAATGAAGATAATAAAATACAGAGTAAAGGGGGGGGGGGATAATTTCAAGTTTTTTTGACTTGTGAACTCGAAGTATATCTAATTCTATAAACTACACCCATCACATAAATGTGAAAGGCCAAATAATGTACATGTACTTGAGCCGAGTTCATAAATTCAGGCATCTTTCCTACACAAAACTAGCCTGTGATGATACCTGCCAAAACTTCACTCTTTCCCCGAGCATAAATCGTGTAAGCTAAACGAATTGCATCGAGCCACCAGTCTAAGGCTTCCCATGAATCAGCAATCTAACATTCACATGACATCACATCATCAAATATACAAGAAACCCTTCCAAAGATGAAGTAAAATGACTCTACTCATTACAGATTTTATAATACTTCGCATGTTGTTTGACCTAAAAAAAATAAGGTCACAAAAGAATTAAACGCTCATCTAAGGTGGAACAACATTTTTCCCTCCGTCCTAAATATGTGTGCTATGCTATAAAGACTCACCGGCTCCCTCCCCTGATATATGCAGCTTTTAATTCCCTTTCTTAGTTAGCAAGTCCTTGTATTAGTTACTGTATTATATTATACTGGGCATTTTACTTTGTATTATGCGGTGTATGAAAAGTAGTTGTTGCAGAGCTGGCCAGTCAGTTAGCAATCAGCAAAATTGTAGTGTGGGTATGATTTGTATGTCAGAATGGCTATGAAAGAGGCAAGAAGAATCTCACACTGAGGAAAGCCTTACAGTGGGTAAATTCATCACCTGCACTCTGCAGGAGGGCATTGAGGCAGGGATGCTACCCTAGGAAAAATTCATCCCAGGTCTCGTACAGCCTTTAACAATCCCAGAAGCGGTATGGATTGACATTTCCATGGATTTGATAAAAGGATTACCTAAATCTCAGGGAAAGGAGGTGATCTGGGTGGTGGTGGACTGGTGGACATTCTCTAGAATTATGCCAATTTTATTGCTCTTTTGCATCCCTATACAGATGAAATAGTAGCTCAAGCATGTACTTGGACAACATCTACAAACTACATGGGCTACCCATGATCATTATCAATGACAGAGAACATTTTCTTGAGTGCACTCTGGCAAGCCCTATTCTCAATTTTGGGGGTAGAAACTGATGGACAAACCAAGGTGTAAGACAGATGCTTAGAGAATTACTTGAGGTGCATGTGTATTCAGTCTCCAAAGGAATGGTCTAAGTGGTTGTTGGTGATTTTATGTAATTGGATTTACTTAGATCGGACGAGAGGTTGAATAGACGTTGTTAACGAGTTAAAAGGTGTGGAGTACACACTCATTCATTGATATAAAAAATTCCTTAACAAGGTTCGGGAGCAACAGCCCCATGTGGCAGGGTCCAAGGGGCAGAGCCCCTGGGTGGGGTTCAGCTGCTAGGTCAGCTCGGAAATTTTTTATATTGGACATTGTTGCTTTACGAAAATCCAAAGTCAAAATAGGGAAATTGCAAAAGGGTGCATACATTCGAATGTTCAACTTAAATATTTGAATTTGGAGACACAATGTTTCACGCTAAACTGTTGAACACAATGTTTAAACAATAACTGACACATACATTAGAATATCTTGGCAAAACATAAGAACATTTCACGTATAGTTGTGTTGTTTCGCCAACTGACGCGTCCGATAAGTTTTAATTCTATGTATATAGAGTCCCCGGGTATGTTTAACAAATACGGGACTTCCATACTCGTTCTAGATACTAACGACTTATCCAATTGAAGTATTCTGGCATACTCCGATTTTTTTTATCTGAAAGCGACCACGTGATTCATTAAGTCTTTCAAATCTTCTTCACGTTCATATATAGCAAGTTGCTATGCAACTTTGTCTCCCCTCCACAAATTCCAACAATGGCTACCCCTAGCCGAATGGTGGGTATGATACTACCTTCAAACCTTCTCTACAACTCACCCCATATGAAGTGCTATATAACCAGCCCCCTACACACCATATACCTGGAGAATCAAGCAATAAAAGAATTTGACAAGACACTATAAAGGAGGGAACTGACGATCAAACAGATTTGACAGAACCTACACAGAGCTCAGGTGAGAATGAAACAGTTGGCTGATAGGGAAAGGTCTGACAGGGTTTTCAAATTTAAAGAATGCGCATGGTTGAAACTTCACCCTTATAAGAAAACGAGTGTACAGTATAGAAGGAACAATAAGCTTGGCCCCAAACAGTCTGGTCCCTTTGAGATTGTGGACAAGGTTGATCCAGTAGCATAAAAGCTTAACCTGCCTGAAATGGTCGGGATTCAACCCATAGTGCATGTTTCATAGCTCAAGGTACTTGTGGGTACCCTACCTGCACAACCACACATTCCAGAATGACTTCATGGGGCCAACATATCAACGATCAGAAACCCTCACAAGGTTTTAGCCAGAAGAACTGTAAAGAGGAATGCTGCAGTGGTACAATACTTTGCGCAAGGGGAAGGGAACACCGCGGAGCAGGCAAGCCGGGAGCTTGCAGATGCTATCCACCAGAAGTAGCCAACGTTTAAGCCTTGAGGTCAGGGCTCATTCAAGGAAAGAGCATTGATACAGCTTTTATTTTACTCTCTTAGTCAGCAAGTCCTTGTATTAGTTATTACTACGGGTATATTATATTGGGCCATGGTAGTCAAAATCGCGATCTGGATCGTACGATTGTACGATTCCGCAGATCGCCAGGGTGCTTCCAATATGAAATGTGCTGAATATCGCAATTCTTGTTAGAATCGTAAGGATCGACGATTTGGATCGTAGAATCGCAGAATCAAGTGAGATCGCCGATTGAAAACAGGGATCCACAAGCGGAAACGTGAAACAATTTGTTTCGTGCCGTCGCTTTTTACTCGACCTTTCCTAACGTTTCTTCCCTCATCCCTGTATAAATACAGTCCTCCCACATAAACATGCTCAAATACTTACAGAGTTAACAGACTTCGCACATCAGCCATCGCACTCATCTTCTAGCTCCGCTACTGGCTACTGCCCTTAGCAAGCGGCAATACGGCATCTCTCCTCACGAATTTTATCACTTTTGCCCAGGTATTATTTTAAGCTTTTTAATTATATATTATGTTTTTTTCCTTTTACGCTTCACCCTATTTTAGTCAAGTTTCTTTTTTAAATTTATCACCTTGAAAATTTTTACCTACTGGCAGTGATTTTTTTTAAAAGTTGTTTCCTGTTAGGCTTCATTCACTACTGCCTACTGGCAGTGTTTCTTTTTTGGTCAAGTTTCTTTTTTAATGTATTACCTTTATTTTCATATTTTTTTAGATATTTTAGAATAATGTTTTAAGTGATCGTGAATATATATATATATATATATATTTGGAGAAGTGGTATGTTTTATTGCAATTAGAAACGAAGAGAGGGTACAATGGGGCCGAGGGAAACAATGTTTCTCACTGAGCATGGAAGCTGTGAGAAGTTAAGGTAGACATGACAATGTGAAAAAGAGTGTCTGAAACTGGCCAAGGCGTGTGCTGCTTCATTTGCCTCTCTGTAGAATTTGGAGAAGTTGTATGTTTTATTGCAATTAGAAACGAAGAGAAGGTACAATGGGGTCGAGGGAAACAATGTTTCTCACTGAGCGTGGAAGCTGTGAGAAATTAAGGTAGACATGACAATGTAAAAAAGAGTGTCCGAAACTGCCCAAGGCGTGTGCTGCTCCATTTGCCTCTCTGTAGATGTGCGTAAGTCAATGATTAAAGGATTCCATTGCTTCTCTTACGATCCAAGTCACGATCTTACGATGTTACGATCTTCATTAGGCCTAGCGATTCTACATAGAATCTCAAGTTCATCTACCAAAATTGGGCATTTTACTTATATTATATGAATAGTAGTTGCTGAGCTGGCCAGTCGGTTACCAATCAGCAGAATTGTAGCGTGGGTGTGATATGTATGCTGGATTGGCTATGGAGGAGGAAAGAAAACTTTGTGTTTCATCCTCTCTCTCTCTCATTATATCCCCAATTTAACCCTAATATTCTTCTGATTCTCTAAATTAACTAAAGTATCTGCAGCCTGCAGTTTCTCATCTAACGTGAAGGTTTTAGATAGTAGCTGCATCATCCCCCAATTCCTCCACCAGAGTTAGAAACGCCACCCAAGCAAAAAACAAAAGTGGGAAGGAAAGTGTAATAAACAGTACCATGTAGACAGGTCCATGAATTGTGTTAATGCAAAGGCCCGCCCCAGGTGGTAATGTTAGATCAGCACATGCTAACACGGAGACAATATCTGGCACATCAACTTTGATTGCTTGCCTGCTAGAATTCGTGCTATCCACGGGATTTGAGGACAGACTTCGTCTTTGATCAACTTTACTAATCTGTAGAAAACAAGGTATTAGGACATAATAAGGTGTCGGATTCCTGCAAGTTAAGCAGCCGCGACTGAAATTGTACTAACAGATTAAAACGATTTTTTACTTATTGTGATGATGGGAATGGAATAATCATGTTTTTCAAAGAGCTTTTCATGTCGGGAACAACTACTGCACACATGGCTGTAAGGGCTTCAACGAAGTAGGGGCTTGCATTTTGAGAACTAATGAGTCAATAGTCTCAATACACAATAATTAATGCTTGTAACCCTGTGAGGTAATTGAGTTCACAATTATGAAAATTATTGAAGATAAAAGCTTATACCTCGTGTAAGCCTTCATGATTCAAAACAAATTGAGAACGCTTCCAATCACTGTGTGGCGCAAGTGGATTTCCAGCAGGTGGTGCAGCAAGATATCCGACCTTAAGATAGGGTAGAGGCAGCTGGAAACACGGGGATGACCCAGTTAGAACTTGTAACAAACGATTCCACTGCCAGGAAAGACCAAACCAAACTATACCTCATCCTTGGTAATTGGATTTGACCAATAGTAAAAACAAATGTGAATATATATTACATTACATCTTATGAATCAGAGAGATAATATCTCTGTTGAGATGGCAGGCTTTGATTGCCTTAAACATCGAAACTGAAGTTCCAACAAACAGAATGAATTATAATTGGGAAAATGTGATGATTTCTTTATTTAAAAAACACTACTTGAAAACAAATCATCAATTTAGATTTTATATTATTTAGAAAATGAAGGACGTAGCTCAAGGAGAACCAAGAAAGATAAAAAATGAATTTTCTCTGCTCACGTTCTCAGCAACTTTAATCACCGCAATGGCATAACGTTATAAATATGTGCCTACACTTACTACATACCATGGAACGGACGAGTTTCAGAGCGCTTATGTAAACCTGTAAAATAAAATAGTAAAACATCACTTGACACTTATATGACATAAAAACTTATTAGCATTCTGCCAGTCCTAGTTAATTTCAGAAGATACAAGAAATGAAATGTAGTTACATGAATCCTTTCATATTTATCATTTAATTAGCATAATCAGGCACACAACAAAATCATTTTAGGTCAAAAAAGGTACTTTGCTAGCAGTAACAGAAGGACCAAATTCTTCATACTTCATAGTGACAGCAAACAAGAGTATGCAGTATGATTTCCATTTGGAACTCTAAAAGTGATGCATTACATAGTAATTTGGTTTGAGTGCATGTGCAGCAGCAATATAAATTGCAGACTGACTGTACAACTCATTTGCGGGAACATCCTTAGAACTTATGGCTCCTCCTGTTCTAGACATATCTTCTGCTAGTCCATACTGCAACAGGTGGGGCAAAAAGATGTAATCAGTACTATATCAATTTTTTTGCCTTCTTGAAGTAAATGAAGTTAGAAAATACATAAAGCTCTACAGAACAACAAATAAAGGTTGGAAAGTCACCAGAACAGTCCCCAGATTGTAAATTGCCCTATGGAAATCAAACTGGAGTTGAATCGCTGCACGAAACTGCATTTAACACCTTTAATATCATCACCAGCAGCGACTACAGAAAATGAAGATTCAAAATTTGCAAGATCTAGAATGGCTTCAAAGCTTATACTTTGCAATGGCCACCTATATTGAAGAAACAGCAGGCGTACCTTGCTGATTGCAGTCTTCACTATTGTTTGCTTTTCTCGAGCAGGGACAATTGAACTAAGTTCCTTTAATAGAATCATTTTATAAACACATTATCATAATGTGAGATTCAAAACTACAGATACCATGCTTAGAGCCAGGAAAACAATAACTATGAAATAACAACTGTGAGAATTCACTCCTCAAACAGACTGAACACAAATTGAAGAATATTAATGATGATTGTTGACTCAGTAGAGATACCTGCAGAGCGAGTCCCCAGTTGTTGAGTGCCTAGATTAAAAAGTTATGTAAGAATGAGCAATACTTTGGAGGGAAGAAGAGATCAAAAGGCAGCATTAGCCAGCTAAAAAGGGGTGCATGATGACTAGTGATGTCTGGTAACTATCGAAAGTGCAAGCGCACAAGAAAGAATGAGATGACAATTCTACATGTTACAAGAAGTAAAATAACATTAGAAATGATAATAACAAGGGTCTGAGCAATATGAAAAATAGTGACTGGCTCACTGGCCCTAGGTAGATAGAACCTACAAATATACTTGTAGATGAAAACTATGTCCTGTAACATGGGCTAATTGGTGAGCTAGTTGGGCTGAGGTGATGTTACCTGTGGACTGTTCCAATTGAGCTTGACAGCATTTTCATAGTTTTTAGTTGCCTGAAAAAGTGAAGGTGCATGGATCAGATATTGTTCAACTTTGTTTAAAGCTTTTCTGTTGCTCAAAAAGTTTAAAAATAATCATAATGTTAACTGAACACAAAAGTACAAAAGACTAACAAGATGTGCACCACAACTAGTTTGATCATCTGCATGGACTATGTATAGAAAACTCACCAGTAAACTGATTAAAATTCAAAAATCTCAATATCATACAGTTTAAATATCCTTTTGAACCGATGGTCTTTCGGAAGCTATCTGTCCATCCTCTACGGGTAAAGGTAAGGTCTGCGTAATTGTGCATCCTATCCTCTCCAAACCCCACTTGTGAGAATAAACTGGGTTTCTTGGTGTATACATTTTAAATGATTTGTTTTTTTCTAGAGAGGTTAAAAAATTAAATAATATGTGGTTATGGCATAGGAGGAATTGTTTTATAAAATACAACCAAACAACTAAAGAATACCCTTGCCCCACGGAAGTGAAGAAGATTATCTGAGAGGCATGACGCGGGATGCAGTTGCCCGAAGAATTGGGGAGACTGGCTAATTTTGTCCTTTTCTCCCTCGTGGTTGCCCCATCCCTTACTGTTCAAAAAAAGAATACACAATCATTCCATAATAGAGCAAAAAATCTGGACCTGTTTCCAAAATTCTTCTGCTTCTTTTGTTCGACCACGCATTTTTGCTCTATCCGAGATTGCTATAGCCCAATTATAATAAGCCTGCACTCAGAATGAAAAAATTTTAGATGCATCATGATTACGGATCAAACTTTAAAGCAATGAGCTTTCAAGAGTGTTCAATAAAATAGTTACCAAACAAAAGTACATTGACAAAGTGGTAACGGCACTCTAAATGAAGATCACTTACATCATTCAGGGTAGGGCAAAGCCGTGTTGCCTCCTCATATTTTTTACATGCCTCTTCTAACAAAGCATCTTTTGAAGGTGAACTGGAATCTGGGTCAACATTGTCCGCACTTTCCTGCAGGATAAAGAAACGTGAAGTGGGTAATCTAAAATAGATGGTGAATAAGATTATCCCAGGATCAATTGTGCAAGATAAGAGCTTATATCCAAGAAATTAAGAAGTTAGGTTTACATGCATTAACACAAACAATATGAGTGTAAATGATTTTCAATCGGAGTATTCAAGCATCCATTGTGCTTCAAGTAATCAAGGAGTAGAATTAGTGTGATTCAATAGGTGTTTATCTAAGCAATTAGATGTCAAGACAAGATGATTTGCATCGCAAAGACGCAAATATCCAATTCGTAGCACATTACATTTTTGTATTGGAATCTTTACGGAGTTCTATATGACTTTGAGACAATTGAATTGAAAATTTACAGAACCACAGGTTTGATCGTGTATGTTTGAAGAAGGGAGAGAAGGGAACAAAAGAAGAATGCCTTGAAAAAAACAGTTAAATGAAAATAAGTGCGGTACAGTTGTACTAGAACTACACCTGAAGAACTAGTGCCCAATTGTAAAGTGCATCATAATCTTCTGGATTTCGGTCTAGTGCACTTGCATACCTGCAGCAAAGCCAGAAAAATTGTTCATGAAATACTCTATAATGGTTTTCAGTAATTCAAATTTCAAGAAGTGCTCCATTGATCATCTAAGCAAGAAATAATAGAAAGAATAAAAAGAAAAGGAACTTGACTGAAATGCATTGCGAAATAATGCATTCACAGGGTCACAGTTTATTTATCTTCGAAATGACTAAGTTTAAAGTACACTCAATGTAAATTCACTCCTCTTAATGACCTAGAAAACTTAAGACTTGAAAGGATATTGAGTTTATTGTGCAGTATACAGGTATAATGTGTACAAAACTTGCATGGCTCTGAATTTATACTGTATAAATTTGAGACATGAATATGTAAACTGGTAAACCTAATCTTTGCGTCAGATGAGCTGCTTACCTCCGAGCAGCATATGTAAGGATTTGTTGGCGAGACCGGCCCTCCTCATCAGCACCTGTGACATTGTTGATCAGCTCCAAGGCAGCATCAGTGTGATCAGTTCGACTGCTTTCCTGACTGCAGTATTAGAGGAGGGAATGTAAGAGGATCAAATGAATAAAAGATGAAGTGATAAATGCCTGCTTTTGCAACAAAAAGGTACACATTTCACTACTAGAAGACCCCAAAGGGATTTTATAAGTCACAAAACTCCAATCAACAAGATATCTGTCAAACATGAAAATACATGATGCATAAGGTGGAACAATATTAATGGTTAATCACAAAGATAAGTTTCTTTCGCCAGTTGATATGATACATAAGTTTACAGGAACCAACCGCATCAAGAGACAGAGAGAGAACTTAAAACCTGTAAGGAGTGTCAGCTTCGCGCGTTTCGGAATCTTCACCTCCATTCCTCAATTCATTCAACAATTCTCTCATCGTGAAAGTTCGGCTACCTTCATCTTTTCGAAGTCCCGGAATGTTCTCGGCTCCATTAGATTGGACAGCACGATCTTCAGAGTCATTGGAGTTGGGATCGGAACCATTCGCTGGTTCATTCGACTGGATCGATAAATTGGAAGGCTCCAAATTGGCTGGTTCAACTTTTCCAGGTATCCCATTGTCTTTTGCCCCGGGAGATTCCGGATCCTCCGCACCAGCTGGTGGAGATCCCGTTGGTTGAGTAGTGGCGTCGTCCGACTCCGGCTGCAGGACTGGTGGTGCTGCCGGTTTCAAATCAATGTCGAGTGGCGGAGACGGCGGTGTTTCCGGCGATCCATTTTTTGATTCAAGTTGGTCCACGGTTGAAGACATGGCGAAATACGGGATATAGTTATGCTGCCCTGAGCTAAAACTTCTAAAATGAAATAGTGATGGGGGGTTCCTAGACAGTGTAATGTGCAGGCTAAAATGAACTATGAGTCTATTATGATGGGCAGATGGAGTTACAAAAAAGTAAAAATTGCCAAAAATGACAAATATTTCAAGAAAACCACCAAATATTAGGGGTGGGCACGGATCGGGACGGTACGGATTTTAGGTTGTCCCACGTCTTGTCCCGTTATATATAAACGGTCCGGAACGGTTCGGATCACAATCTAATCCCGGTTTGTCCCATAAAATTCGGGATCGGAATAAAACAGGACGGATTCGGGTCGTCCTACTTTGTCCTAATCGCAAATATAAGAAGGGGAAGAGGGTGACATTTCATTCAAAAAAAGAAACATCTAGTCATCCAACAAAAAACAATGACTGGAACGGGTCCAAATAAATTTCAAGCTCATGAAGTTAATTAAATAACTAATTAATTAAAGAATGAGTGTATATGGATTTTGGACTAGAATTAGTATTATATATTAGTAGAGTAGATGAAACGGGACAAACGGGACGGATCGGTATAAATTTAAGTTGTCCCGCTCATGTCCCATTTGATATTGGGACGGAACGGGTTCGGGACAAAAACATGTGTCCCAATATATCGGTACAATTACAAAACGGATCCGGGATTTTTCGGGATGGTCCAACGGGAACGGATTTCACGCCCACCCCTACCAAATATAACTAATGTTCTCTTGTAAAAACTGAACAATGTTTTGTGTATCAAAATTCAAAAAGTACACAATATTTGTTATCGAAAACTATAGAAATTGATAGCACCTAGGTGTGGTACCTGAGTTATATCACATTTCGGGTATCTTAACTGATAGAGTGATAACTCTATCGGCTTCAAAAAAGGTTTCCCATGAAGCCTGTTAGTGGAGTATGAATTGGAGTGAAATCGGCTCTTTTTACACCCTAGACTTTGAGCGTATTTAATATTCATATACATTTTGTTAACCAAGCTCCCAATATCCACCAATGTTTTGTATATGATGAGGTCCCGGTGTCCACCTTGATCACTATAGCATCCCGGCATGGACTCTGATACTCGATCGAAGAGATCTGCATTTATGAAGACTAGTGGTTCCGTCTTTATCTTCCTCTCATCCAGAGGGCTGGTGTACACCTTGTTCACCCTTAGCTCTTGGGCCCACTTCTTTCTCCTAGTGGTGGGTTCTCTACCAATGTTGTCACCTACGATGTAATTACATTCGTGGTGCCTCTTTCTGCGCTCGAGGTCTCTATGCATTCTTCATCAGTCTTTCATACCAAGTGATGCTTTCCCATACTGTCATTGGGTTCCTCGTTGGCCACTTGGTCCTCTTTCTTTTACCACACCCGAGAGCCCCCGGGTGCTCTTGCGTGTCATGGTTCTTGACAATAGCTTCTCCAGCTCATTCTTCTACTTGGAGGTTTTTTCCTTGCCTCCCCCGAGGTTCTGGTCTGTGGACTCTTTGTCGTTCTTGTCATCCAATGTAACATATTGTTTTGCCCTCAAAATGGCCTCCTCATAGCATTCTGAGGGCAATTTCACCATGTTAGTGCGAAGAGGTCCTTTCAACAACGTCACCATGAAAATAGCCAGGCAGAATTTTTCATCCGCACCTCTCACATGGCGAGTCTCCTTCCTCAAACATGCAAGACCAGCCTTAATAGGTTCTCTATTCCTCTGTTTGGTTCTAGCAGATAAGTATAGTGCTCTTGAATTGGGCCTACGGTTTTGTGCAAAATACTCTTGGAAATGGCTGCCAAAATCACCCCACTTATTGATCCTTCCTTGCGGGATATGCAAGAACAAGTCAGCTACTTTAATGTCCATTACTTGAAGGAAACATTTGCATATAAGTTCATCAAAGGCATCCACCAAGATCATATTGGTAATAAGACTAGCCATATGATCCTCGGGTCAGATTCACCATCATACCTCTTCATGGGAGGCACCTTCAACCCCACATAGGTATGGAACGCCAAAACCTTAGTAGAATAGGGAGTCTCTGTCTTAGTTATATGAACATTTGACCTCTCCCAGCATTAACCTTTGTCTCCATCCTCTGATGTGGTTGGTGAATGTCTCGGATCTCGATAGTTTTATGCTCTAGTTCCAGTTAATAAAGGTATCTTATAGTTTTTGTAAGGTGATCTTGGGTGGTAATAATGTTTGGATACAAAATTTTTATTTTGTGTTGCACTATCCAAGCGGTGTTACCCAACACGATGGAGCATATATGCGTACTGAGCTCTCGGTGGCAAGGGGTGTTGGAAAATTCAGGAGGGACAATAAAGCTGTGAAGCAACATTAAAGAATCGGTATACGAAGAACATGAAGAACGTCTCGATAGGCTTAAAGAATCATGTATAAACGCTTTCATATTAAATTTATTTCGGCGTATACCAAAATAATTTGATCGGATAAAACATAAGTAATCTAGAATGAGTACAGGAGTTCGTGTGTTTCAAAACATACTCTATGCCTTGTATTTATAGACAAATATCTAAATGGACATATTAGTTGATACAAGAACACAACTTTTCAAGTAACACTCGAATGTTTGCACTCAACCATTCGAATGTTAATGACCATTAATATTTTTGCAATTTTGTGTGAATTGTGGCATCTTATCGTGAAACATTCGAATATTTAGGATCACACAATCGAAGATATTGGACAATTTTACAAATGGTGCTATAAATAAGCATTACATAAGAATGTACATTACTTTAAACTTCATTTACAAAAGTCCAAAGGATTTTCATTAAACAATACGTAGTAATATCTAAAATAAACCCCGCCGGGACTCTACCCCTTATACCCCGCTACCTGGGGTGGCCGCCACCGGACGGTGCAATGGAATTTGCAATATCGTTGAATGAGCATGCATTTCGCACCTCTGAGCTTGTTAACAATATCGTTTAGAATTCTCGTCCATTCTAAGTAAATCATAATTGAATAAAATAACCGGTGATGCTAAATCACCAACAAGGGGCATTCAGATCCTCTTGAATAAGTGGAAAGGACGGCCCAAGAGCCAATCTAGCTTCTCCCCCCAATGTGGATGGAGTATTATTCATGTTATTGTACTGCATATGGTACTTGTACTTCTTATTTATTAATGCAAGGGTATTGTGATCTACTACTTTTTCAAGTGTATTATTCTCCAAAAAACTAGCCAAGTCAAATGCAAAATATAACTGAAATTAGAAGGGAGTACTTTGGAAAGACCCATCTCTATGGGATGGAAGGGAGTACTTCAGAAAGACAATAAGAATGCTTATGAGGCCAATTTTTACAGTCAGACAAAGAAATGGCTATCGTATCTTAAACATGACCAAATACAGAGCAATCAGCACAGCAGCGGCACCGATTTTCATACATTCTTAACCTTGCACCATAACAGTTCACTATGAATGCCTTAACTATAATTAGTTTGAAAATCTGTGCAGTGATATATTAAAGGAAGGCAACAATTCAAATTAGACAGCGCAAGTAGATGTGACTACGGTACATTTAATAAGATAATGGCAACCGTAGAGCTTAGACTTAAGTACTTAACTCAACTCCTGAACGTCACCGGGCTATACAGAGCAGGTCATGTATACGTTATGCTTTGTTTCAAACCAGCAAAAGAGAATGCCTAAATCTTGTCATGCAGGGTAACGACTAAGTCATGGGCATCATCCAAAAGCCGCCAAACGTCCAAATGCCCAGCCATACTATTGCATTCCCTCATTATTTCATCCATGCTGTTATACTTCTCTATGATCAATTTCCTCCTTTGCAAAACTGATGCCGCTATTGCGTACAGAAGAAGATCATCTGATGGAGGAGCCCTGAGCCTTATTCGCCCCCAAGCCGACTTGCCTATTCCGGCCCTAATAGCTGCCTGATCTGCCCACATCACCTCCCACAGGCACAAGCTCTGTTCGAAACTCAACTCCCTCCTGAAGAGAACCACCACCATTCTGTACACAAAGAAGCAGTCCTCTGCCTGGAGTTGCTCCAGGTGTTTGTACAGATGTGAGTCCTTGCACTTTATGATCTTAGAGACGATGTTCAACTGCCTCCGGATCCCTACCTCATCGAGACGGAAGTTGTGGCGTGCTTTCCTCATGAAACCCACGAAGCACCAGAATGCTTCGTCATCCTTCTCGATCACCACGACGATGGGAGAGAGTAAATCACTCATACCCTGACAGTATCCAATTTCAGGATCATAGAGAGCATAAGCTTCAAGGATGGAAACTAGACGGGCTGCATGATAAGTCCTGCATGGCTCCAGATGATCATAATCCTTCAACCCTACACTCTCAGCCAATTGATGTGCCTTGGTCTCAGAAACTGCAGCCTGGGATGGTGAATAGCTGACCCATTCATCATTTGCTCGGACAGCATCAACGCGTATTATGCGCTGCCATGTTGCAAAATCTTCTAATTTGTTGAAGCCTACTGACTTGCTAAGAGTTGTTGACACTGCATCAGTTTCTTCATAATCTTCATGGTGAAGGAAAGGTTGCTTCTCACCATCCAACTCTTCAGAGGAATCAGAACTGGAAGATGGATACTCATCCCCAGAAATATTTGCATCTGCAGTCCTGGAATTTTTTTCACCTTCTGATTCCACTAATGAGTTGGGCCTTTCAAGAGCTGGACTAGATGCGGTTGTAGTAGTAGACTCTTCAGACTCTCCAAGAACTGGACTGGATGCAGTTGTAGTAGGATGTTTGGTTTTCAGATTCTCACCATCAATGTGAAGAGGGTCTAGGGTGGGGTTTTCTCCTTCTGGAACAAGAGGGTCTAGAGAGGGACTACAATCACCACATTTGTTGTTCACATAATTTATAGACTCTTCTTTCAACTTTGAAGTCCTATCCTCATTTGTTAACATCTGTGAGCACTTTCTTCGCAGATTTGCATACTCTTTTCTGCAGTATGTTCAGATGTACAAGGGGTGAGAGCTTGAACTACAGTAGAATAAACAGAGATGAGAGAGAAAAGGCCTACGAATGGAGTAAAATGACATGGTCAGATTTTTGTATTCTAATTTTATAGACTATAAAAATATTGCTTTGAATATGGATGAACAAATTTATAAAGAAATACCTCTTCCGAGTTCTAATTGCCTCTCTCTCTTCCTTTGAACTCCTCAAGTCATAGCTGCAGATATAAAGAATACAGCAATAAAAATATTTCGTGAGGCCTTGTATGGTAAACCACGGATCTGCCAATTTTTAAGAAATTTGACTGACTTGAGCAATTTGACTTGATTAACTCGATAAATTATGGCTGTGTTTGGAAAACAGTTTTTCGGATGGCTTTTGGCCTCTTTGACTCATTTTGGCTTTTTTGACTAATCAAACAGCAAAAATCATTGTTTGGCTAATGACTTTTTTTTATTTAAAAAGCCTAGGGGAGTAGCTTTTGGACTTGGCTGTTAGGAAAATTGATTTTTCTTAACATTTTTCTTGAAAGATATTCAATAATATATGTAAAAAATAAAACTAAAAATTAAAAAAATTTAAATTTTAAATTTTAAAAAACAAAATAAATGAAATGACAAATGAGAAAATCAAAAATCGAAATCATTAAAAAAAGTGTATATTATTAATTTCTTATGAATTAAATGAAAGTGTAATTTAATACTCTGCATATTAAAAACTTAATTTTTGCACGAACAAAAATGAAAAACAAATATTGTATTTATTTTGTTACAAATGTGTGTGAGTATATAATATGCATGCATGTGTGTGTGTGTATTACATTTAAATCTCGAAACAACTATTTTCAAACAACTAATTTTACCAAACATTTTTAACGATCAACCAACACATCCAGCCGGTCAAACCAGCTAAACTAAACAGTCATTCAAAATAGCTAAAACACAAATACGATAAAAATGAAAACACTAAAACACATAATTTTGGTTTAGTGGATTGAGATTTTATTTTGGAAATACTTCTTTATACTACCTAACTTTAGCACTTGATAATATAATTTATTTTACTCAATCCCATAAAATGGTTCAACATTTCCTTTTTCGTCAATCCCAAAAGAGGTTCTACTTTCCACTTGGAAACAATTTTGTGGCTCTTATAACTTTTCTCTCTTCTGCATCACTTTCAACCACACATTTACTTTTCTTAATCTTCGTGCCAAGACAAAGGTGGAGCCTTTAATGGGACGGAGGGAGTAGTAATTAGTCATGTTATTTTAATAAAACTACGCCATATAAGACTCGAAAGTAGAGTCTAGGAGGGCTAAGATGTAAGCGAAGTCGCAAACCTCACCTCTAGCTCTAAGAGTGCAGAAACAGTTTCCTTGAAGACTCCCAGCAAGCAGTAAAAGTAGTGTGAACTGAGTGTATAGCATAATTCTCTCCTTTATACGTATTTTTGGCTAATAATTACTCGCAAGATATTTCCACTACAATTGTTACAATATTAACACGATGTTAATGTTTTTTTTCATCTAACCAATAACATGTGGTGGCTGGTGGCATAGGTGGTGATGGACGCGTTCGGATTTGGGGTGGTGGCAAGCGATGAGATGGTGATGAAAAGAGGCAGATGATCATGAGAAAATAATTTGAAATGTACAAGGGTTTTATCTAGGAAAGGGTAATTGTGTAATTTAAAGTTTTAATTATAATTTTAAATTCAATAAAAGATGGGATCCTTGGACTCCTTCAAGGTGACTCCTCTTGGACTCATTACTTTCCGGCGATAGGCTTTGGGCAGATATGCTAAAACTCATCTTAACATTGGCTACAACTTTCATGTTTAACCCACGTCCAAATTCCATAGTCTAGATATAGAAAAATTAGTCCAAAGTTTGTAAAGAAAAAATGTAGTTAAAAGTTCCAAAAAAAAATATCTTGAAAGTAGTATGAATGAGATCTTTTATACAAACTTTGAACTAATTTTTCTACATCTACAATATTGAATTTGGACATAGTCTAAACATGAAAGTTGCATAGTACAGCAAAGGTTAAGGCCTCATCTATGGCTTGCCTCTATGTCAAGTGTGGGGTTGGGTTTCCAAGTAGAGCATATGATAGAACTCAAGATTGGTCAGGAACATAAATGAAGGAAAGTATTTATTAAATTATGAAATCAGCATCTAACTTCATAAAATAATAAAAGAAAAATATTTATCAAAATATGAGCAAGCATCTTAAACTCATATAAGTAATAAAGCCAAGGAGAACCTCCAATAATAAATTACTGCGTAATCTTCCATAATCAATACACATGACTAGATGCCTATTTCTACAAAAAGACACTAATTTCTACTAGTAATAACTTACTAATAACCTCCCACTAAGTGGAAATAACTTGCTCCAAACCTCCCGACCCCCACTAAGTGGGAATAACTGACTCCTAACTTTCTACTAAATGGGATTGAATAATTATTAAATGATAAGTATGATAAATAAAAAGACTCAACAAATAATTAAATAGTGATAATGACTTAAATACTATAAAATGACTTAACCAACCAGCCTGGAACCTATCATTACTCCCCTCTTGGAAACACGATCTGTCCTCAAGTTGCAACATGAAAACCCAATCACTTCGATGCTTCCTTGTAAATCTAGGGGCTTGGGTAGGGGTGGCAAGAAAACAATATAAGAACCAGCTTTCAGCAAACTGTATTTTCAATGGGGCTTCCACGGTTGAAAAGTAGCTACTGCTATGGTAGCGCACAAGATTTTATAAGAGAATGTTGAACTCATTGTGGCAGATGTAGTTTTGTCCTTTCTGCCATAGAGTATTGTGGATCGGTTGTTAGCTCTAATGAGATTCTTAGGTGAGGAGAAAATGTACCGGGCTGTCTGTTGACACTTCTTTTCTATCTGCCCTTTAGATTTAACAACCTTGCATCTCTGTTTCTGAATTTTCTTCTTTCCAACCTCTAGATGAAATCGATGAGCTTTGACTCCTCTGCTGCACATGTTGAAAAACTTCACCTCGTACTTCATATTGATAGAGTGCCACATATGCAGTTATTATATTTATAATAGAGTAGGTCATTTGTTTAACGGGTCAAATATATTATTTTATACTCCCTCCGTCCGGAAATATTCTTCCCACTTTCCTTTATGATCCGTCCGGAAATATTCTTCTCATTTCCTTTTTTAGTATGCTTTTTAGGGATAAATTTTAATAATACCCTTCCATTTTATCACTAATCTACTTTTTATTGCTTTTTTAATAAGAAAAGAATATTTAAAAGTTTATAGTATGTGCATTTTTGAAAATTTGGCATTTTTTTTAGTATTCCTTAATAAGCGTGCCAAGTCAACACAGGAAGAATATTCTCGGACGGAGGGAGTATATGTTAGTAACTAAGTAGTAAATAATGTGTAGCTAAATTCTAGGAGTACTTATTAAGTAATGTGGTAGTGAGCCTAGAGTCTAGGAATAGTTACTAGGTAATGTGGTGATAGTGGGCCTAAATTCTAGGGATTGGTAGATATTTGGCTTCTATAAATATTGAGGCTCATTACTTGTAAAAGTTATCCAGAAAGTAATTCAATATTTATTATTGGAGATTCTCCTTGGCTTTANGGGGGGGGGTCATGTGACATTGAGTATCAAAGTAACATGAACTGGCCCTGAGCTTAAGATTCTTACTCATATTTTGATAAAGATTTTTCTTTTATTATTTTATGCAGTTTGATAAATAAAACTTCCCGTCGTTTATTCTCCCTGCCATTCTTGAGTTCTATCAGCATAGGTTAAGGCTCTAACTAAGATGTGGGACTGACTCGATGGTTTCCCGAGTAGGAATGAATGATCGATTGGGATAATGAGGCAAGGTCTGACTTCCTAGATGATCTCCTTCATAAATGACGCTTTCTTGTTCTCCCAACCAAAATAAGCTTCTTTAGGGATTACGCTTGATCGTTATCCCATCTTTGTTCGCTCTCTCCACCAGGCCATTCTTCCTTCAGGGACAAGGCTCGCTCGCTCTCTTGACAAAGCCATTCTTTCTTTGGAGACGGGGCTTGCTTGCTCTCCGAGTCCCGACCCAGTTGGTCTCCCCTTGCTCTCCTGACTGGGTTAGTCTTCCTTTGGGGGTAATGCTTGCTCACTCTCCCGACCAAGGCGTTCTTCCTTTGGGGACGCAGCTTGCTCGCTCTCCTGATTGAGCTAGTCTTCGAGGACAATCATTGCTCCCTCTCGTGACCAAGGCGTTATTTCTTTAGGGACAAGGCTCACTCGAATGCTGGATTTTAGTATAGAGGGGTCCCGAGGATCCAACACCATCCTTAGGCTCATGAATTCTATGAAGATGTATAGACTTGATAAGGATATGAACAACACATGATTTAGCGTGTAACCCAAATCCGAGAAAAACCACAACCACCAAGCTCGATCCCATGAGTGTAGGGTCTGGGGAGGGTGTGTGTACGCACACCATGCCCCTACTCAAAAGTATAGAGGCTGTTATTAAGAGACCCCTGGCTAAACAGCATAGATAATATGGAGTATAAGATCACAGAAGGCACATAGAGCAGAGAAAACATAAAACACACAGAAGCAAAACAAACTAATTTGAACGAAGGAAAAACATTGCAAGGAGAAACAACCAAGCATACAAAGCACACAACAACAAGTGGCAAAACTACCACCTAGCCCAAAGCGCCTACCTAACTACCCTAATCCTACCTCTCCAAACACTCTTTTCTAAGGTCATATCCTCAGTTAGGGCAAGAAGTCCTAGATCTTATCTAATGATTCTAATCACCTCCTTTCAATTCTTCCTAGGTCTACCTCTTTCCCTACTTTCTAGGGGTGTAGGCACTCTACCGCCTCACATGACCAAACCACCTCAACCTAACTTCTCGCGGCTTATTAAAGCCACGCCTACCCGTCCTTGGATAACCTTGTTTTGAATCCTATCCATCCTCATCTACCCACTCACCTACTGCAGCATCCGCATCTCCGCAGCATGCAGTTAACAAATAAAAATGACCAATGAATGAAAAAATGAACAAAATCAACATTTAATTACAACTACTACTTTTTACACCCAGTGATAAATAACGAGAAAAGCTATTAAGTTGTGCTCTCTTACATAGAAAAAGAATAAAGGAATTTTTTGAAAAATAAGTATATACTTAATTTCTATATTAATCCTAGCTTGTAAGCTCCAAGCAAAGATACAAGGATGTAAAAACAACACGCACACAAAACTGAATCAGCTTAAACGCAAACAGTCCTAAATAAACCCAAGATGGTGCCTTCAATCAGTTGAAGGCATATGACTGAAGAGTTGATATTTTGCTTTAGTAGCGGGGAGTAAAAATAAACACTCAGCCCGCCCACAAGGTTCCAGCCCACTATCTAAAAGGCACTATGTGCCATCTAGCTGATAGACGGAGGCCTAGCACCTAATTTAGATTGGACAAGTTGTGCCTTAATCTAAGGATGGATAAGTGGGGCCAGAAGGAAAAAAATGGAAGCAATCAAGGGTGTCCTATTATTTAGGTGGGGCCTACGCTAGGCGGGGATCTTTAGACAAGTGGTTCCAACACAAAGTTTGATGTAATAGTCAGCTCAAGGAAATTTCCCAACTACTAAAAGGTATAATTGGAGAGACAGACATAAGATGGATACATACACTCCAAGAAGGAATGGCCAAACCTCTGCCCGTATGGTTGGATCAACACCCTGCCACATGTTAGAGACTTGGAGATATAACTATGTGCACACAAAAAATTCAGCCATTTAAACATGAGAAGTATTGAAAAAGTGGCAATAGATATGAAATGGAAACATACTCCACTTCTGACTTTCTTCAAAAATTTCACTCCACCATCACTCAGTCTCCCATCTATGTCAAATAAATTCATCCATTCTTTTGCAGATAGAGCATGTTTCCTTCGTCTCTGGGACCAGGGTGATTTAAGGTTTCCCCTGCACAATGAAGCGTTAGATTCACATATTCTTGCACTGTTGCACAAAACCTTTCTGGTGCGCTGAATGTAACTTGATAATGCCAGAGTGAAAAGGCAAAGTTATAATGTACCTGGAGAGGGCCATAGCCGACAAGGCAATACTACAGCTATATACAATACCAACAACAACAGACCCAATAAAATCCCACAGAGTGGGGTGTGGGGTTGTGTGTACCCATACCACAACCTTACCCCTACTTGAATAATAGAGAGGTTGTTTCCAAGAGAATCCCAACTCAAGGCATAGGAGCACAACAACATAGCATGAACAAAATAAGATCACACACAGAAGAAGCACACACACAGAAACTAAAAGCTCTGACACAGAGCACACATGCAACATTCTTATACAGGGTCATATAAGCCCACCTGCAGGAACAATAAACTAAGACGCAAAGGTATACCAAAGCACTCTAATCCTAGACCTCTGAACATTCGTATACAGGGTCATATTATTGGTAAGATCATGAAGTTGTAAATATTTCTAATCTATAGATATAATAGCATGAAACATCTATCGAGGATTCCACAGCAAACTCCTGGTCTATATTTTCCTACACTCAAATAATTATTATTTTTTTGAAAACTCCTACACTCAAATATAGCAATACACAAACCTATAAACATTTGCACCTTTGAGATAAGTCTGACCAGATGAACAATCATTCAGTTGGATCTATTGAATAGATAGATTGGTTATCGTATTATTTCTTTCAATTATTCTAGGGTCTAAACTCATGTTGGTTCATAATTTCCAAAAACTAAACTCATGTGTTTTACCTACGAGAGTAGACGAGAGTAGCGGCCAAGGCAATACCGGCCATGGCCGTGACGGCTACAGCTATTCCAACATTGGAAGGCGAGGTCCCGCCAACCGACACCCAATGTGTTCCAGCACCGCCTAGACCGCTACCTCCGCCGCCACCTCCGCCGCTTCCACTGGCCTCGGCAAAGATGACCTGTCGACCATCTGAGAAGAAATCGAACATCAATGAGAAAAACAATTGTATCGCCACCGACACAAGCGGCGGCAGCGGCAGGTGCTGTTGCTCCCGAATCACTCCTCTACAGCCTGCGCCGCTGTCCCTCTCCGTCACTCCCAGTCTCCCCCACACCATCACCAACTGAAATCTCTATCTATCAACTGCTTTACTATTCTCTGCCTCTATCTCTTTGGAGATGGTGGACTATTGAACGGGGAAATTATATTATGTACTTAATTTTGGGTAGAACCAAAAAAATTATTTATGGTATGTATTTTATTTTACATGAGAATTAACACTAAGTTATTTGAGAATGAGTACTGTTTTGTTTCAGAATGAACATTACATTATTCGTAGACAAATACTCTATTATAATTATATTAAACCAATGTGTGAAAATGAGTACTGCATTATGTTAGAATGAGTACTACACTAATTATATTTCTGCGAGAATGAGAACTACTCTACTTCAGAATAAGTACTATCCGGATATATCGTACATCCCGTTGTACCATACACCTTAAATTTTTAATTATCTTTCCTTATTTTTAAAATTATTTTTCATTTTCTTTTTTTATCTCAAAATAAACTTCGTATTTTACCAAATAAATTGAAAAAAGTGTTTCACATTGAATCTCTCACATTTTCATAAACATAAACCAATAAATTTAATTTTTTTAAACACTTAAAAATAGCAAACAAGAAATTTAATGTAAGATGGATAAAGTATTAAAATAAGATTTCATACATTTTTATCTTCTAAATAGAAGAGAGTGTTAATTAATTGGGTATTGGCCCAAAATAAATAATGATACACCCAACCAAAGAGCTCATTTACTCTAGCTCATCTCATTCTTCTTAACCTAATTAAGGGGCTGTTTGTTTCAGCCTCTTAATGGTTCAGATGTCTGAATGGTTCAGCACTTAATGGTCCAGACTGTTTGTTTCAGCTTCTTAATGGTTCAGATGTCTGAATGGTTAAGAGATTTGCCTCTGAATGGTTAAGTATTATACAGAGTCTGAATGGTTAAGACCTCTTATCTGAATTGATCAGACATTTGCCTCTGAATTGTTAAGCAATATACAAGCTCTTAATGGTTCAGACCTCTTACTGGTTCAGCACTTAATGGTTAAGACCTCTTAGTGGTTCAGCACTTACCCATTCAGAAGTTGCCAAACAGCCCCTAAGCTTACCTTAATTAGCTCCAAATCTCTATTATACAATGAGTGTGTGTGCTTTTGTGCTACCGTGCAAAAAATAAGAGAGCCGTTTCTCCTCTTTGAGAATTCTCCTATGTGTGGTTGTCTTCCTCTCTGTGTTCATCTCTGTTCTTCTCCGTTTCTTTGTGAGTGGAGTGTGGTGAGGTTGGGTTGAGATATTGCTCCTTTTGGATCTAAATTAGTACACAACTATGGATCGATTATATGGGTGACCTGAGCTTAATCAGAATAAATAAATACTCACAACAGTGGTGTCATATCCTGATTATTCTATTGTAATTTTTTTCCTTTTAATCTCTTGGTGGGATAAGTTTTTTGTGGTCTTAGAAGAATTGAGTATCATTTGTGTCACAAGCTGCTTTGGTACTTCTTCTTTTTCGGTCAGTCCCCATTCATAAAAAAGGGGGGTCTTTGTCCTTTTCGATCGAAACTAGTTCTCTTCTAGTCTTCTCTGGTTTTTTTGGACTATCCGTTTCCGTCCTTCCGCTAGAAGAGTCGTTGTTCTCCAGAGAAAAAAAAGAGAGGGGCGAGTGGCAAAGCAGAGTCGCACCAATTGCTTCGTGCGGTTGGAGGCAGTCTACAACCGGCTATTCTAGCAGAACTCCGTCAAGGAATTAGAAGCTCCGACGTCCTGGGGCTGTCTTTGATTCCTGCTGCCAGAACCGAAGTGCTGCCAGAGCTCCTAAATTCGTCCTTCGTGGAGTAGGTAAGACGAATTGAATCTAGGCATTAGACTCGCCCAGGTACACAACTCTTTATCCCTTGCTTTCATAGCAAATTTTTAGGGTTGTTTACATTCTGCTACATTATTTTGATTGCCTAATTCCACTATAGTTTGTGCTCGTGTGAAAAAGCAACGAGATTGAGTAAGCAATTTTGCTAACATAATAATCTCACTTTGTTCGTGCGATTACTTCTGGAGACGAAACGTAATCTGAAAACCGGACTTTGCTCGACTATACATAAATACCCAAAAAAATATGGAACATACCTAATTTGTAGACTTTCCTTCGCGGAGATGGAAGACGGATCCTTTAGTTGACCTGCATCGGCGAGGTATCCGGAATGAAGATGGAAGTTTCTACTTTAGCTCTTGGTAAATTCTTAAACAAATCTAAGAAATCGCAAATTTCACGCGATGGAGGAAGACATGCGAGAGAAATTTATCTCTTGCGCTTGAATGAGACGATGAAGATGGAGGGACACTGAAAACGCACCAAATTAAGACACGTGGAGGGCTTATGTGGCATTAAATTAAATCGTCTTTAAGTGACACATGCCATCATTCTACATAAACAACTCTCAAATTTTATATTAAAAGATTCTATATTACTCCAAATTTTATTCAAAAAATTTGTTACAACACCCCTAAACCCCCTCATGATGTGCCCCCGCTCACTAGCTTCTGGCTCCACCATTGGAAGGGGAAGACATGTCCCTAGAAGGGGAAGGCAAAGCTAAATTAGTTGACGTGGCACGGAATTGGTGAATGGAAAAAAGGAGAAAAGATGAGGGCACACCTCATTGCCTAACACATAGCCTTATATGTCGTTACTGGACATCGTCTAAAGGACATTAAACATTGTGGACATCATTATTCTTTTTATTCAAAGATATAAGAACATTAAACACAATGAATAATGACCTTTTTAATTGGATATTAATTAAAAATAATTGAACATTGAATTTGTCATACTCCCTTCGTCCCTATTTTGATTGCAAAATGGAAATTATGATGTAAAATTCCACAATTTTTGAAATTATTTTATTTACAAATTTAGACATGAATAAGAAATAAAAATTAAATATTAAAAAACAACGTCCAAAATTCTACAAAATAAGAGGTGACAAGAATATTTTATTTTAACAAATAATCAACAAAAATACACAAATAAATAAAAATTATCGAGAAAAGAAGGAAAATAAAATTATAATAAAAATGGAGACGTAAGGAGTAATATTTTAGCGATAGACTAGTAGATATAGAGTGGTGGACAATATTAACAGTGTGTTTAGGTGGAGGTAGAGGAAGGTAGGGTAAGGTTACATTTAAACCTTACCTTGTTTAGGAGGAGAGAAATGAAGATCGGTAAGATGAGGTAGAGTGAGGTATTTTAACCCCGTAATAGTGGAATTAAGCCGTTCGCCGAATCCCCGGGGAAACGAGGTTACATTTTATCTTTCCCTGCTGCCCTTCTCTTCTTCTTATCTTTTCTTCGAACTTGCATCAGTCTAGCACCGCATATCACCGTCGAAAGACCCAGCAGCGACAGCTTCTTCAATTCTCCCATCCGGTGATTGTTCCTCTTCTCTTTTATCCCTTTATTATGTTTAATTATTGCTTTTTTGTTGTTTTCTTTTCCTTTTTTGATGTTTCTTTTTTTCTATTTTTTTTTCTATTTATTAAAATATCATTTTTTTGGTTATTTTTTTTGCTATTTTTTGCTCTTTTTTTCTATTTATTTTAATATCCTATTTTTTATTTTATTTCCGGTTTTTTTTTCATTTATTGAAATATCATTTTTTCTATTATTTTTTGTAGGTTGTTTGCTTTTTTGCTTTTTATTTTAATATCCTATTTTTTATTGGTTTATCTGTAGGTTTTTTTGTTGTTTTTTCAATATTTATTGAAATATATTGTTTTATATTTCAAATTTTTTAGTTGTTTTTTTTTGGAAATATGAGTTTTTCCTTGGTGATGGCATCTCGACCAATGGATTTGTAGTTGTAACGACAATGGTGGCGGTCGGAGTACTGGTGTTCGCTGCAAAAATGCTCGCCGCACCAGTATCGAAATCCGGTCAGGCCAAACACAACAATATTGAAGTAATTGTATTGTTTTACCTACCTTTCATTACCTTATAAATATCCAAACATAAATTTTAAACTTATTATATTACTCTACCTACCTTCCATTACTTACTTTCAATTATCTACCGTTACTTACCTAATAAAACTTTACTTCCCTCGATCTAAACAAATCCTAAATACTTTGAGGGTCCGTTTGGTATACGGAATTGACGGAATTGGAATTGAATTGGAATTGAGATTCCATGGAATTCAATTCCATAGAATTGAATTCTGCCAATTTCAATTCATTTTTTACACTATCAATTCCAAATCCAGATAATTTTTGTGCTACCAAACACCAGAATTGGAATTGAAGCCCTCAATTCCAATTCCATAGTTTGAATTCCATGTACCAAACGGGGCCTGAGGGACATTGGAATTACGAAGACATCAAAATTTCAATGTAAATAAAGAGAGCGAGGTGCAGTGAGGCAATATGGCGTCGTTGACAATTAACGGAGACGACATATTGTAATAGGCAGCGATGACAGAGTTGTAATTATACTAAATCTAAAATTATCAAAATAGTAATTTGGTACATTTATATTAATAATAATATTAATTAATTACAGAGTATAAACTAGTTAGAAAAACTAAAATTTATTACATTTAAGTATATTTTTTTAAAAAAATTTGTGTTTACATCTAAATAAAATAAAATATATGCGGCAGTCATGGTGCCATTTCCGTTATGGCCAACTTAAACCGCCGCGATGACCTATTAGTTGTGTGTTAAGGAGTAGGGTCCATTCACTTTATTTTTTTAGTTTATTATTTATTCGTATTAAAATTGGATTGAACATAACTGTAAATATAATATAATCAGATCAGATTAGATCATTAATCATTTACAGTACAATTTAGAGTTCATATCAGTTGTCAAGAATTTTTGTATTTAAAAACAAAAGTTTGAAACTTTTCCAATTTTACATGCAGAAGTAAAGTGCCTAATCGTATGCCCGTATGATATGGAAGTATGGAACGGGTAATTATGGCTCATCGTCATCCATTTTCTAATGGCTAGCGCCTCCACAGACGCTACCGGCGTCCCTATGTCTTCCTCCTTTCGCCGCTTCTGGCCCTCATACACTGTTTCGCGTGCCACTATTTGCAGCAAAGGCGCCGCCACCGCCGCAACGACCGCGGCGCCCCTCCTCTCCGAGAACGTCATTCCTCATTGCTCAGTGGAAGTCATCGGCGGGGCTCGAGATGCTTTCCTTCCCTTATTGAAATCCCTTCACAACAATCCCTATCATCCGTACCCTATCATTGGCTGGAATCGGCACATCGAGACTGTTTACGCCGCCTTCTTCCGGTCCCTCCCCGAGGTCAAGCTTCAGCGCGAGTGTCTGCGCACCAGGTGCGGTGGTTCGGTATCCCTCGATTGGGTTTCCGGAGACAATCGCCGGCTTCCCTCGGATTCTCCGGTGCTCATCCTACTGGTATGTTATGTGATCTTAATCGGGCCATGGAGAGTGGAAAAAAAGGGGTATTTAGGAATGAATATGCTAACAAGGCGACTTGCAGCCGGGCCTGACCGGGGGGAGTGGAGACACTTACGTTAGGCATATGCTGGTGAGAGCTAGAAGTAAAGGCTGGCGAGTTGTGGTGTTCAATAGCAGAGGCTGTGGAAATAGTCCGGTGACTACTCCTCAGGTACCAAGCAAATGTTTTGATCTATTTTGCACTGAAAAATGGGGTTATATTTTTTCATCTATTCATATTGCTGAATTTGGTGAATTAGGGGTTTCCTATATGCAACTTAGAATTGTTATCGGCTCGGTTATTTGAGGGATTCTGAATTTTGATTCATGGGACTTATGTAGAGATATTTAAGATGAAAAAATGACTGGTGTTAAGAGCAAGCAACTCCTCCTTTGGGTACCAATAGTTGAAATGAGCATTGACGATCCAGCTCGAAAGAAAATGTACTTCAAGACTTTAATGGGAATAGGAAGATCATTTCCTGTAACTGCTTTCATGTTGGAAGAAGAAAAGAGCATTTATCTGGAGAATGTGAATGAATAAAGTTTATGTTCTTCTCACGCGAATCATATTGTTGTCACACATATTGTCGTCACCTTTTTTTTCTACCATGGGTAGTTGTTAGCCTCACTTGCTTTTTTACTCTCTGTTTAATAAAAAAGGGATGCTAATTCATCATTTGTTATATTTATCAGCAAGACTACGTAACTAAACATGCAACTCTTTACTCTTTTATATCATTCATATGTAGTCTCCCTCTCCTTTCCAGTTCTAATTATAAAATTTTAGTGAAGCTCTATATCGTTATCAACAAAGGTTGCTGTGAATAATGAAATGGGGTTAACCTTAAACGAGGTTAAACTAGTCCACCACAAAAAAAAATTGCATTTGGAATAGATTTATGTTAACCTTAGATATATTAATGATGCTCTTTTGGGGTTGACCAAAAACCAAGACCTGCTGATCCACATCTAAAATTTGCAGTTCTATTCAGCTTCATTTCTTGGTGATATTGATGAAGTGGTGAAACATGTCAGCAGTCGCTATCCAAGTGCCAACTTATATGCCGCGGGATGGTCTCTTGGAGCAAATATACTTGTTCGATACCTTGGGCAGGTATCTCAGTTTGTTTTTCTTGTGGGCCTAAAATTTTACTCAGATTTAAGTTTTCTTCAATGTTTTCTTTACAATGTTATGGCAGCCCATAGACGAGCTGATAAACTAATCTATCATTTCAGTTGCATCTTCCATAGATAAAACATAACAAAACCAACCTGTCTAGAACCTAGAAAATTATTTTGGATTTTTACTAGTTTGTCTTTGCTTCATTGGAGTATTTGTTTATGTCATTCGGTCATTCCCAGTTTAACTCTTTTTATCCAATATTTTTTTCCTTTCTCACATTGTTCCAGGAATCTCATTCTTGTCCTCTTTCTGGTGCTGTATCGTTGTGCAATCCCTTCAACTTGCCTATTGCAGATGAAGAGTTCCGTAAGGGATTTAACATTGTTTATGACAAAGCACTAGCAAGTTCTCTCCGCAACATTTTAAAAAAGTAACCCAGAATCTTGTTGTTTCCTTATTCCTGTTGGTTTGAACCAGAACTTATATGCTTAACAGTTTTTTTTCTCTCATTTCTAGGCATTCTCTTTTATTTGAAGATATTGGGCACAAATATAATATCCCTTTAGCAGCTAATGCCAAAACTGTCCGAGAATTTGACGATGGCCTGACTAGAGGTTTGTATGTTTTCTGCTGGACTAAGGTTCTTTTCTCTTCAGCTTATTCTTACTCCCTCCATCCCATAAAATTCCCGACATTTTGACTTCACGGAGTTTAAGATAGTTGTTGCAAAGTAGAAAGAGTATGGTTATCTTTCTTTTTTTGGGACATCCAAAAATGGAAAGATCAGAATGATTCAGATCATACAGAGTAATAACTTTCCTATGTGAAATGCTTTCCTTTCCTTTTTATGCTTGCAGTTTCATTTGGATTTAAGTCAGTGGATGAATATTATTCAAACTCAAGTAGCTCAGATTCAATTAGAGATGTCCGCACTCCCTTACTTTGCATTCAGGCACGGAACTTTCTTTCTGTTTGTTTTTTTATTCAAGCAAAACTTCAGGCTATTAAACGCGATTTAAGGGTCCTTAGTAACCTAGCTAATGCTCGGCAGGTGTAAATTCTTTAAAATATTGAACCATCCTGCTTGCTGGTCATCTCTATGGCTCCTGCTAGTGAATGTGATATGTTTTGAAGTCTTAGACTAATGCCTTGTTTGGGAACAACGTTTACGATTAGCGTTGCCATTTCGGATAAAATCTTAATGGTGTAGATAAATTCTGAAAACGCCAACGCTAAATGCTACCGCCAGATAGCTTTTTCAAAACGCTAACCTCTAACGCCGATGCCAAACGGGGCCTAATACAGTACCAATTTGAGCTTGCAGGCTGCAAATGATCCAATTGCTCCATCGAGAGGGATCCCGCGTAAAGATATTGAGGTACGTAGTTAAACTTCCTGCTGCAATTTTCTTGGGAAGTAATATTGACACCAGAAAGTGTTTTTTTTTTGCTTCTTTTCTTCAACCAAATGTGTTATGAAATGTGTGTTCCCCACCAGGAAAACCCAAAATGTTTGCTGGTAGTGACACCACAAGGAGGGCATCTTGGATGGGTGGCTGGTTCGGAGGCCCCAAATGGAGCTCCATGGACAGATCTCATTGTGATGGACTTCCTACACAATCTGGAGCAAGCTAAATCTTCCGCTCATTATTTGGAAGCCTTGAATGGAGGCGGCAGTGTTGCAGGCGTGCCAACAGTTTCGTAGATGGCGATGACGATGAAAAACACACACTTCATTCTTACGAACAACCATTGACAATGTCGTGATTCACATCTAAAAGTTCGAACGCCATTGTTTTCCTACTAAAAACACTTTTTTTTTCTTTTTGCCATTTGCTGTTGCTGATAATGAACAAGCTGTTGTACGCTTGTAGCCGCATGTATGCACGGAGTAATGCATTACGGGGTATTATTATTACTGAATGCATTAGGTGCTTTTTTATGTTAGTGCTTAGCCATAGCCTATTGCACATAAACAATTCTTAATTTATAAACTCTTTACAAGTCAACAAGATTATATTAGTTTATCAAATAATTAACGAAAACAAGTAAAGAAAGTTATTAAAATTTGATTGTGTGAATAGTAATTGGGAAAATGTTTTAGGACGGAGGGAATATTAAAGATGTGTTTTTTTAATGTTAGTGCTTATTAGCCTACAGAAATTTACTTAAATAGGACTAAAACATAATAACTTTCTTAATATAGGATAATATGTTTTTATTTTCTAATGTAGGACTTTTGGTCATTATCAATTAGTCATTATTCAATTAAATGTCCATCATTACTGGATATTATTCCTCCCACTAGACATTATTAAGTTCTATTTAGGGAATAAAAAAGTTTTAAGTCCTACATTGGAAAATGACTTATGTTTTAGTCTTATTTAGTGCAAATTTCACATTAGCCTATTGCACATAAACAATTCTTAATTTATAAGTTGTTTATAAGTCAAATGTTTTTTCGTGGAAGTAAAATGATAGATATATGTCATTTTGAATATTCATAAATAGTGAGTGATATAAAAGTGCTTAAAAGCTACTGTAACTTTTAAGCACAGAGAAACATGTCATCAATTGATTAATACCGTAAGTTACAAAAGTGTACTTATAAACAATTTTGACAAGTCTATAAACACAAAAAAGCACCCACTAAGATTAAAAACATCTTAAAAGAGTCAAAGTAATTTCAATCTTATATGAGTACTACACTTTAATCTCGTAATATTTATTTAGCTTGATTTTTTCGAGTTAAACTAAACAAATTTTAACCATCAAGTAAACAAGAATTGTTTTGAATATTAGTACAAAGAAAGGTTTATTATATTATATACACCTTGTAGAAGCTTATCAAAAATTTATTTATTCCATTATTATGTAATGCAAATACAATATGATTGATGATTATTAAGATCCATTCAAATTAACTCAAAAAAGTCATTCTAAGCCAATATATGAGATAGAGAGTTTTAAATAGTGTGCTTAGACATAGCAGGATAAGAAAGTAAAATAGAATTTGTTAAATTTTGTTAAACTAAATCTATTTGGGATAAAATTGATGCTCGGGGCTTTGCGCTCAAGTTTTTTTGATACGGAGTAATTCATTTGTGATGTGTTTGGGAACATGAATTTGGATTTCAAATCTGGATTTGATTCAAATTCTATGTTTGATGAACTTAAAAAAATTTAAATTTAGATTTGAGTCAAATTTCTCTCATTCATAACAAAACATAATTTGAAATTCATGCATTTTCCATTGTCATTTGAAATTCAAAATTTTAAGTTTTACAATTGAAATGCATGAATTGAAATAAAATGCTAGTTTCCAAACACTGCCTTGGATAAAAGTGTCACTCCTTTTTTAGGATAATTCATTTGACAATTCATTTGGGTAAGAGTGTCGCTCCATTTTTAGGATAATTCATTTGGGTGAAAGTGTCACTTTTTTTTAGTGAATCGAATAGATCGGGTTAGTACTCTGTTGGGTTTGACAAATTTTTAACGGGTCAATTTGGGTTCGATCAACAAAAATTTTGTTCAAAATCCAGTGTTTTTAGGTCGCGTCTCGAGTCAAAATCAGGTTATTTTTTGTCAGGCCGGGTTGGAGCTCTGTCGGGTTTAACTTATTTTTTACGGGTCATTTCAGGTTCAGACAACTACGAGTTCGATCAACAAATTTTTTGTTCAAAACTTAATATTTACAGGTCGTGCCTCAAGTCAAAACAGAGTTATTTTTTGTGATGTATGTCTAAAAGTGAGAAAATATAATAGAAATGGAATGATAGTGTAATACCTTTTGTTTTACTCATGTCCCACAACAAATTATTTGTTTACTATTTACAGGGTTAAACTTTAATTACTTTCTCTATTTTTGTTAGTCATTTGATAAAAATAATATAGTCATATCACAACTAATTTTATAGATCTTTTGATGTAGTTTTTAAGTATGTAATTGTAATTTTTTTCATTCTATTCCAATTTTAAGACAAAATTATTTGAAAATAACTTCAGTCAAATATCTTAAATGAGACAATTAAAAAAAGGGAGAAAAAGTAGTTGAAACAAAACTCTTTAATCTTTTATGGAATGGTGTCACTGCCACGTGTATACAACGGAGTTTATCGGAGTAAAAAACGAATATACCGTATTTTGAATTTTGTTTGGTCAAAGAAAGTCTACGATTAAAAAATAGTCTTCCCAAAGAGGAAAAGATCGTATGTACCACCAATACTGGAATGCGCCATCATAAACAGCTCTTCTCGTAGGCCAAAAAACGACCTGATTCATTCTGTATGTAGACGGCGAAAGCCTCCCATTTTGGTGCTAAATTCAATCCCCATGCTTTGATTGTGGATTTCTTTTATCTTTGAATTATCTTTGAATTCCAAACAAAATAAAGATATCAATTTGATTTCACGAATCACTTTAGTCTTGATCTTCAAATAAATTTTTGGTACCCAGGTTCCAAATTAATTTATACATTATGACTTTTAAAAAAAATAAGGCTCCGTTTGATACACAGAATTCAAACTATAGAATTAAAACTAAAATAATAATTCTAATTTTTTTGTTTGATAGCACAAAAATATGTGAATTTGGAATTGATAGTAGCAAAAATGAATTTGAATTGAATAAATTATTTTCATCCAAATCAATTCTATAGAATTTAAATTTTTAATTTAATTCAAATTCCGTGTACCAAACAAATCCTAAAATTAAATATAAAAAAATGAATAGTAAAAAGGGAATAATATGAGAATATTATTGTGCAAGGATTGAAAGGATGTTGAGGAACGTAGTCAATGTATTATTATAAGAATATTCATATTAATTCTTTTGTTCATGTTAAATCTTTTCATCCAATTTATCAGTCTCTCGTAATAACTTTGATCATTGCTATTTTTATTTGTGTATGAATATTTATTATAAAAATATAATTTTATTAAATAATATTTTAAAATTAAATTATTGAAATTAAGTTTATATCGTGTGCAATAGATTTTTTCAAAATGTATGCTTAAAATATTATTATATACTCCGTAGTATAAAAAGTATAAATGAGAAGAATCCAAATGGATAAAGAGAGTACAAAAATACCTCTATTGCTATTTGCTAAAAAAATACATACTCATTTAATCTTTCCGCTCCGAGAGAAGTTTCCTTATTGACTTTTTGGAAAATTAAGAGAGAGATATTTTAGTGTTTATTTTCTAAAAATACTCATGATGTAATAGATAAAAGTAAGATGTGATGGATAGATTATTAGTAAAAAAGTATGATATGATAGGTAGTGTATGAAAAAGTAAGAGGTAAAAATGATTTTTTAGTAGAAAAGATAACATCTTTGTAGGACAAAGAAAAAAATAAAAGAAGAACTTCTGAGACGGAGGGAGTATATTTTTTTAAACAAAAGTGTTACGTGTATTATTCCCAAAATATACGTAGTACCTACATAATTTGTCCAAAATTAGAATCTAGTCCATTTATTTGTCATTAATTTTTTTCCTTCAGTTACAAATCTCATCTTCTCTACCTTAAAATATCAAAAGATGTTTTGGGCCTGGCCTGGCATTATAAATAGACATTTTGGTCGGACCATAACTCCCCAGTCGCTCAAACACTTTCGACCACATTTATAAGATTAAAACTCTCGAAATTTACTGCGCAACAATGGCGGACACAATTCACCAAAACGTCAACGTTTCGAACAAGAAGAGGTCGGGCTCCGACGAATGGGAACGCGACGATACGGCGTTGAAGGGGAAGAAGGGCGGGAAGAGTTCGGGGCAGATGTGGGAGGATCCGGCGGCGGCGTTGGCCAGCGCCCGCCACGAGTTCGGCGAGCACGGCGGCGTGAACATGTCGATCGAGGCGTCGGCGACCTTCACGGTGATGGAGCCGGAGACCCTGCGGCGGATGTTCGCCGGGGAGCTGGGCCCGGATCACGATTACTTCATCTACAGCCGCCACTTCAACCCGACGGTCCTGAATCTCAGCCGGCTGATGGCGGCGATGGAAGGCACGGAGGCGGCGTACTGCACGGCCTCCGGAATGTCGGCGATCTCGGCGGTGCTGTTCCAGCTGCTGAGCAGCGGGGACCACGCGGTGGCGTCGCGGACGCTGTACGGCGGGACCCACGCGCTGCTGACGCACTTCATGCCGAGGGCGTGCAACACGACGACGTCGTTTGTGGACATAAGGGATCTGGAGGCGGTGAAGGGGGCGATCGTGGAAGGGAGGACGAAGGTGCTGTACTTCGAGAGCGTGGCGAATCCGACGCTGACGGTTGCGAATATTCCGGAGCTGTGCAGGATAGCGCACGATAAGGGAGTCACGGTGGTCGTCGACAACACCTTCGCTCCGATGGTCCTGTCGCCGGCCAGAATGGGCGCCGACGTCGTCGTCCATAGCGTCTCCAAGTTCATCAGCGGCGGGGCCGACATCATCGCAGGTACCTCCCCTCCCCTATTATTCAATGCCTCTCTTTGAATCTAGAGAAAAAGTTATTAAAATAAAATTGGCCTAACACATCCAAAATGAAACACATTACGGCTTAAAAGTGTTACTCCGTACTCCCTAGGATTTAACTTTAATACTCCCTCCTTTCCGTGCCAATGGGTAATTAAGGTTGGATTAAGTAAAATTTAGGTAGTAATATAAAAGGTAGAGAAGAAATATAAAAAGATTGAAATGATAAAGGTCAAAGATGTTGTAGTCCAATGACATCACGGTGATTTTTTTATATTTGAGGTCATAGATTCGATCTCTAGTGCGCATAATAATTCTAAGTGCTGAATAAACTGAGAATGTATGAATATATACTATATTTCAATAGAGTTATAAGTCTTAAAAAAAGTGTAAAGTAAATGAGAAAAATAGAAAAATTGACTGAAAAGTAGAGATGTAGTGTCAAAATTAAGAACAACACCAATGACAAGTAAAAAAACATCCAAGTCACCGTGAGTGAAGTGACATGTTCTATAGTGACAAGTCATTATTTTTATTACATTTCACCTTTTATTGACATATTTTAATTATAAAAAATCATTTTACTTATTCTTTACAAAATAGATTTACTTCTTACTAAAAAAGATCCTTTTTTACAAAAGAAAAAGAAAAAAAACTTGGAAGACTTGCCTACATCAAACCAAAAAATTAGAGCCGAGGTGGCAAGGTGGGTAAGTAAATACCTCGCCATTGCCTTATTCTTTACACTATCTTTGTTTCAAAGAATTTGGAAAAAAGAAAAAAAAATGATTTTCTTTCATTTTTTCTCACCAAAATAAGAGGAACATTATTGTTCTTCTTCTTAGTATATTTTACCTTCTCATTCATTTTTCTTTTTTTTTTCCTCTCTAACCAAACAAGAAAACATATTTTCCATTTAATTTTCTTTTATTTCCCTATCAAATTCCTTGAATCAAACATAGTGTTAGAGTGAGACCACAAAGGTTGTTTGTGACTTTGTGCACTTGAGCAGGTAGTCTATAGGAGGCGTCTCCACCAAGTACTCACTTTTATCGCCTAATAGATTCTGTCATCTCAAAATTACTCCATGTACTCAAACTTATCCAAATCGATTTGGGAGGGAAGCCTACTCATATACTCCCTCCGTTCTATAATGATCTTCCCGGTTCGCAAAACGAAGAAAAATCCCAAGTTTTTTCAATCTATGTTAATTAAATATTGGTATAGAAATAAAAAATAAAACATACATATTTAAAAACTACACCAAAAGTTCAACAAAACAAGTGGTGACAAGAATATTTTATTTTATCATATAGGCCATGAAAAAACACAAATAAATATAAATTTCCGTAAAGTTGGAATAGTGCTCTGGGAAGATCATTATAGGACGGAGGGAGTACTTATTTCTTTTTTAATAAAAAGTGAATAAAATACATTTAATTAAAAGCAAAAAATACAGATCAGGTGAGGAGTATAGCTTGAATTCTTTAAAAAATGATCATTTTTTATTAATTAGAATGACCTAAATCGTTATGGTAGAAGATTCAAATTATAAACTTTATATTGAAGAATGGAAAGGAAAATTGTAGATTTGATGATATGAGACCATATATGTTTAATTGGAACTAGGTAGGTAGACATTGAAAATGAAAGTGTAACGCCCATTGTGTAATTTCAGCACCGAATTAATGACTGAATTTGCGTGCGTGAATGGGTAAAAAAGATTGGGCAAAAGGACTAACGACATGTGAGTTGTGTCTCACACACATACTAAACTCCAAAGGCACCGCACCACCACATGCATTATTATTATTGCAGATGCTGCTGCTGCTACTTGCTCTCTCACTCACACACTCACATTTTGTCCCCTAGTTACTGTAGATTAGTTGCAACGTGTGGCATCCACAGCCCTTCCTTTATTGCATGTGTCTCCTTTGGCCTCACCTTAAGCACAACAAACTGGGCACGAGACGGTCTCTCTAAGAACTAGATTGAAATTATACCATGTGTTGGAAAATTAACTAATTAATTTTCCAACACCATGATTTATTCCTCTCAAAATCCTGTCAGGCCGGGGTGTGGGGGCACCCAGGGTGGGCATTATCCTTCCTTTTCTAAATGGATTGCACTATTATTAATCTAGTCTCCAATAACTTTTATTTATTTTTAGTTTTTCATTATCTGATGTAATAAAATATTTTCTTGTCGTCTTTTATCTTTTATGTGAGTACAACTTTTTACATACTTCTTTCCGGAGTAATTTTTTTCTTTACTTCCAAAATTTTCATTAACCAAAATAGATGCAAATATTAGAAGTTATGTACGGATAGTGCTCCATATTTGACATTAGCCATCCAAGAGATAAGGCCTCTTGATTGGCAAAGATAGATATGTCATCCTTTTTCATTTCTTCCCACGTGCATCTTCTTCTCTTTGGGTACCCCCATCAGTTTTTCTGGTGCGCGTCTCTATCGAGTCGATTGTTATGTTTCCTATTTTGAACAATTTGATTTTGTAATAACTTTGACAGGGGCCATCTGTGGGCCAGCAAAGCTGGTGAATGCGATGATGGACCTGCGCCAAGGCCCACTAATGCTATTGGGCCCGACAATGAACGCAAAGGTGGCGTTCGAGCTCTCAGAGAGGCTTCCGCACTTGGGCCTGAGAATGAAGGAGCACTGCAACAGGGCCCAACACTTCGCGACGAGGATAAAAAAGCTGGGAATCAAAGTAATCTACCCGGGGCTGGAGGACCACCCGGACCACACCCTGTTCAAGTCCATGGCCAACAAAGACTACGGCTACGGCGGCCTTCTGTGTGTGGACATGGAGACGGAAGAGAGGGCCAACCGGTTCATGAACCTGTTGCAGAACCACACGCAGTTCGGGTTCATGGCGGTCAGCTTGGGGTACTACGAGACACTCATGTCCTGCTCGGGGAGCAGCACCAGTAGTGAGATGAACAGCGAGGAGAAGGAGCTCGCCGGGATCTCACCGGGCCTTGTTCGGATGTCGGTCGGGTACACCGGGACTTTGGACCAGAAATGGGGCCAGCTTGAGAAGGCCCTCTTCAGGATGCAAGACTCCTCCTCCACCACCACCACCACTTTGTTCCAAAAGTGATTCAATTCTCTTCATTTATATATGTAGTAGTTATAATTATGAGAACCATTCTGGTGTAATGTGTAACCAATCCCTGTTGGGATTGTGCATGCAAATAATAACTAAGTTTGGTCCAGTATTATTTTGAGCTTTATATCCAAGGATTCAATATTGGATTGAACATATGCTCATAAACTTATAAACTTCACATTTTGAACTTAAGAATAATGGATTGAACATATATATATATATATATTCATAACAAAATCCTATTCGGTTCAGATCAACATACCATCTTTTACAAAGGGTGTTCCTATTCCATGCCACTCAATATGATTGGTTTGTTGATATTAAGTTGGACTTTATGGATTGATAAGTAGACGACCATACTGACATTGCCACAAAACACCAGAGTGGATCGCGGAATGGAGATGATATGCCGACATGATTCAACTATGTGTTGCACATCACACGACATGATTCAACAAATTCGTCTTCCCCTCGTGAGTACCAGCATTTATCATGAAGGCCGCAACCGGGAAATTAGGCATAAAGGGTGGTTGTCCTATCAAAAGGAAAGGATTGTGAGTATCGCTAAGCCAATGTTTCAACCTCCTTAATTTCTATATATAAAGTCCACTATTTTTTTTGGGGCAAATGGAATATTATTAATTGGTTACACTTGAAAATCAAAAACAATACAGTGTACTTCGTATTAAAGTATGTTTCCATTATATTTGAGGAAATGTACCTAGATATAAGTTAAGTGCCACCTAAATACAAAAATAGGAGTATCATTATTTTTATTTTCTGAAGAAGAGTCTGGCAAAATAAATGGTGGCATGGAAATTTGATGACAATAATGTAGTGCGTGGCATGGCAATGATGAACCACCAGTAAATGATGGTCAACGTCGTCGACCGGCAGCGGTGCTCCTGTGACAACACGACACTGTGTAGTGTGAGGGTAATAATTAAGATGAACTCCAATTTAGATTGCAAAAAAGAATGTTAATTTTGATATATTCATTATCTTTACTCTCTATTCAGGGAGTTCTTTCTTATATTTGTGCGGTGAAAAATCAATTCAAAGAAAGAAAAAGTAAATAAGAAGATGAAAAATAGGAAGTGTAAGAGGAAGATAATAATGTATAATGGAAAGAGAGCAATCTAATGTTGAATTATTTTTTAATATATGAATACTTTTGTAAGAGAAAATCTTCTTATTTAAACAAATTAATAAATAAAAACGAAATTAAAATCTGAATGAGAAGACATCTAAGAAACGATATTACTTACTCTTATTCTAAATCAATATAAAATTTGAGTTTAATTTTTTTTATTTAATTAAAAAGTATGTTCAATGACTTTAATCCAACTGCAACAATTTTTTGACAAAGAGAAAGAACATTTTGGTGCGAATGTTTTTTTTTTTGACATTTGTGGCTAGATGAGATTTGCTTTTTGAAGGCTTTCAGGTTATATAGTATTTCCTCCGTCCTAAAACTTTCTTCTCACTTCCCCTTTTTCCCCGTCCTAAAACCACCTTCCCATTAGAAAAAAAAATAACAAATGACATTAATACCCTCATGTATTTACACCAATTATCTTCTAACTCTATATTTTGAATGATTGCAAAAAAAAATCAAAAAATCTTTTTTAAGGAGGGTAAAATTTGAAGTCAAAGCCAAAAATTAAAAAAGGGAAAAAGTCAAACTGTGAAGAAAGAATTAGGAGGGAGGGAGTACTAGTAGAAAGCTCTATATAGTATTCCCATAAAAACAGATGGCATTTTTTTAAAACTTTGGACTATGTTGAGTTTTGTAATAATATCATTTTGACATCTTTGCCTCAGTTGCTTTAATCAAGATCATTTTCACATCTAGGCTTCATTATCTCTCTTTTTTAACAAACGCAATCAATTAGAATTTTGAAATCTATTCGTGTTTTATTTGTTTTATTAAGATTTTGGAATTAGTTGATAAATTTTGTTTTTATTATTGTATTTTGAATACATTCCCCAAATAATCTACAATAATTAAGAATATTTTATGTTTAGACTATTATTTTATGAAATTTCATTAGAGCTATACAATAATTGTCGAAGTTCTTAACTTTGTATCCCCTACCTCACAAAATACTAGGGAGTAACTAAAATCCTTAAAATTTGGAACATTGCCCCTCCATACTAACCATTAAGATTGTATTTGGAAAACAGTTTCGAATAGTTTTTGATATCTTTGACATACTTTGGTTTATTTGACTAGTTGAACAACTAAAATCATTGTTTGGTTAATAATTTTTTCACTTGACTGTTTGATTCAAAAAACCAATGGGACTAAGAGTAGTTTTTTGACTTGGTTGTTCGGAAAAATATTTTTTTTTATCATTTTTCTTTGAAGTTAAAAAAATGAAAATATAAGTTAAAAAAATTAAAAAAAATAAACTTTTAAAATTTCAAAAAAAAAATGAAATAAGAAAATCAAAAGTAAAAGTAATTAAAAACTCGTATATTATTAATTTCTTATAAATTTATGAAAGTGAATTTTAATACTTCATATACGGAGTATTAAAGATTTCATTTTTATATATGAAAAACACACACACACACATATATACACACACACACACATACGTAGTATATAATTTTCAAATTTAGAAACAGTTATTTCAGCTAATTTTACCAAACATTTTTAATGATCAGCCGACACATCCTGCTGGTCAAACCAACTAAACTAAACAGTCATTTAGATTTTAGAATAGCCGACAAAAATAACAGAACAGCCAACATCCAAACAAAGCCTAAGTCCAATTGGTAGTTTAGCATTTTGAGTAAGGGTTAACACCTGTCTGAAATGGGACTTGACCGGACTCGAACCTGAAAAACTGGAGCGTATGGTGCGGGAAGAGGCGACGAGAAGCGCCAAGTGAGTGCCCTTCCCGCCCCCTTTTCCCGTTGCTTTCTGTGTCTACATTACTTTTCCTTCCTTCTTCTGTCTTTCCTCTCCACACCCCTTCTTCTTTCCTCCCATTTCCCTTTCTTACGTGTCACTTTTCCCATCTCATTCCCCTCTCAACACCATACCCCATAGCCTAAGAGTAGTGGGCTTCCCGTTTTCCCTTTCCCATTAAGCAATGAACCATCCATTCATTCAGGCAAAGAAAAGTAAAGAAGAAGAAAAAAAAAAAAAGAAAGGATCGATGACCATAAAAGAAGAGGAAGAAGAAGAATGAAAGGGGAAAAAAAACAGATTCCGAATGGGGCTATTCGGATTACATCTATAAAAGCTCAATTATTTGGCTTCTCTCATTAAGCCCTTTGGCTCCCAAGCAGAGAAGAAGAAATTCCAATGGGTTACTATAGAAGAAGAAGAAGACCCGCCTCACTGAGTCTTGCAGCTTTCGGGTCGACAATAATAATGCATCTGCTCTTGTTCATGGTTGGGCCTAATTTGGGCTCAAGTCGGGCCCCGTCCAGTATTCGCCCCCAACCCCAGCCCGGAATTTGCGCCATTTTCGTTTCAATACACAACTACCAATGCCAGGAACACCAGGTAAAAAGAAAGATATGCCCCAATCTCTCCATATTTTATTAAAAAAAATCAGTTTAGTTTAGTTTAAAGTGTATTTGACCGCCGATCGGTTAACTGTATTTGTACGTGGTTGAATTGGTTGGTCAGGTGACGACAGATGATGGGTACATTTTGAGCGTCCAACGAATCCCGGCAGGTCTCAACCGGAACGGCGGTGGCGGCAAGGGCGGGCCCAAACAGCCGGTCCTTTTACAACACGGCGTTCTCGTGGTGAGTTAAATCTGCCGCTTTCACCTTTTAAAAATCTTTTTATTTTTTTTGATGATATATCATTTCACGTCTAGTTTTGTACTCTCTTTGTTCTAAAAAGTTATTCTCCTTTTTGTTTACGACCGACTTTTTTTTCAATTCAATTTATTTCATTGTAAGTGTAAATTTGAAAAATATAATTTATATATTTATAAACTACATCAAAGTTCTCCAAAATAAGAGGTGACAAAACTATATTATCAAATATCTAACAAAATAGGTGAAAAAAAGTAATTAAAGTTTCACCATGTGAATAGTAACTGAGAATAACCTTTTAAGATGGAGGGCGTAGAACTTTTGAAGTAATATTTTAGTATATAAATTTTATTTTTAAATTTTATAACTGATACGTAAAATCAAATAAATTAAATTGAAAATAACTCGACTCAGACTTCATAAATTAAAACAGAAAATTTTGTTTTAGGATGAAGGAAGAAGTAACATTTTGCAAAGGAGTGAATGAATTTTGCAATCATTTTTATAAAGTTTTTCATAACATTTTGCAAAGGAGTGAATGAATTTTGCAACAGAGTTTGTCCCTGAATGCTCAAGTGTAATCACCAACAAGCAACAACAAGAAAATAATCAATAAATGTTTTAAGGAGTATATATGTATATGTACGGTACAGGATGGCGCGACATGGCTTTTGAACGGACCAGAGCAATCACTGGCAATGATCTTGGCAGATACTGGTTTGTTCGATGTCTGGATTTCTAACCTAAGGGGAACCAAGTACAGCCGGGAGCATTCGAACCTTGATCCTAATAATGATGAAGTATGTATTACTGTTAACTTATTATAAATTATTTTTATTATACATGGTCATTCTTACAATTACATAAAGGCAAGATGTGTACCAAAAAACAAAACATGCAAAGAAGAGTTTGGGTCTTATTGTTCCCTTTAATAAGGTCTGTTGTTGTTGTTGTTGTTGTTGTTGTTGTTGTTGTGTTTAGGAATACTGGAACTGGACATGGGATGATTTGGTGGTTCATGACGTACCTACGGTTATAGATCATGTGTTTCAAACAACTGGTCAAAAAGTTCATTACATAGGCCATTCAATGGTAAGGACAAATGATTTCTGCAAAATATTCGTTTGTAGTTTTTAACGCAGATCACTTTTCATGAAATATTTTCAGAAATTAGCATACCTCAAGTAAGGATGATGGATATATTATGCTGTTGTTGATCGAAAAATGTTCATCAATGAATAACTTGCAGGGGACATTGATAGCTTTGGCATTTTTGTCAGAGGGAAAGCTAGTAGACAAGGTGAGGTCTGCAACGTTGCTAAGCCCAATCGCTTACTTGAGCCATATGACCACCGACATTGGCGTCATGGCTGCCAAAGCTTTCGTCGGTGAGGTGCGCGGGCGTACAGACTTTAATCAAGTGTTACTTTGGATTATATTTTAGAGACAAATATATAAAACAGACCGGAGATCAAAACTTAATTTCGTATATGCAATATAATGCCCATTGCAGATCATTACATTAGTCTTCCATATGGCAGAGTTTGATCCAAAAAGGTAAGAATTTACGTTGAAATATCGGGTGTTAGAATATATATAAAAAAAAACCCTTTCCTGCACCTACAACCATAAGCTTGACCTTTTGATATTGTCTGATTCCTGCAGTGCGGCTGTGTCCAAGTTCTTGAATGGTCTCTCAGGGGCAGACTGCTCGGACCTGATGAGTGCGTTTACTGGTATAACTCCACTTATAACGTTGCATTATATATTATCTTGGTTCTCTTGATTCTTGAGCGCAATTAATAGTCAACTAAGCTTCTTTGACATTATTAATTCGACGAATTATATATATGTATAGGGGAAAACTGCTGTCTCAATGCCTCTACTGTCGACCTCTTCAAGGAACACGAACCGCAGCCAACATCTACCAAGAACATGGTGCATTTGGCTCAGAGTAAGCGATTGTTGTGCTGCGTTTGTTTTCATTTTTGAGTGATAATGTAGTCAAACTAACGTAGACGACATAATTGAAATTGAAGCTGTTCGCGATGGTGTCATAGCAAAATATGACTATGGCAACAAGTTCATTAATATAGGCCACTACGGGAGACCCAACCCTCCCGTGTACAACCTCACAAACATTCCTTGTGACTTTCCCATCTTCATGAGCTACGGAGGACGGGATGCCCTATCGGACTCCAGAGATGTGCTGGCCCTGCAAGACAACCTCAAGTCCCATGATGCTCCCAAGCTCCAAGTTCAGTACATTGAGGATTACGCCCACGCCGACTTTATCATGGGGGTAACTGCCAAGGATGTTCTGTACACCCAAATTGTTAAGTTCTTAACAAGTCTCCAATGATCATATTCATGTCTTTCTGCATGTGATGCGCTATTGTGAGGGTGAGAATTCGACATTTTTTGTTTGTTTGGTGTATAGTCCATTATATTATTTCAAGCTATTTTACAATGAAAATTGCATTGGCCACTTATTTACTTACGACGTATATCATTTGTGTGGATATTGAGTGATGTTTTTTTAAAGATCATGCTTTTGCCCTCCTAGCTTGATTACTTTTTTTATTTGGCTTGCATCATCTGGTTTTGTGAACGTCTTGTATTCCACCATCCTTTCACGTACGATGGTATGGCTCTTCTAAAAAAATCTTTGATGTACAAAACATTTATGGAGTGAAAAGTTTTCAAATTCTATTGGGTTGTTGTTCTACTTTACATAAAAAGATTCATGTTGCATAAATATTTACTATTACAAAGATTGAATATCAGTTATAGTCCCTAATTAAAGATGATTTTCTATATTTAGTCCCTAATTATTCCATAATGGATCTTTGAGTGACTACTACTACCTCCTTCCCTGAATATTTGTCCAGTTTTGACTTTTTTCGATCACTCGTTTTCAACCTTTGACCTATAATTAAATCAAATATATATTACATATTAGTTAGATAAAATCATATTTTGAAAATATTTGATATAATAAACCTAATAAAACTATTTTTGAACCAATATGTAATATCATTTTTATTTAATTTGAAGTCAAAGTACCAATTTTGATCGAAAAAGTCAAATGTGGACAAATACTCAAGGACGGAAGGAGCATTCGTGTAATCAATATTTAATCATATTTGGCCTAAATTACTATTTATGAAATAATTTTAAAAAATAGAAGTTAATTTATATAATATCTTATAATTAGAGAGCAAATAAGAAAACTCATATTCACAAGCTACATGTTGCAGAGCAAAGTACTAGGCAGATAAGAAAATTCATATTCACCAACCACATGTTGCAGAGATGCAAATGCTACAAATTGGATGTGTGGAAAAACGAGATTGAATATAATTCAAAACGACATTATTCACAAACAATTAGGAGTGAAGAGTAAGTTGCAAGAAGTTAGACTGGGGTGGGTTGAGCATGTGACACAGCACGGTGTTGGGGCTCCAGTGCAGAGAAGTGAGGCTTCCAGTAGTGGGCGAGAATGTGGAAAGAGTTAGAGCTAAGCAGACTTTGAAAGACGTTAGCCAAGACCTTTAACTTTTTTAGTTCTACACTTTTATACTCCCTCTGTCCCTAAATATTTGCCACACTTGTATTTCCGAGGCAAAATATCAAGTTTTTTCAATTCATTTTATTTACATATTAGTATAGAAATAAAAAATAAAATTTACATATCAAAAAACTACATGAAAAGTTCTTCGAAATAAGAGGTGTCAAGAATACTTTATTTTATCAAATAACCAATGAAAACATAGAAATAAACAAAAGTTATCGCAACTGCTGAAAAAGCAAACGTTGCAAACATTTTGGGACGGAGGGAGTATAAAATGATTTTAAACCAACTTCAATCAAACATCATAAACCAAAACATAATACGGAGTATTTAAATAAAGATAGATGGAGTACTTCACACGGTTCACAGTACTTGAAGTACACCGTATAAAATTACTTAAGATAAAGAACAGAGCAGACTTGGATCAGCCCCTAACCGGACTACCCAGAACAAAAGTCATTTGTTTATGAAACCAAAACTAATTCGGACCGATAACGAAAAAAGACAGAACAAATTCCATTCTAGATAATACACCGGTCAAAAAAACAGCAATCCATATCAAATTTTCAAAAGGACCAATCTGGTCTGACTGATACTGTCATTTTGGTCATATCTAGGGATACCTTGTCGCGCTCAATGGTTTACCGGGGGGGGGGGGGAAGGATAGAGAGTAAAATTATAGGAGAGCTATGCATGATGCAAGGAAAGAAGATGAAGATTACCGACCCAACAAATTTATTGTTCAAAGCCATCCAGTTTGACACATAAAATAAAATTAAACAAATACATTTGTATCATTTACCTGAGGATTAAAATTACTTTTAGCCCAAAAGTTATCCCAGACTTGGTTCACGAGCCTAAAATATGCTTAACATAGCAATTGCAGTGTCTGCACAGAGCAGCCATTAGAAATAATGGACATGCACCCAGTGCTCTCTTGATGGGTGTTGTTTTTTTTAAACCTTAACAATAGTTTTAACTGATCCAAAACTTTGATCATACTAAGTATGACTTTGCCAAGGTATGTAACGCATAATGTCTCCCCTGGCCTTTGCAAAGGTGTTTGAGAGGCAGGGGAGGCATCAAATTATTTGTGTGATTGAATCTATGTGAGGCCTGGGACATAGGGAATATTAAAAACCTAACATAAGCTCAGGGACCAGAAGGTATGGCTTACAACTAAGAATGAGGGAAGGTAAACGAGGGCAAATGTTACCCAATATGATTACCAAACCATTAATGGAACAGAAAACTTCAACTTAATGTCAAAACATTCTTAATTTAAGAAACAGATAAATAGTTTGAGACAACACAATAACACATGCAGGTACAAAAGAAAGCAAAACGATGATGACAACCTTGGATAATCTTCCCACACATCATCTACTTGATCTTCTTCTTTGGCCTCAACTGTAACCAAAAAATGGGAAAATGTCATTACCATGCAAAGCTGTGAGATGGAAACTATTGGTGTTCAAGACGAGGTAAAAAAAAGGCCAAGGGGTGAGCTGCCAACTCTTTCTTAGCTCCAAATCAGGGGCCAACTGAGTTACTTTTTTACCTAATTCAGATTGCATTTTAGAAAAATATAACTTAACTTACCAAGAACTAGCCAAAAAATTGTTGTGAAAGATAATCTCCATATTTACATCTAATACCTTCATTTAGATTCCATTTTTAACCTCTTCTCAAGCGATAAAAACCAGGGTTACCAAATATAATAAAAACCTGATTGCTATGACCACATTTCTTCTTGCGGCAGTTGACAGCACGGGGATGAAGGCGAGCGTAGCACCTAATTTAAAAGAGAACTGTATCAGAACCAAAGGGAAACAAAAGAATGAATTAAATCGCTAAGCACTCATTACAGGCAAAATTGAACTCCCCAATTTTGTACTCTACATCCAGCTTAGAGTGAGAATGGTTTGAGGGAACAGATGATGACTCTTTAATCGTTGGGCACAAAACATTTTTAGGGTTGGGAGGACAACACATCCCCTCAAATTTTGGAGGGGGCAATAGAATTTTAGCTCTCTACCCGTTTCTGGCTCCATCCCCATCTCAGAATCTCTCCAACCAAACACACCAACTAAGCAAAACATGTAATGTGTTTGAAATTTATTTTGAAAGAAGCAATAGAAACCACACTACTCTTAAGGGAAACACAGATATGATATTGAAATGTATTCAATAAAGGCTAAGACCCATATAGCTCATATATCATCTACTACAGTAGTTGTTGGCACTTAAACAACTCCACAGTATTATTTTGAGGATGTAAAATAAAATTTCAAATAAAATTATGATACAGAATACATATAAAAAATTTCATATGTAAGAAGATGATAGCCTGAATACTTTAGAAAATAATTTGCAATAAAGCACATCATCAAACACATGGAAGAGGACTCAGTGGAGACATCATTTTCTAATTCAGGTATAGATCTCAGAAAATATAATAATCTGGAAACGATTAGTGAATTCAATTATTTTCTTGAAAAATTTTGTTTTCCATCCCTGTATGTAATCCTGCCCTATACCAGAGCTACCGTGTAGAAATAGATGTCACTTCTTTACTTAAAGTTGAAGAAATATTATCCAGAATTGAGATTTCATATGCCGAATGATTCAGTGGATGATAATAAAAAAACAAACACATTGAGGATGAGGAAATGAAAACATACTTGCGGCAAATCGTTTTCTCAGCGTTGTACTTCCTAGCCAAAGCCATCAAAGACGGCTCGATAATTCCACCACGAAGCCTCAACACCAGATGCAGAGTAGACTCTGTTCGAATCCCAAATCAAGTCAAATTCCACGGTGATTGAATCCAAAAAGGCATCAAGAACAAAACCCTAGATTAAAAGTTTACCTTTTTGGATATTGTAGTCGGCAAGGGTCCGGCCATCTTCAAGCTGCTTCCCGGCGAAGATCAATCTCTGCTGATCCGGCGGAATTCCTAACACAAAAAGGAATAAAGATATGGACTTTCGCATAAATTAGGTTGAAATTAAACGAATCGGGAAGCCTAGAAGAGATTATAGACAGAAAACGCACCTTCCTTGTCTTGAATCTTGGCCTTGACATTGTCGATAGTGTCGCTGGACTCGACCTCGAGAGTGATGGTCTTACCCGTGAGAGTTTTCACGAAGATCTGCATTTTCGCCTTTCTTCTTCTTATTTCTTCCTCTCTGCTTTCGAACGCTTTAAATAGCTAGGGTTTCTCAGGGTTTCGCGTTTATGGAAACCTCAAGCCCACTGGGCCAATGACGCCCTCCCAGTCCCACTCACATCCATCTCCTTCACACAAAGTAGCATTCTAACTCACGCCTAGCGATACAAATCAAATACTCCCTCTGTCTCAATTTATTTACAACATTTCGAACGACGTACAAAATATTATCTTTTTTAAAATTACTTTAATTTAAAATTGGTAGAGTAATAAAAAGTAAAAATTACACCATTCAAAAGTATATGAAAAGTTCTACAAAACAAGATTCGACAAGAATATTTTATTTTATCAAATGGTCAACCAAAACGAGTAAACAAACAAAAGTTATCGAGATTCATCATTTGTATTCGAATAAGTTGATTCTTGTTTCCCTTATCGAATTCGAATCCGAATACAAATCAATAGGGGTGGGCAAAAAAACCGAACTAGCATGGTACCATAACGGGCCGTAATGGTACCGAACCGTTTATAGTGTTTTCAAACGGGATTGATTTTTTTCATCACGAACCGAAACCGAACCGATACCAAATGGGACGGGACCGTGATACAAATATTTAAAACCGATTATCACGGACCGAACCGTCCAACGCTATATACGGAGTACGTATCTCAAATAATTATGGAGTATTTGTCTACTTCATCTTACCATATATAGAGTACTTCGTATTTTATTATTCATTTTTAAATTCTCTCATTATTATTGTTGTTATTATATTTATCATTACTATTAGCATTGTTTTTTTTATAGTTATTAGTATTCCGATATTATATGAATTGGAAAAAAATTATTTTTTAACTTTGGACTCGTTATCTTTTATTCTTTATGTTTATGATCCGTTTAAATTTAAAATCAATACTTTTATTTAACATTCGTGTGCTTTTTATACAACTTTATACATTAAATTCAATATTCTTTAAGTAATGTACATTCATTTTTTTTGGCACGGTTTGAGCATGGGTATGGTATTGTACCGTCCCGTTTCAAAACGGAATGGTACCGAATGGTTTTGGAGTTCATCCCGTACCGATACCGAACCGTTTAAATAATAGCGGTCCGTGACAGGTTCCAGTAGTATCACGGACCATCACTGACCGCGCCCACCCCTACAAATCAAATATTATATTCGAATGCGAAGATAAATAGATCCAACTCGTTTATATTTCAAATTATTTGAAAAATATAAATAAATAAATATATCTTAATAGTTAATACACTCTAGTTATTCGTACACATTGGATTAAATAAATAAGGTTCTTCCAAACATATTCTAATTTTATTCTATTTAAAAAACCATTATTTTAGGGGGGTGTATTCAATCTAGATTCTGTAGCATTTTTTTAGATTTTAAAAGTATATGGATATTCAATCTAGAATTAAAAAAATCATTTAAAATCTGGAGGTATTCAATTCAGATATTAATATATCATAATAAATATAATGGTATTCAAAAATCAATAGATTTTAAAAGATTTCCATAATATATGGATTTTGTTCTTTGGGTATAAATTAAAATCTAAGTCCAAAATCTCACAAAAAAAATGTAGGATTTTGCAACTCAATGGAGGGTTGTCTTCTTCATACTGGCTAGGGTTTTGGTCGGGCATCCCGATTCGCGTTTGATCTGGCATCCCGTTTGGCACTCCAGGTGCTTGATTAGTGCGCCGTCAGTATCTATGTGGCAGAGCAAACGAAAGTCATTCATCGGATTCTCGCTTCGAACAAATACTTCCCCGGCGGCGACTCATCCTTCCCCGGATGCTCTCCCCGGCAGCGACTCATCCTTCCCCGGATGCTCTCCCCGGTGGCGACTCATCCTTCCCCGGCGGCGACTCATTCTTCGGATTCTCGCTTCGAATTGGAACTGAGATGGAAGAAGCGGCTAGGGTTCTTGGGGGAAGGAGGAAAAAAAGAAAAGAAATGAAAAGAAAAAGAATAAAGAAAAGAAAAAAAGAAAAACATAATCCTATAAAATCTTATGATAGAATACATTAGAATCTAGCTAACTCTACGTAAATTTAAAACAATCCAACTAATTTACATAATCCATGAATTTTAAAGAATCTACCCCCTTATTCTTTTTCTTAATCACCGTAGCATTCACGTTTCCAAAATTCGTAGCAATATGGGTAGTATTTTAGATGTGTTATGATGAATTTGTCAATTTATGTTACTCGTAGCTAATAAAAAATAACTTATTATGACAGCGTTTCGTTCAACTTATTTATTGTGCTTGTAAATTATTATTATTATTATTAAAATCAGACCAGATCAGATCCAATCAGATCAGACCATATCATATTAGCTCAGACAAAATCTAAACAAAATTTTTATTATTCTTTTTATTATTATTATTACTATTACTATTATTACCACTATTATTAGTTTTATTATTACTATTATGATTATAATTATTATTACTATTGTTGTTATTATTATTACTATTAGTATTAATAATATTATTATTGTTACTATTATTATTATTACTATTATTATTATTATATTTATTTTTATTGTTATTGTTATTGTTATATTTATTATTGTTACTATTATTGTTATTATTATTATTATTTCTATTATTATTACTATTATTATTATTATTACTATTACTATTATTACTATTACTATTAGTACTGCTATTATTATGACTATAATTATTATTACTATTGTTATAATAATTATTACTATTATTATTATTACTACTAATATTGTTATTACAATTCTTATTATTAGGATTGCTATTATTGTTATTATTATTATCATCGTTACTAATATTATTATTAATAATATTAATATCTCTATTATTATTATTTCTATTATTATTTTTAATACTAGTATTATTAGTATTATTAGTATACGGAGTAGTTATTATTATTATCACTATTATTATTATTATTATTATTATTATTATTATTTCTTTTATTATTTTTATAACCATTATTATAACTTTTATAATAAAAATTTTAATTATAATCAAATTCGTATCATATCAGATCCAATCAGATCAGATCAGAACTTTAAAAACTCAGATCAGATCAGGCGAACGAAACATAGGCTATATCTAGGACATGCCTTTTAAAAAAATCATTTACTAGTAGCTAATAAAAAATAACTTATTATGGCAGCGTTCCGTTCAACTTATTTATTGTGCTTATAAATTATTATTATTATTAAAATCAGACCAGATCAGACCAGATCATATTAGCTCAGACAAGATCTTAACAAAATAATTATTATTCTTTTTATTATTATTATTACTATTATGATTATAATTATTATTACTATTGTTGTTATTATTATTACTATTAGTATTAATAATATTATTATCGTTACTATTATTATTATTACTATTATTATTATTATATTTATTATTATTGTTGTTGTTGTTGTTGTTGTTATATTTAGTATTGTTACTATTAATGTTATTATTATTATTTTTATTATTATTATTATTTCTATTATTACTACTATCATTATTATTATTACTATTATTATTATTACTATTACTATTAGTACTACTATTATTATGACTAATTATTATTACTATTGTTATTATAATTATTACTATTATTATTATTACTACTAATATTGCTATTACAATTCTTATTATTGGGATTGCTATTATTGTTACTAGTATTTAACCCGTGCAACGCACGGGGTCGAACGCATATTACTTTTAGCTCTGTAAAATCTACGTTTTAAGTAAATAATTAAAAAATAAAGCTAAATATAATATATAATGTTAAAATTTTAATGAATGATACGACATAAATAGAGTATGATAAGTAAAATTCATGTAGATAAAGATTGAAAAGATTGAATAAATGTATTAATTAAATCTAAATTTGTTAGAAAAATTTAGAGGAAATAAAATTTTTGGTGCAATTGCAAGGGTTACCATTGTCATCTAAAACTAACACTTTCAATCTTTTCTTTGTTTTCACTCGTGAAACTGCAACATAAAGTTGACCATGAGTGGATACCAATTTGGTCAAGAATAATCCAACAAAAGATAATGTTTGGCCTTGACTCTTATTGATCGTCATTGCAAAACATAAAGATATTGAAAATTGTGTTCTTTGAAACTTAAACGGTAATCCAGGATCTAACGGTACCAAATTCATTCTTGGTATGTAAACTTTCTCACCGGCATTGTTTCCTTATAAAACAATTGCACCGATAACTTTTTTTCACAACTCTTCAACTATTAACCTTGTACCATTACACAACTCAAATGTTTGATCAATGTTTCTTATTAACATAATCGGTACTCCTTTCTTCAAAACAATTCTGTGATTTGGAATTCTCGAACACCTGATATCGTTCAAAAACTCAGTCGTTATCCCGTCATCATCTATGCCTACATTTGAATCTACTTGACATGAAGAATCATAGCTCAAATACTCCGGCTTTTATGCATTTGTAATTGGGTCGAAGTTGTTGCATCATTGTTCTTTGGTGTCCTTAAAATACAAATTGAAAATTGCACTTGGTGCGATGCTAACACCATTTTTTAAACAATTTAAAAATAAGATACTATGAGAAAGGATTATATTATTTATTTTATTTGTATAATTTAATATATATGACATGAGTAGTCATATACTAAATCATAAAGAAATATATAGATACTATTTGTCACATCTCCCAACGGATTTATTTTTGGCGTTGCTCTAGATTTTGTCATTGATGACAATCTCTGAACCTCTGCAATAGAAATTACAAAAGCTAAAAACTGATAAAAAAATATTTATTCACATAATATGGTTGAGTTCTCAAAGTTGTGATTCACACAGTTATAATATAGAACTATTTTATTTAACGGTAGGGTTGACAGTTAAGGTCTGTCATATCTATATTTTTTAGAATAACATATTAACATACCACATAACAGGACATCAATAGTCACACACCTATTAAAAAAACTATAGAAATCATCTTAAATAGGACTAAAACATAGAGAAAAGTACCAAAATAGGACTTTCATGTTTTTTTTCCGGAATAGGACTTTGCATTGTGGTAATGTGACTTTGCATTGTGGTAATGTGGCAGTGTACATGTGCAAATTACTGTACTTTCTTGGTAATGTATATGACCATGTTTGGTAATGTAAGTCCTATTTCGGGAATAAAAACATGGAAGTCCTATTTTGGTATATCTTCAATGTTTTAGTCATACTTTGGTCTTTCGAGTGTTTATAAAGTCTTGCGAGTGGTAGAGTTTTTACCAATGTCAACCCGATTTTTTCTAGTGACTTGATAAAGTACTTTAATGGTTACTCTTTCTCATTGTTTGAAGCTCAGATAACAAAAAGGTAAAAAAAGATCCAATTGAAGAAAAATAAGAAAAAAAATGAATACCTCATTTTGGGGTTCAATAGTGCTCTTCATCAACATGGCAGACTCCTCTATAATAGCATCCGTGACCATATCGGTTACCTTGAATCTTATCAAAATTTCTAAAACTATACCCTTCAATCACATCCCTGCCAGAACATTTCATAAAAATCCAAATATCATATCAAAAAATGAAAAACAAAAGAAATCCCAAAAATAAATAACAATTCATAAAAAAAATTAAAAACCTAACCCTAAAATCAAGTGCTAGTGAAAAGAAAATAGAGATGAAGAAGCAATGGGAGAGATATACTATCTTTAAAACATCAAAGTAAGGAGAATATTTTTTAAGCTCTTGAATTAAATCACTTATTTATATATAAATATATACTATAAAAATAAATATTTTAAAAATATGTTTCAAAATAAATCTATTGATATTAAGTGTATATGAAAATTCAATATGTTTTTTTCCATAATATACGATCAAAGTTTAAAAGGTGCTCAAATATGTCAAACGAAAAATAGTAAACATATTGTAATATTAAAAAACAATGCACAACTCATGTTACTATACACACATCTCTCAATATTAAAAAATAATGTTCCGTAAGTAATCATCTAGAAGCAACAAAACATCACATTGTTTTTTAGTCTGAAAAAAAACCTTTGACAGTGGAGAAGAGAAATGCACGGCTTGCATTATATTGTAACCTCACATTAGGAATAAGCAAGAGAATATATTGCCTTTGGTATTCATAAGCTGATTTGGTTGTAGCCAGACCATTTGAATGACTATGTTCGATCTTATTTTAAAAATCCAAATCGATCAACTCTATGCAATATTTTTGAATTCATCTTCAAATAACTTCATACCCATTCCTTATCAGATGAATATACCAAATTCATTGACTAACACTGGGAAACACATAAAAAGCATGTTAAAGCAAAAAAGATAAAGAGATCCAACAATTAAAAACTAAACTTCAATTTAGAAAACCATCCAAGAAGTAAATAACTTTTATAATCCTCTTACACTTGAACATAATTAGACATCTCAATAGGATGCCAAGAATGCTGACAGTTAACTCACTTATAAAGATGTCTAATTGTTCAGTGTTTTGATTGAATGGGAGCACGGGTCATAAAAAGCCAAACTCATGAGAATTTGTTGATGAGTGATCACCAGATTCTTGCTGTTTACATGGGCAAGATTGTAGATCATACGTATAATGGTGTTTATCCTTGATCGTATATGGGCAAGATTCATTTTTACATGGGCAAGATTGTAGATCATACATGGGCAAGATTCATTTTTACCCAGAGGAAGAAAAAAGCTCTCGTTTGTATTATGGGCTTGATTCTGTACTTGATTTTATCCTTCATGTTTTGAGAGATTTGCCTCTAAACAGCGGGTTGTGGTTTGAGATTGAGAATTCAACAGACACGGAGTCGAAGCAGTTGGAGATCCCTCAGAATGCTTATAGGGCTGTTTTGGAGGTTTATAAACAAAAGGAGAAGTCACAAATTCACCAGTTGTAGCCTACAAAAACAAAATCCACAAATTCATCCACTCAACTCACAATTTTGACACCAAATTGCACATTAGCCTATTTTTTTAACAATAAAATGAGATAGAGAAGTTGAACACATGGAACCTGGGAATCAAACTTGATTATATGGCCAATTCATATATAGCATTTGCAGCGCTGAAGAAATTTTCGTATCCATCATCAATAGGTAAACAGATCTGAATCGAGCAATTTAAGGGTGAGGATCGGCCTTTCAAAAAAAGGGTATGGATTAGCTCAAGAAATTCGTATCACAATTCTCGTATCTAAGTCTGATTTGGGATTTTCAATCCAATGATGAAGAGTATCAATTAGGAATGAAATCGGAATGAAGATCGAGGGAAGAGATACAAATCTCAATTTTGGTAGCGAAGAAGATTTCCTCTTTGAATTTTGATTAGCGAGAAAGCGTATGGTAAACTTCAATGAAATAATCGAAGGAGTGATAAGGGAGAGACACGTAGAGGCTTACTTGTGTCAAAAAAATATGACTATAAAATTGCCACATGTCATCATTCTATGCCTCAAACTCTCAAGTTTTATATTAAAGGATTTATTCTTGTGAGGATGGGACAGGTGGCAGTCTTAAGCAATGCCAACTGGCAGCTTCTCAGAGTATAAACTCTCAAATTTAAATATAAAAGATTTTGCCAATTCAACAATTTCATGATTTTCAGCATATTCACAATGATTTCAAACACTTTTTTCCTCGCCAGACATATAAGATGAATGTAAAAGTAAAAGCGAAGTCACGGTTTGATGCATGTAGCTGCCGAGCTCATCTTGTGCATCACCAGTTGGCATTAAATTGTCAGCGCAACTATCTGAAATCACACATGTTTAATCACATTAGCCAGTATTAAAACAAAGTAGAGAGAGAGATGTGGGAGAGAAGACATTGTGACTGTAATGTATGCATTTCATCATGGCGTAACAGCTGTCATTGCGGTCGCTAACTAAGGCCACCACTTTCATGGCTTGCTGCCAATCAGCTTGCTGCTCCGGTCGATAGAATTGAATATGGGATGCATGATAGAATTGGGGAATAAGAAGAACTAAACATCAATTGAAGAAACAAACCAATCCAGTCACAATTGTAGCAACGAAGAATTTTCATGATTGATGATCAATAGGGAGATGCATACAGAAGATCTAATCGAGAGAAGAATCGACCAAATTTGGAGAGTTTCCTTCGATGGAGAAGACAGGCGTAACTATCAAGTTTCCTTCCGGAGATCGCAGAGCACATTTCCTTCTGTGAGAGTTTCCTTCGGATATAGATCAGAGAGCGTTGGTAGTCGTAATATGAGAAGAACATGTGGCAGGCCTTAAACACTGCTAAATGTCAAGTTCTTAGAGTATGGATTCTGCTTTTTATATATAAAGGATATAGAATCTCAAATTGTCCAAAACCATCATCCTAATGGATCCTATGAATGGATGTTATTTGGAAGAGATGTTGCAGCATCATAAGGACTCAAAGCAAAAGTTATGCATGAAATACTTTTTAAACCTACATTAGCCCAAAAACATAAGGAGGGCTATATGTTGTATAAAAAAATTATGCAGAATTTAGAGGACAATGACCCAACATGAGGTAGGAATGATCATATCAAAAAAAAAAATATGAAAGTACATTTCTTAGACAACAAAATTGTATCCTACGTTTTTAGTCTCTCTCAATAACAACAAACATCGAATAAAAGGTAAATAAATTAGAATCAAGTAATCCTCTAAGTAGATTCATTCGGAATAAACCTTTCCTTTACTTTTGTCTTAACTTGCGATTTTAAACCTATGACTCCATCATATAAGGCTTACTTGTTGTTGATTCCACCACCCGCTTCATGCGATTTGCTTCAAATTTATCTTTGAAGTTGGCTTGAAAATAGAAGTTGAGATCAGATCTTCCAGGTCGATAAAAAATTGTGAAAGTCATATGTGTTAGTTTTCAACTGATCTCACCTTCATTGCCTCCAAAATCTTAGGGAATTCCATGTAATCTGCATTCTTAACTGTCATACTAAAAATTGCAGCAGTCTTCTTGTGATTAAGGATGTAGTTTTGGTTGTGAATGGGTGAAGAGACCGGTTAAACTATAACTGCAACCCTTCACTGAAAGAGAGCATCTCGTTTTTCTTTCAAGTTCATTAGTCTCCTAATCTTGTGCTCATGTATAGGTTTTAAATTTTAATTTATATTTTAAGAGAACATAGGTGATGTGTACACAATTTAGTTGGGGTTTCGATTGATGTTTACTAACCTATATTTTCATTTTGATAATCATAAACCTTTATCAATATTCTATAAACAACAATTCTACATAATAAATTATTGTATGAGGTCTGTATTATTATTTCTATTATTACTACTATTATTATTATTATTACTATTATTATTATTACTATTACTATTAGTACTACTATTATTATGACTAATTATTATTACTATTGTTATTATAATTATTACTATTATTATTATTACTACTAATATTGCTATTACAATTCTTATTATTGGGATTGCTATTATTGTTATTGTTATTATCATCGTTACTAATATTATTATTAATAATATTAATATCTCTATTATTATTATTTCTATTATTATTATAGTTATTATTATTATCACTATTATTATTACTATTATTATTATTTCTATTATTATTATTATAACCATTATTATAACTTTTATAATAAAAAAATTAATTTTAATTATAATCAAATTCGTATCATATCAGATCCAATCAGATCAGAACTTTAAAAACTTAGATCAGATCAGGCGAACAGAACATAGGCTATATCTAGGACATGCCTTTTAAAAAAAGCCTTTACTAGTTTTCAAATTCAAATATTGGAGTACGAATTCGAATACATTGGATATAATATCAAAGCAAATATGAATATTTTTAAAAATTCAAATTATAAACGAATACGAATTCGAATAGATATATTTCAAATGAAAGCAAATTGAATATCTAGATATTTGATTCGATTCGTATGCACCCCTACTCATGCGATACACGCGCTATAATGACTTTTTACTCTCTTTGTCCATAAATAAACTTCCTATTTACTATTCAAAAGGTCAAACTTTATTTACTTTGTTGGCCTATTTTAGTTACCCATTTGATAAAATAATATAGTCATGTCACCTCTAGTTTTGAAGATTTTTTTATATATTTTTTTAATATGTAATTTTTATTTTAAAATTTCACACCATTTTTCATATAAAATGATTTAAAAATAACTTCAGCCAAACATCGTAATGCGCAACATCAAATTTAAAAATTAAAACAATTATAAACCATTCTCAGTATGGGCAAACGGGAATTGGGTTTTGTCAAATGAGATATCCTAAGTGTGAAAAAATTGATGAGTTTCAAGATTGTAGACTCGCCAACCTTTGGTACCAAAAGAATAACCAACGAACATAAATATCACACTTCGGGAAGAAAATTTATCTGAAAGTTTTGGCATTCGACGAACAAAACACAAACAACCAAAAGACACGGAGATGGCCTAAATGCTGTGGTTTAGAGGAAAGGATCTCAAGAGGAGACTTACCCCTGAGAAGTTTGGTAGGGGTGTGATTGATGAGATAGACTGTAGTTTTGACACACTCCCACCAGAATTCAATTAGAAGTGATGCTTGAAACATGTGAGACCGAGCGACATTTAATATGTGACGATGCTTTCGTTTAGCCCGGCCATTTTGTTGTGGTGTACCTACATAGGAGGTTTGAATACAAAGACTCAAATCATTATAGTATTGATGCAAAGAGACATTAAGGAACTAAGTACCATTGTCAGAGCGCACCACTTTTATAGTTTTGGAATATTGGGTGTTTACCATAGCAAAGAAACGTTTGAGACAAGATGTGACCTCACTTTTGTGTTTAATGACATACACCCAGACAGCTCGAGAAAAATCATCAACAACACTAAGAAAATAATGTGCCCCAGATGATATACAAACAGAATATGACCCTCATAAATCATAATGAATTAAATCAAAAAATGGCATCATCTTAATTTTGAGTAATGGAAAACGATGAACGAGTTTGCTTGGACAAAAAACAAATTTCACATGTTTGTAATTTCTTGATAACGGAACCTGTTTTATTGTAACCAAGAAAGGGAAAAATATCAGAGGAAGGGTGACCCAATCATTGGTGTAGAACGAATGGATCTGACTTGACAACAAGGGCCGACATTGGGTATGAGGAAAAGACGTACACTCCATTTCGCAGTTCACCCCGTCCAATCTCTGTTTTCGACAAGCGGTCGTACATTACACAAATTTGATCATTAAGAAGAACATGACAAGTAGTTTCTTGAACCAAACAACCAACAGAAACCAAATGACAATGCAAGTTTGGGACATATAAAACATTATGGAGAACCAAATTGGAAGATAAGCACACACTTCCCGTTTTGCTCGCCTGGATACGAGAACCGTCAGGGAGAGAAATAAACTTAGACTGAGGAGTCACCTCCTCAATACGGAATAAATGAGACAGGATCCCCGTCATATGATGATGTTTGACACTAAATAAAACTATGTTCAAGCACTGTGAAAACGTGTGATTGGAAAGGCAGTACTTTGTGGACGACGGGTGGCTTAACCAAATTTACTGCCCATCTCTCTATGCCTGCCTACTATTACTTCTTCTTCAAATACAATTACCTCCGAGTAGAGATGGAAATTCTTCTTCACTTTTCTTCTTCAGATTCTTCTTCACTTTTCTTGGGATCAGTGGCATGGAAGGGTGAATTGGCGGACAGAAGAGGTGACACCAGTAGACGACGAAGAACCCGCGAACAGGCCTGAGCGACTGAATTTGGCCGGCGAGGGATCTGAACCGATAGAGCTCCGAGATTGGATCTGGACGGACTGCTTTGAGATGGAATGGCAGCAGCAGACGACGATGCTCTCGATTCAGTTGTAGAGGTGGCGTGGTGGCCGATGTCTGAACTCAATTGATGAACAGATCGGACAAGAGGCGGACTGTTGTCGACGGACGGAGGTCAGCTGCTGGACGGGTTGGCTGACATTGGACGGACGGCGACGACAATCTACCGGCGGTGACAAATCTAAGGTTACTCTAGAAATGCTCCGATACCATGTAGAATTTTAGAAAGGAATTTGTTGAGTTTATTTGATACATAACCCCATATAAATATACATGGGCGCCACAAACGAAGAGCCCCGGTGGTGATACAAACGAGGAGCCCCGAATATAAATACATAAAAAATACAATATATATACACTAATATGCTAATAAATAGTATTAATTGATGAATGTGTAAGCTATGTTGAGAAGGAGCTAACAACTTATAAAGACATTTGATACACACAAGGAGTCTCGGTTGTCTTGGATGGGTGTTCTAATGTTAAACATAACCCACTAATCAATGTTCTTGCTGTCAAGTCATGTGGTGTAATGTTTATGTATTCATAAGACTTTTTAGTAGAGATCTCTAAGTTTCTTCTTGGAGCCATTAGGATCATTGGATCAAGCAATGTGTTAGAAGTTGTAACTGATAACGCGACTAATTGAAAAGCAGTCAGGAGGGAAATCGAGAAATATAGGCATATCTTTTGGTGTCTTTGTTGTGTGCACACCTTAAATCTGATTTTTAAAGACTTGGCAAAGAATTTTCATGGTTGTTCAACACATATAATAAAGGCAAGGCAATGGTAAAATATTTACTCAACCATACCCAAGCCTTATCATTCTTCAGAGGAAACTCAAAGTTGGAGTCATTGAAGGTTGCAAGAACACGGTTTGCATCACCTTATATACTTTAGAGAAGGTTAATGGATTGCAGGGAGGCACTTTCTACTAGTATAGTCCTCAATTTTTGACGGGAATGTGTCAACAGTGTTACAGTGAGGATGAAAACATGCGAGCAACTGGATATATTGTCACTGAAATGATAAGAGATGACGAGTTTTGGGAAGATGTTGAGAATATTTTGAATTTTACAAAACATGTTTTTTTATGGTGAAGTTTTGTGATCAGGAAGGTCTAAGAATGAGAGAAATCTATGAAAAAATAGATAACATGGTAGGAGAAATCAAAGATGCTATGAAGGATAATAAGTACTCATCTTCTTTTTCTGAAGTTGAAAGAATGATTTTAGATAGTTGGGAGAAAATGGCAATCCTACTTCATTGTTGGCTATTGCTTTAAATCCACAATTTTATGATAGATTCTACCTAAAAAGGTTGGCTCATGGTGGCATGGAAAGAAGAGCACCAAACCAAGACAAAGAAGTTGTAGTTGGTGTTATAGAAGCATTTCAAAGAATTGTTGAAGATGTTGATGAACAGAGGGTATTAAGAGAACAATTTGCAACCTTTCATATGAAGAAAGGGATTTACTCTAGGAAAGGAACACAACCTGATGCTGTGACAATGGATCCAATTGATTGGTGGGCAACATACGGATCAGAGACTCCTGAATTGGCAGAAATAGCTAAGAAAGTTTTATCTCAGTCAATTAGTAGCTCTCCGACGGAGAGAAATTAGAGTTCATACTCTTATATCCATAATGTCAAGAGGAATCACTTAAATTGCAAGAGAGCCGATAAACTTGTGTTTATTCACTCTAAGCTTCAACTTCAATCACACTTTTTTGATTCCTACAGCTCATGCTCTCACAAAAAGTGGAATTTGAATAAAAAAAATGCATATTTAGAAGGTTCAAGTGATCGCCTTGAAGAAATGGTTTAGGAAGACCTTGATGATGAATGCTTTGACAATGGGAGAGGAAAAAGGAAACAATCACATTAGAATATTTTAGTTGATGTTTTGTTTTTGATTGGATTTTGTAATGTTATGCACTTATGCTCATCATATATATTTTTGTTTACTTATGTTTTGACTTTTGGTACACTGAACTGAATACATGGTATAGCGTACCACTTCGTACCGAAATGAACCAACTCTCTTTCTACCAAATTCGTCACCTCTAGCGAACTTCATACCTGTACCGCGTACCCGTACCAAAACATACCGCGATTTAGGTGATTATGATTCAACTTCTAAAGGGCATCTGTAGAAATATATTTAGAACTAAACTTGAATGAATTGATTACACATAGATCCGCTATTTATAATAGCTCCAAGACAATGACCTAATTACGAGCCCAACAACAATGAGCCCGTTATCGACAAACCCTACTACATTCCTTAACACTCCCCCTCAAGTTGAGCATGAGGTTAACGAATGCACAACTTGGACAATTAAAAAAAACTAGAACTAAAAAAAACTTGATAAACAACTTGAACTTGATCTGCTGTGACAACAACGAACGAAGGTGACCGACCCTGCAAACGAACAATAAATTTTGATGACGAATGACTCCCACGCGGTGACACGGGGACGACTAACAAGCATCCCAAACTTGGAGGCTGTGTTGCCGGACTGAGGCGCGACTATGCGACCAACCTCACAAATTGATATGTCGGACTGAGGCGCGACTATGCAACCAATCTCACAAACATACATGCCGAACATACAGCTGGTTGCACTTGAACATACCAAAGAGCAACCAAAAAAACAATGTCGCCAAAAACGTCATCAAATTTCAATGAACGACAGAGTGAACATTAAAATCTTCTTCTCCTCTTCTTCTCCTGATGAACGAAGCAAAACAAAACCAACCTACGAAGCATTATCCAAACCATTGTCCAAAGTGATGAACACCAAAATTATTAATAGCCAATGTTAAGATTGGATGAACAAAAACAAAATCTCTTGTGATGAATGGAATCGGCTGAAGAAATCACAAGAACAAATCATCAAATTAAATATTTTGAGGCGGTGAGTGGACTCCTGAGAGCAGATCTGGACTTCGAGCAAACTTGACGATGACGCCGAACCAAGAACACAAACACGGCCAGATCCGAAATTCAAAGCAGCGTTCCGTCCAGCAGATCCGTCCGTCCAGCATCGCCAGCGCGTCTCTGCATCGCCGGAAGTTCCCTCCGTCCGGAAGTTCCCTCCTTCGCCCGGCAGATCCGTCAGCCTCATCCTGCAATCCTATTCTTTGGCATCAAATATGGATCCCTTGTTACTGTTGCTAATTTTTGGGTAAAACGATGGCAATGCCGCCGTCGCCAGACAAACCACCGGCGACAGCGACAGCGGAAGCAACAAATTAGAACAAACTTGGGTTTAGGTTCCCAGGTTGGCTCCGATACCATGTAGAAATATATTAAGAACTAAACTTGAATGAGTTGATTACACATAGATCCGCTATTTATAATAGCTCTAAGACCATGACCTAATTATGAGCCCAACAACAATGAGCCCGTTATCGACAAACCCTACTACATTCCTTAACAGCATCAAAAATAGTGTAAAACAAAGTGTAGTAAAAATAATCTATCATCATAGAATGCTTAGGAATAAAGCACCATGCACGCGAAGTCTCACAACATATCATGTCACTTTATGCAAATGCCTAAGAATATTTATGCAATGGTATTTTAAAGAACTTTGTGTGAAACACCCTGAAAACCGGTTTAGTAGTTAGCCATTATTTTAATAAAAATAAATATAATATTTACTGGGTTAAATTTAAGTCACTTTGTTTCTTTATTTTTACTCCTCATTTCATAAAATAATATAGTCTTGTGTCACCTCTAATTTTGTAGAATTTTTATGTGGTTTTTACTAGGAGAATTTACTTAAATAGCACTAAAACATAATCACTTTTATAAATAGCATCACATGTGTTTTTTCCCAATGTAGCAGTTTTAGTCATTATCCATTAGTCATTATTCAAGTAAATGTTGGCCATCATTGGACATTATGAATATTGTTAAGTGCTATTTAGAGAATAAAACAGTTTAAGTGCTATTTAGGGAAATGACTTAAGTTTTAGTGTTATTTAGTGTAAATATTTCTTTTTATTATGTAAGTTTTATTTTTAAATTTTACCCGTATAGTCAAATAAATTGATATGAAAATAAATTCGATCAAACATCATAACGCGTAATGGGAAGATCATCACTGAACGGAGGGAGTAGTTTTTATCTCTAGAGAGAAAGACCAAAGTAGGACTAAAACATTAAAAATATACCAAAATAGGACTTCCATATTTTTATTCTCGTAATAGGACTTAAAATGTATTTACATATCAAATATGGTCATGTACACTACCAAAAAATATAATAATGTGCATATGTACAATTTCACATTATCACAGTGCAAAGTCCTTCCTACCTATTTCGGGAATAAAAATATGAAAGTCCTATTTTGATACTTTTCTTTATGTTTTAGTCCTATTTAGGGTGATTTTTATTATCTATAAAAGCAGAGTAATACTCCCTCTGTTTTTTAAAACACTTCCTCTTTCATTTTTTTCATTTCCAACAAAACACTTTCACTTTCTATTAAAAAACCACTTTTACCCTTACTTTTTCTTACCTTACCTATCACATCATACTTTATCTCTAATAATCTATCCATCACATCTTACTTTTACCTATCACATCAAGAGCAAAATTGGAAGTCAACTACAATTTAATACTTCCTTATTTTTATACAAAGTCAAAATAGGAACACTTTTCCAAACGGAGAGAGTATATCTTTATTTTCAAAATAAAATTATTGTACTATGATAATGTATATTTTTTGCATTATATATTAGCATTATTTATTTGTATTGTCAGATTTGTTTTGAGGATAAAATATAAAAAATCTATTTTTAGCCTTTTTCATCACTAGAAATATTGGTAGTATGTTCATATACAAAAAGAATTCACTTACTCGAGAAGTCAAAAAGTGAAATCTGAATTCATGTTTTCCACGACGGTCTTGTAACTACGGGTCTACGGCGTACTAGACTCGTACTCCTACAACTGTTATACGGAGTAAATAAATGAATGGCATTTGGAAATCAGTGCTCCACCTCGAGTCAATGGGAAATACTGA